GACATGTCAATACCAACACCAAGGACAGGTTACAAAATCAAAGCAACAGCCGTGTGAGTGACTTGTTTCACACTTTCTCTCTTTATCAAACACAGTGCAAGACACACCTCTGCAGCAGACCACTCCCTTTAACAGACATCTTTACCCCCCCAAGACATTTTCAAGATCATGGTAATATTAAATTGAGTGGTAAAATTGCAATAAATATATTTTGATCAACTTATTTCCTTTAAACCAGGTGGTGTGGGAGTTGCACTACAGTGCAGGGTGCAAACAACAGCAGCGACCCTGACATATCAAATAAGAGCACAACTTGCACATTAGTGTGATGGAGTGTGTATTTTTGCAAATGCTGCATAAACTTGTCTGAATTTCGGAGGAAACAGGTTACAAGTAGATATTTTCCCCTGAAAATGATTACTCACTTTGGCACAAAGGAGAAAGAGGAAGAAAAAGTAGCATTTCTATTGCAACAGGGACCAATTGCTGAATCAACACAGAATTAGAGCCATACTGATCAAAAGTGATATTTTGAAAATAAACCTGTAACATTATCAGAATAACATTCTAATATTATGGGAATAAAACTGTAATATTACCGTAATATTGTGAGACCAGCGTGGGTTGTTTTTTAGTCTGGCCTCCTGACCTTCAATTTTTGTGGCTAAAATCGAAAGTAGTTTTGGTTTTGTCTTAAAATTAAAAGTTTTACATGATTACTAATGTCCCCCCCACACTTCCTTAGCAGGGTTATCCATTAATCTTTCCTGACTGAATCCATATGTAACTTTAAACAAATCAAAACACAAGGAAAGAAAGGAAGGCTGACTTAATCAAAAACAAACCACCCACATCAAACTTTCTAAATAAGTAAATTATGAGGGTCAGTGACTTTCTCTTTAGTGAACACATTTCAGTCTGGAGCACAAGAAAAAAAGTCAATAGGTCTCAACCTTTTGGGACTGTGACAGTGTACAGCAAAAATATAACTTAGTGTGGTCAATGATGTGGGAGCCAAACATTATATTTCGGCTTGATGTGTCGAAATCAAGACATGGATTAATCAAAATGGACTCTTGTTTCTCGTCTTGGACATTTGAGTTCATGCATCAAGTTTAGTCACAGTTTGGAAAGATTTAGGCACCAAACTTTTTGGGTTTCAGGAAATTTTGTAATCTAAGGATTTTAATAAATTCGATCAAAAAATGGTTTGGGTTAAGTACATAATATGCCAATAAAGTATTTAATATTTTATAGTTACGTGCACTGCTCATGTGGCTAATTTTCTCCAACACTGATCCAGTGTCAGCACTGATTCCCATCTGAAGAGGACTGAGACTTTGATTAAATGAAGTAACCTGACAATATAACATGACAAAGGATGCTAATTTACCTTCTTTTGCCAATAGTTTCATGGTGCAATCACTACAATAGTTTTAACATGCTGCATTAACAGAATACTAGCCAAATGTCCCAACACTTTTAAGGCTCCTGTCTTTTAAAATCATTCAAACTTGCCTTCATGCCTTCATCCACTGAAGGCAAAAAACAAATAAACTTGAAAACAAATCATCATGGTAAGGACTGGCAACATAAAGGACTTTTGGGTGAGTAAGTTTGCTTGGAGTACTGTAGGAAGTCACAGTTCCCCTTTCCTCTTTTGAATTTTTGCTTTTTTTTTTTTTTCATGGATAGAACAATAAGGCATGAGCTTTCCTTTCAATACTGTTCATAAAATAGCCCTTTTTAGACCTAATCACAGTGTTTGCTTTTGGTATCCACAAAGTGCTTTCTATTTTTCTTTAAATAAAATATACCTCATAAAACCTCCTGTCATCCTCTAGTTAAATAAAACAGCAATGGAAACACTGACTGCCTGTGACAAATCACCTCTCACTATTTATTCGACAAAATGATTCAAGACGCCGGGATCTTGAGCTCAGATTTGTGAGTGACCCCTCAGCATAACCAGGACCCTGGCTGTGCTGGACTGTATAAATGTGTTTTAATGTAGAGCAGCCAAGCTGGAGAGCCCTGCAGTAAAAATGGCCTTGGCATATATGCTTAGGTTTAAATCACTGTAATGGACCTGGATGTGACAGTCATAGGCCAGAAAAATGAAACCATCCACCCTCATAATCCCATAACCATTACTGGGACTGAAACAAAACTGACTGGATACACATTTGGCTGAAGGGAAAAAAATAACAAAGCTTATATCAGAGTGTTTAAAACTGACATTACGGCCCTCCTCAGATGTCTTGCCTGAGTAATTATCTGTCTTCAGCTTGATGTGGGAAAATTGTCTCATAGGTCATATGTCTTTGACCTACAGAAACTGTTATTGGCCACAGGTTTTGAATTAGCTACACATGTGGGTAAGCTACAGTACCCATGGTGGAGCTCTTATCACATCTCACACTGTCAGCAAAACCAGTGGTGGGGAAAAACAACACTGACAGGGTGCAGTAATAGGTCATTAGTTACAAAAACAATGTGCAGATTTTTTTGCCCCATGGAGCTGTATTTAAACTAGACAATAACACACGATGGAAAGCATTATTATACTCTTTTGATTTGGTTTATATTCTCATTACTTCTGCTTTATATTAGGGCTTTAAAGATACATTCATATTTTCCACTTTTTAGTTGATGCCTTGTAGAACAACTTCTTGGCTTTTTGTAGTGTAGATATCCTTAAACTATTTAGACCTCAAGAAATATGCAGAAAATTAAAAAATGACACCAATTTAACCTACATGACAGAAGCCATTGAACTATATGTTTCAGTGCTGTCTCGACCTCTCTCTCTCCCTCTTTACAGAGGGAAAACATCAACAACAGTTGTATTTAAAGGGATCAACTTCCTTCTTTTACCTTTACTTTCAATGCTACTTCACTTTTAACAACAAGTTGGGTGGCATGTAGAGTAGTTTTCAACTGCTCTCTCAGTCATGACAGTGGTTAACTTTGTTGACTTTGTACAACCCAAAAGACGTATTGTATGAAGGGTCCTCCTGTATGAGAATGGACACTTATAATCTTAGGTACATTGAAGACTAAAGCCTAGTTTATGCTTGACACAGTCACAAGTGCGCGAGGTTCGTGCACCACAAATGACGTACACGAGCAACGTACATCTCCAGGATTTTGATATTCTTCAGAAGTGGAGCCAAAGGGTCTTAATTATTAGCACTTTTAGATTTTTCCTGAGTGGCCTATTAATTGCATTTTTAAGCTCATCACAAGGCAGTTACTGGAACAATCTTGCATATAATATTAATCTACAAGCTAGCAAGTTAATCATGAAGCGTCATGTTGATTAATGCATTAAATAACACAAATATTTGATGGCGATCCAGTCTTTTGCTTACTCCTCAATACAAAATTAGGCTCTTGTTGTAACCTATCTCTGATATTTGAATGTCAAATAATGCTTAGATCACCTGATTCACCTGATTAAGGGACCTTTATTACCAGCTGCTTTATGTTTTTAATCCAGCTATCCATATAGGTTATGGTAGCAACAAACATTGTGTTACCCATTGAAGTAATGGTCATTTATAAGATGGTGCATACATTGCTTACCATTTTTGTTAATGCATCTATGGATGGAAAAAATGAAGCAGGGCACAAAACTGCTGCATTAATAATTAGCATGTCATTTGTAATACATAGACAATGCACTAACAAAAGTACACGATATCATTTAAAGCCCTGGTACCGGTCTGTGGATCAATTAGTACCGGGCATCAAAATAAAATAAAATAAAATAAAAAAGTAAATAAATAAATAAATAGATAGATAGATAGATAGATAGATAGATAGATAGATAGATAGATAGATTTTTTCTTTTCATCCGTCCGCCGAGTATCTTATTTTGAAAGACCACCACTTCCGCCATCGCCTCACTTTCGCGCTTGACTCTTTGACACTTTATTTTCCTGCGTTAGCAACACAAGCTAACCCTTGCAAAAATGAGCCAGAAACAGAGTTCATAGGAGAGAGAAAGGGTTGATCCTGCATTACGGTGAGTTAATGTTAACACAGTTAGACCTGGACAGCATAAACTCATTTCAGCTTTTCAAGCCGGGAGCGTGGCTGCCCATTTCTACTGGGAAAGCCGGGTGCATGTACGCATTTCAACCATCCAAACCACCGGCGTCACTATGCATTGCTATCCTTTAAGCCTGGAGCACGGACACGTCATTTTGTAACATTCTGCAGTTTTTTAATCATTTCTGGAGTCGTGATGAATCAAATAATCATACCTGTCTGCCTCTGATAGGCGAAGAAAGCGCCCGGATTCCTGCTCGGATCTTGCTTCATGCTTCGTGAGGAAGGTAAACAGTGACGGAGGCAGAGAGCAGCTTTAAAGGAGAAACATCCAGCAGTGTGAACAACCTCTTCATATTGAGTACCTTGGTTCACACTATCGGCGTTTTCTGTGAGTCTTGCATGACTTTGGGTGAGCACAGAGATGAACACACTATCAGCCACTTATTTATTTATTTATTTATTTATTTTAGTTTTTAGTGCTGCTTTTGTACAGGCACTATAGTAGGGCAGCTGCATACCCTTTCAACACATTTTATTTTTTATATTTACATTTGTATTGAATGGACATTTTATCATGACTGCCACTTGTTCTACAGAAAGCAAACAGTTTGTTATTCTCCAGTGCAGAGTCTTTACTTTTATTTATACAGCCGCTTTATTTCATTTGAGTTTGTTTGTTCAAGGTTTTCAAAAATGTGATGACGGTTTGGAAAAATAAAAGTTATCTTTAAAGCCACATGCATAAGCTCTCAATTACTTTTTAATTTTAGTTTCTATCTGCTACAGAGGCCGAGATATCAGCTTTTTTGTAAACCTCAACACTTCAGAAAACCTCAGGATCTGGGGGCCCTTCTCAAAATTGCCCTCAGGATTTCAGAGGCGTGTCTCAGACAAGGTTAAAAGGGTAAAGAAAAGTGCCTAATATAAAATGTAATTGTTGTATCCAGATTACATACTATGTACATACTATGTACTGATTAAGGTTTTTGTTACTGGAACCTCCATGCCCCTACCCGGTCCTCAGAAAATGTTTCCTGCATGAAACTGGTCCCTTGGTACAAAAAAGGTTGGGGACCACTGATTTAAAGGAAAGAATGTGTCAATTTGTATCACAGGGTAAGAGCTCAAAGAGTCGCAAGACATGCATCTGTGATTGTATGGGGGTGTGTGTGCCAATGGCCATGGCTAACTATCAATGCAATCATTTCCATGAGGTATTTTATCATAATAATTAGTTTGCACTGCTTACATGGTAGTTCTTCTGTCTCAGTGTCTTGGTCTGATTGCATTTCCATGAAGTAATAACTAAAAATGTTCTTCCTTGAGCTGCGAGACTCCGCTGCACTCTGTGATCAACTCGTCAGGGCTCCCCCACCAACAAGCAGCTGCTGGAGGAGAGTGGGTGAGTTGTGTTTGATCTCCTTGCTAAAGAATACAGGCAAAGATAAAAAGATGTTTAATGGCTAGTACTATGGCTGGGACCCTATGTACATTTACTGTTGATTAAGTTAGGTGCTGTTCTGAGCATTATTTGTGGCTATAGAGTGGCGTTTTGGTTGAGGTTTGCAGTGGAGGCATCGACCACTGTGTATTGCTATCGTGTGGTTGTTGCAAAAGTTGGTCTAACTAGAGAGGCAAGCGTTCGGCAAAATTCATCTCTCGAGGGGGTGTCTAACTCAGTGTTACGGTGTGTTTGACCATGACTTGAACTTATGCTGGAATATCCCTTTTATACTGAAAGATACATACAGGTTCTGGAACAAGATATAGTGCCATCCAAGCCATGTCTTTTTCAGGGATGTCCTGGCTTATTTCAGCAAGACAATGCCAAGACACAGTCTGCTTGTGGTTAGAACAGCATGGCTTCGTAGTAAAATAGTGTGGGTACGAGGCCTGTACTTCTGCAGCTTGAACAGTTTGTGTCCTCAGTTCCAAAACACTTACAGAGTGTTGTTAAAGGGTAAAGTGATGTAACAGGGGTAAACACAACCCTGTCCCAGCTTTTTTGGGGATATGCTGCAGGCTTTAAATTCAAAATAAGTGAATATTTGCAAAAAATAAAGTTGAATATGATAATGGACATTGCATGTTTTGTCTTTGAAGTGCATTCAGTTGGATATAGGTGGAAAAGGATTTGCAAATCATTGTATTGTATTGTATTTATTACTACTTCTGTAACTGGGATTTGTACTACTATGACAAAGTACCATACTCACACTGTTCCTTCCCTATTTTCCTTCAGCACAACATCTTAGTCAATGGCGGTGTGACGATGCTTTACAAGCCAGACATGTACGTTACTTCCTGTTCATAAGAGGAATCTCCGAAGGAAAAAAAATCCCCTCTGCTAAACATACAGCAGAGCCCAGACATGCCTAAGATAGCTCCAAGCAGTTCTCCATTGTGAGCACTAAAGTATGCACTTCCATGCGTCTGAACACAAACAAAGAAAAGGAGAAGTGGGGAAGTGTGTACAACTTTTTGTGCGTGTGCCAGACTGGGAGAAACAGCAGCAGATACTCATAGTTTACCTTTGTGAACCGCAGACTTCTTCATTCATTCTTTTCAGGCTACAAACAAAAAAAAAAGGTGACTAGTAAACATGTGTGTAGCTGCAGGAGCTGCCACTGAAGCTTCAGGGTTAAACAAGGCTGAGTAATAAACTTGTATCAACAGAGTGCACACAAATGAGTGTTTACAGCTATTAAAAGCTGCCTGATTCAAGTTATGGCTCACAGAAAAACGTAAAAAGTAGATAATAATAGTGTAGGGAACTCAAGATGCTAGTGTGCACATTTCTCCGGATATGTCAAACATGAATTATATGTTGTAAAAAGAGGGGATTAACCGTGCAGCTCTGAGGGTTTGGAGCCTCAAATTTAACATATCACAGAGATTCTCCTGCAGTTGGCTACTCTGCGTTTGGTTTACATGTCTCGTTAGTGTCCACATTAATATCTACCTCCTGTGCTTTCTCCCTTCTGGTAGCATTCCTGCTGTCTAGACAAACAAATATGACAGGTCTAGGCCCACAGCTCGGACAGCCTTAGGTATGATTGCTCATGGCCGTCAACATTTGATCAATCTTTCACAAGTAAATCTTCCAGGGAGAATTCTAAGAAACCGTTTCAAAGCAGTAGTCCGGATCCAGGGCCAAACCACTGGTAGTAAACATCATAGGAACTGGCATTAAATACAGCTTTCGTAACGAAAAGCAATTCATGTCATTTATTATTTCATCACCACAATCAGGAAAGATTTCCAGTCCCTAGAAAGTAATGCATCACACTGGAGACAAACAAGTATAACAGAAAACAGGAGTAGAATTAAGAAAACGAGTTTGATCTCTCAATTAGACCATCTATGAGTCTGTTTTTGTCAAAATAAGATTTGTTTATTGGAATGAAATTTTAAAAAAAGGGAGAAAATGCAGATAAACAACATTTGGGTAACATAAAAGCAGCATGTCTCTGTTTACAACGCTATGGTCTTTATTTCTGTGAAACACACAAGCGAGGAGCAGGCCTCTCATAAATCTGAGCACAAGACGGACTCTCTAATGTTCTCCGCAGACATGTTGTGGCTGCTTGGTACGTGCCATGTCACCGGGCCAAATGTAGTAGCGCTGTAAATCATGATCTTACATTTCCAGAGAGGATGTAAAGTGAATGCATTTTTTTTCCGGATGCTACATGTATCATTCTGAAACTTGAGATGTAATGATAGTTTGAAACTTCAAACGTGTTCAACCAACTCAAACTTCAACTATAGAGCTCTAAAAGAAAAGAGGTGCCACCAAAAGCAAGATGATGCAGGATAGTGTAAAAAAAGACATAAAATACAGCTATTTTGGGACACTCACGCCAAACAGGAGTAAAATCATCGACTCACTTAATCCTGCGAAGCTAGACGCTTGAGAATAGTATTTACTCGCTTCATTTATGTGTCAACGGTAATTTCAGCGGCAATCCCTGCTAATTCAACTGGCGGGATCAAGTGATAGACAAACGTTTTTTACAATTTACCAGGTAATCTGAACTCTTTGCTCACTTGCTTCCAGATGAGCTCCTTTTAATTTCGGTTTCAGTAATTGTAAGAAAAGGTATCATATACCGCCCAATTCACGGCACTGGAGTAGTACGAGCATCTAATCACGCCTTTGCCTTGACTTCACATGTAATTCAGTCACTTGAATGATTTTACTCGCACTTGGTGTGTGGAGACAATAAGCCTTGGCTTTAGTCTAATGGCTATGAAATATCACAGTGCAGTAACTTTAAAGTAAACCTGTTATACCCCTTTTCACCTTTTATTATGCTAGTCTAGGTCAGCCATGGTGTAGCTTTAGATGACATGCAGCTAAGAACATAATATCTTAAACTTAGTATGTTTACATGCACGTTTCGGTTGAGCTGCAGACTTCGCATGATTATATGATTTATTTAGACTCCTGTCCTTGTCTCAGTTTACAAGCACCGAGCAAAAATTCTTGTTTTGGCAGAAGTAGCTCCACATCTGCTACATGACAACAAATCGACTTTCAGCGCATTACTAATCGGCTGTTTCCCAGTTGACTGAATATGTCAAAATAATCAACAAATGCTTTAACAAAAGGGCTGATGGATTGTACTTCGAAAGATGACAAACACCGTCAATTTTACATAGGATACCAAAGTTTTGTCTTTTTTCCTCTGATCAGGATTTGTTAATTACATATTCTAGATGTCGCTGCCAGAATACAAACTACGGAGCATTCAGAGAACACTTAAGAGATAATCAACTCGGTCCAACTGCAGGTAAATCATGTGATTTTTTCACACTAATGTGTTCAAATGTGTTTTAAAAGCTCATTTTTTTTAAGTTTGGATCAACTTAATAAATCTGTCTTTTTGAATAACATGTAAATGTACTTAGTTGCACTTGTAAAAACTGTAATTTCAGTGCTATCCATCTTCTCCCTGAAACACTTTTTATTCTTACTTACAGTGTGTAGTTGTGAGCCATTATGGAGGGTCTCTGCGGTCAAAAAAGCCCCAGGTTCCAGTAACAGCTGAGAGGCAAATCCAGCTTGCACTGGTAAAGTAGGTGAGGACAAACAAAGCTGCTGTTTCCTAACAAGTCAAAAACTTCTGTGTTTTTCAGAGTCTTGTCTTTGGGATGAGAAAATATCTTTGCCGTTCCCTCAAAATCAAGAGAACACTTAAGAGTAATTTTCTGCAAAATGCTGCATCAACGAAGCCCAGAGCAGAGGGGAAACAGATTTTTTAACTCCCAAATAGACATCTCCTGACAGCTGCAGTGTCCCAAGAGGACGACACAACCTCAAACCGTGCCTTTTAAAAAAGCTGTTTAAAGAACAAGAAAAACATGTCCCAGGCTTATGCCATCATCCCTGTGTTGCATTTCATGTTATGAAACATAGGCATCTAACACTGTTGCAGTATATGTATCTACTGAAGGATGGATAAGAATTAAAGGTCTCCTTAAAAAACCCAAATTCAGCAAGTTTGTGCAAACTCCATACAGTGTACTTTTTATTAGTTGGACCATCTGTAGTGAATTTCTAACAGGGAGAAGAGAGATGCAGGTATGTAACAAACAGAGAGTGAGTCCAGCTTTCTCACTGCTGTTTTTGTGGATTTGACAATCTTTTGAGTTACGATTTGGCCCTCCACGTGAGTGCAGAAAGGGTCCAGTGCTACAAGGTTTATTTTGGCCATGCAGCACAGTCTCAGTATGGATATTCTGTTAATAAAAACCTTGCCTTGTGTTTAGTTAAAGTTAAATAAGGACTTGAATCTGACCTTAAATTACTCTATGGAAGCAGGCTCAGCTGGAGATAAAGGTAAAGTTTCTTTGAGCGCATTATTAGAAGAATTACAGCAGCAGGTTTTTAGATAACACACATCTTGAAATGAGGTATGGACTGCTAAATGACCTGATGGCTGTAATGTCTGTCACTACTGTGAGGATCTAGGGAGCTTTGACAGACACTGTAGCTAATGGTACTTTTCTCTGCAGCACAGAATCCATCAAGATAAGCCTCCAGACTGCCGTTTACTTACGCCGCACCACAAAGTTTGAAAAGTTGTACAACTCATGAGAGCCCATCCCACTGACAGCGCCAATCAGATGTGCAGCTGCTTTTTTTTCCTACCGCTGCTTTGTATCATAATTCATCCCCCAAAGTATGTGATGCTGCTTTTTCATCTCGGGGCTCACACATGCACATCAGCCAAGCCACAGCTGACGCCACAGAGCTACTGTAGGCAAAAAAACCAGAGCGTACTGTTACTTTCGCCCTGTGCTGTCTGCCTACTCCTGCCCCACAGCCGGTCTGCCCCTGAAAGGCAGTCTGCTTCTGATTATGTGTGATCATCCTCCAGCTTGCCAGCCACATTTCAGACTCATGGGAGTCCTTTTTCCCCTCAAATCTGGCCCCCGTTCAAATGGAATTACACTGTAGCTTGTCTAAGCTGTTGTTAATTGCATTTATGGCAGCTACCAGCACTCATCAAGATCCCTGCTCGACTTGTTCTATAGAGTTTTTATGCATCAATTTAAACGTCATCACATTTGTAACACATATAGGTCACCCTTAAGTGCTGGACTTTTAAAACTTATTAATACCCCATCAAGTTTCATTAGACACACACCATTAAGAATTTAAACTTAATTTTGATTCTTAAATTCTTAATGCCAGCAGAGTGCTTAATACTGCAGCGACTTAACACTGTTGTCATCACTGCAGTTGGTGAGATGGATGCATTTTAATGACCTTAAATAAAGATATAAATGCATTACTTTGCAATGCATTAGCATATTCATAACATTTGTCAGTCATTTCTGAACACACCACATGAGCCAACAACACCATGTGTTTTCACCTCTCTGTGTCGGTTTATGGTAACATATATCACAGTATCATGTAATGGATTCGGTATTTTGATAAACGATAATGGTGGAGTAATTAAGGAAATAGGCTGAAAAGTAAATCTCAGTATTTTCCTTTAACACAGGCAAAGCCTGAGGAATCAAACCCGCGGATTTGCTGGGGACAAACTGATACGAAGACGTGGAAAACAGAGATGAAGAACATGTTGTGTTTGTGCTGTCAGAGGTTCAGGGTAGTTATTTTGGGCGAATCTTTGAAACCATATTTCCCTCGAACACGAGGAAAACACATTTGGAAATGATACATGATCGTGTTTGACTTTTGATTCCAGTTGTAGGGATATGCTGAATTGTTGAATGATGGTAATGATCGCGTAATGGTAGGATTGCCAACATTAATAAGGAAAGCCATTATGGTCGTATCAATTCATGTGCTGCAACGTGATACTTTTTTTGTTTGTGTAGAAGAGCCCAACCCAACTTCCTCCCCTCTCTTTTCAACTCTGGCTCTACTTGACCCCAACATGGGGCGTCAATGTCAGGGTTAGATACAGAAAATACAGGGAAGGAAATTTATGATGCCTGAATTCTCATGAAATAACATTAACATAACAACTATTAGACCATATTATTTTATTGGCAGTAGGTCTGTCACCTTGAAAGACAGGTCATGTCCACAGCTGTTTACTAAAGAAGAGAAGGTTGAACATGTTTAATCAAAAGCTCAGGAAAAACAACTAAACAGAAAGTGTGATGGATTATATGATTTTTGAGAAAATCATCAGTGGTTTTCGAGCCTAAAAGTGTAAAATTAGTAAATTTACTTGCAAGCGCTCATTCCTCATGGTGTCTCTGTTTACAGTATGATACCAAAGTTAGTAGCCCATGTGATTTACAGCGTCTGATTTGGCTGTCACTGTAGGAAAACAAGATCCTGAAAACCACTTTACCTGCTAGTCAGATCAGATCTATATTATTTTAGGATTAAATCCCATATGCTTTTCAGTTATGTGGGATATTACCCAGAATCTCGCTTCCTGTTTGTGTGTGTGTGTTTGTGTTTTTGCAACCAGTACTTTATATGAAAGTTAACGACCTGCTTTTTTTCCCCTGCAAATAAAATCGTTAAGCCCTTCCTCCCGAAAACCCTGGGCTGGTTAAGAGTACAACCTACTTGTATTTAGCAGGGGCTAAGGGGTAGGTCTTTTACCCCAGGACTTAATTTAGACCCTAGATCCAGTGGTCAAAACACACAGAGTTCCTCAAGAGGTCCTGAGTTCCTGCAGAATGGTCCTGGGATTCAAAAGCACCTTCAAAGAGGCTTCAGAGTCTTTAAATTTGAGAGACCTTGTTATGAGACCCTTTATTTGTGACAATGAATTATTATTATTATTTTTATCTTTTTATTTAATTTATTTTTTTCTTGGAGACCACATCAAACCGGGTCATAGTCTAATACTCCAAATTTGCTTGTCAAGTCTCGACAAGGTTGTTTTTGAGAGCCAGATTCAGGTTTGTGGGGGTTCTAGTTCAGGACCTGGTCTGGAGTGGTGTCTGGACTGGAGAGAAAAAGAAAAAAAAAAAGTTACTTGTGCCTGTGTTTAACATTTTGACAAACGGAAATAAGGTTTCACATATTTGAAACTGTGTTTTAGAGTCTGATGCTTTTAAATCCGGACCTGAGGTGTAGTGGTTTTGGATCAGAACACAGTTTCTTTAACCTGAAGCAGAGGTATGAATCAGATGCTAACTTCAGCATTATGTTTGGAAAAACGGTATTTTAACTTTAACAAATGTATTTAGGATTTTATTACGAATTTTGTTTTTACTTTTGATTTAAGAGTTTTTATTTTTCATTTAATTCAATTTATTTTGTTTAACCCGAATTGGCCACCTTAAAAAAATAAAAATAAATAAAAAGACGTAGTATTTCTGAGAGTTGATCTGGACATTATGCAGTAGGTTATAACTAATGTAGGCTGATTAAAGTATGACCCAACAGTTAGGTTTCCTTGCAGGTCTGTCTGTTCTTTTCTGTGCCACACAATTATACACGCGCACGCACCCACACCTCAAACACACCTCCCTCCTCTGTCTCTGGGATCCCAGGGTGGAAGACATCATCAGGCGGTCCAGGAGGTTGCTACAGCCGGTCGCGTCATCCGTGGATGGGCGGCGCGCTGACGAGGGTACGGGTGTTTTCCAGATTTAAAAGCACCGGAGCCGGCCCCTCTGACAAACCGCGCTGCGTCATCGACCTGGGGACACTCGAGAAAAAACCTCCAGAAGGCTGAGGAGAGTCAAACTCACCTCAACCAGACCTCTCCGCAGCTCTACCTGCGCCGGTCTCCAGATTCACTCACACACGACTTTTTTCCCCCCTCTCCCTTTGCTCGCTGCTTCAGAACCGCTTCGCTTCTCTGCGAATTATGCTTTGATCTCGCAGTGTCTGAAGTTATCTTGACCTGTTAATTCTAGAGCCGCTTTTTTTTAAACCACAGTCCAAGAGAAAGTTACACATCGCTTGTTGAATGCAGGATACCTTCTGCCTCAGCGTCAATCCCAAGTTAAGCTTTGGAGCAACAGCCGGTAAGGAGCGGTGTGTCACCTCTCTCAGCGCCGATATGAAGTCTGCAGAAGAAGGTAAAAATGATTATTCTTATTTTGTTTTAATGTATGATGCAATATTTATACAAGCGCTACGATTTGCATATATCGTTTTCTCATTTGACCGACAGATGTACTGACAGGTGCTGCTGCTCTGAAAGCGCTCAGGTTTTTTTATTTATTTATTTTTTCCAACTCTGCACGAGCAGTTAGCTGATTTTAAACTTAAAAAAAAAGAGATGTTAGTTAGAAGTTAGTGTTTTGGAAACTACTTTATAAATGCATTTACACGAACCCACTTGCAGATATCTTGCAGCATGACACAAATATTACTGAGTAGCTAATATATTATTTTCATCACTCATGTGTTCTTAAAAATTAAAGCTTTGACCCTGTAGGAAGACAAATGTAATCTTTTTTTAATTGACAGTTACCATTGACTGTGTGTCAAGCATCTTTGACCTAATATTTGCTGTTCATGAGGATCAAATTACCACGCATCAAAGTAAACTGAGCGTTTTGCACCCATTTTACATCCACACCAATAGGTGTCTCCAGCTGTCTTTGCTAGTGCAACCAATCATGTGCAAATAAGGGTTTCAGTGTTGCTGTCACCTGCACTCTTCCTGTTAAGAGACTCCACCTCAAAAAGTCATAGTTTTTCTCATTATGGTAAATTCAAATGAAGGGGAACTGTTCCTGAAAATGTTGGGTCTTAAGAGGGGTCAAAGGGAGGAAACCATCACCAGGTATTGTGTGGCATTCTGTGTCTTGTTTGGAGGGTGGATCCTGATTTCCACTGGAGGAAAGTTTTAATTTTTTTAGCTTTTTGATTCTGTAAAAATTGAAACTGATCTGTCTGATGCCATGCATGGTATATCTAGTCTGAATTCACTTAGTCCCCCTTGCTGACGTCAAACTTTTTGTGGATTTTATTTTGTCTTTGAGGTTTCAGATGGACGGGTGCGGGCTATTATTATTCATTTCAGTCCCTCAGTCTTAAGCTGTCTAATTGGTAGCAGACTTGTGTCTGTGTGTGTATAAGTAAGAAAGTTGTGCATTCAGGGATGCCGGGTAGCTTGCTTGACAAGGAAATGTGCTTAACCACACACAGCTTCAGCCATACGCCAAGGGCTGCTTTATTACCACACATATACATAAACTCAAACACACTCTGATGCTACTACACACACACACACACACACACACACACACACACACACACTACTGATGTGTTGCCACAGCCCACAGTCAGCCATGTGCGATAAGTGGCCCCGGGGTTCTTAGTTCCAGAGGCTGCAGATAACTTCTGTGGGCGACCACCTATCTCTCCCTGAGGTCCCGTCAGTCTGAGCCCAGCCTAGACCACAATCCCCGTGGATAAACCCATCCATTCTTTAGTCATGCTGGTTTGGTTTTGGAGAGAGTGTTTTGATCGTGATAGCATAATGGAGAAAAATTGGCGGGGACAGAAAGAGAACGCTATAATCTGTGTGATACTTGGTGTTTTCAAATTAACTTTGCTTTTACCGCATTTTGAAAGCACTGCAAACAATCGTAGAGGCTTGGCCTTGGGTGCAAGAGTGAGTCATTTTGTTTTTCTTTCATTTGTTTCACCCCACAAATTGTCTGAGATCTGGTATAATTTTGTTAGTTCAGCAGAAGTGGCGTGTGTGACCAAAAAGAGAAAAAAAAAAAAGACAAGTTAGATGATCACACTGCACACCACAGCGAAAGCCCGGAGTGTTTGAGTGGGTGGCAGAAGAAGTCAAGTTTGTTGCGGTGTAGCGCACTAATCTTGCTCTCAGTCAAAAGGAAAAAAAAAAAAAAAAACAGCTGCTGCTCTCAGAGAAGTCAGTCAAGCCTGAAGTGTGGAGGTGTGTCATCGGGTGGAGTGGGTAAGAGATAATCATCTGCACAACTCTAGAGGAGGATAGTCCTGAGCTGAAAAGCATCTGAGGAGACTGAGATGAAGGCGCTCAAGTGCTCATGGTGAAAAAAGTCCTAATAACAAGGACAGAGATGAGTTCCCAGAAAGAAGAGCAGGACTTTGACTTCAGCTATATGTTTGAGTACAGCCAGAATGAGCCAGAGAGAGGTGGGTTGTGTTTTCTTTACTGTCTGATCTGTATAATGCACAGTGTGAGGACACCGTTTTACTTACGACTAATGGAGGAAGAGCTTTTCTGCTAAAAAAGGATGTGAGCAGGTCTGCACCCAGCAGCACCTCAACCAAACAGATTCATATTTTGATTACTTTTTGATTGCAACTTTCTTAAGTCTCTGCTTTGTGAATATAATGACTAAAAGAAGGAAGAAAAAAACTTTTCAGAAAGTTTTTTTTTAACTTTGATTTTATAATTTCAACATCATAATTTAATGTTGACACTGGCCACATTTGAAATGTGTTGTCAACCTAAATGTCAACAAAGTTTATGTATATAAAACCTCTTGATGCACTCATTGCATAATTATCTCTGAAAATAGATTGTCAGAGACTACTTTTAGACTTCCTCCCCACATATTAAGCGCTGTGTGACACATTTATCTCTTCATGTGATGCACATCACTGTGGTTAGCAAATATAGAACAGCACATCAAGGGGAATGCCCTTCGTTAGCTTTCAGAATGAATTGTATTCATCCTGTGACCACTTAACCCTTGTGGAGATTATCACTAAAAGGCAGACATGAGGTGTACGACTGTGGACACACACAGCAGTGGACTGCTTTGAGGCTAAATGAGGAGGAATACCTGCTAGGACTTTGAATATTATGGCTCTTGTCTGCTGGTGTTATCCTTCACTGCTTGCTTGTGCTTGCCCTTTGTTTGTGTGTTTGGTGTGTGTGTGTGTGTGTGTGTGTGTACTGTGCTGCATCTGTGTGTACCGCTGCAGCAAACTCTCTTTGACTTAATCACAAGCTCAGGGCGATGCGAGAGTGCTGTCAGTTTTCCACAGGGGAGGGCCTAATTCACTCAGTGAGTGATGCAATCAATCAAATAAAGCATCCATCAGCGCTGCTGGAGGAATTCCTGTAGAGTACATACGACAGCAGGGAGTGCCAAATAGAGCCTTAGATGAACTGATCAAACAAACAGAGTGGCTTTGCTACTTAGGACTGCACTGCTACCACATATAGTAACCACTTTGTAATTGTTGCCACATTTCTCAAGATGTTGGTAACAAAGGAAGGCAATCATTTTCTGTGAGACACATTGGAGATATTCGTGCACGTACTTACAACTTTCTCCTTCTTTTCAGATGCATACAGCTACGCACCAAATGTCAGCTTGTCCCTCCCTGTAGGCATGGGCAACCCTTGCCTCGCCACCCAGTACCACACCCTACAGTCCAGTCCTGTCATCTCAGTCACCTCTTGCCACCAGACGGGCTACAGCTTTCAAAATGACAACCATAATGCACCAGGTTACTACCTTCCCCATGGCCTCAGACCCAATGGAGCCCCAGCCCTGGAGAGCCCTCGCATTGAGATCACGGCCTATAGCCAGTACCCTGAGGATGAGGTTGAAGAGAGCTGCAGTGAGGACCACGTCATCAAACGTGGCGTTAACTCCATAGTGACGCTGACACTCCCCAATGCCGATGGCTACCGTGATCCCAGCTGCCTCAGCCCTGCGAGTAGCATTTCATCTCGTAGCTGTAACTCTGAGGCATCATCGTACGAATCCGGCTTCTACAACTACGACAACTCACCGCAGAACTCCCCCTGGCAGTCTCCATGTGTGTCTCCCAAAGGCTCCTCCTCACTCCTGTCCTGCCATCATGCCAGTGGCCCTGCAGCCTCCCCTCGTCACTCACCTTCCACCTCCCCTCAGATTGGAGCTGTGGCCGAGGAAGGCTGGCCCGCTCAACCCCGCGGATCCAGGCCAAACTCCCCCTCCTGTGGTGGAGGCAACAGCAGTGGCAGCATGGGGAAGAGAAAGTACAGCTTCAACGGCACTTCATATCATCAGACACCCTGCTCACCCAACCAGTCCCCAATACCATCCCCACATGGCTCCCCAAGGGTCAGCGTCACTGATGACAACTGGCTCGTCAGTACCAACCAGTGCACCAACTCCGCCATCGTGGCTGCCATCAGTGCATTAACCACGGATGGAGTGGTAGACATGGGGGAAGGAATCCCAATCAAGACTAGAAAGACCATGCTGGACCTCTCAACATCCATGAGTCTGAAGGTGGAGCCCGGTGGCGAGGTGCTGGGGACTGATGGTGAGCTTTGCCATGAAGACTACCCCTCCCGCTTGGCTCTGAAGAAGGAGAGTTACTGTGGAGGGTTCCTGGATGTACCCCAGCATCCGTACTCCTGGTCCAAACCCAAGCCTTACCTCAGGTGGGTCAAGTTTCTCAGCTACTCAGAAGTACTAAAAACTACTTCAGTAGAGAAATTTATAAGATTAAACACTTAAGACTTCAAAGAACCACTTCAAACTTGTTGATCCTTTGCAGTTAGCTGCTGTTTTTCCTTAAAATGAAATGAATGACTTGTACATCTTTTTCAGGAAGGTTTACGGTTACAAAATGTCTGTCTGATGTCGGCCGTTAAATTTCTCAGGCAGTGCACGCAGTTTGTCATCAGTAATGCCACTACTTCATTACCCTTTTCTATTGTTTTTACATTTGTTAAGTTTTTATAATGCAAGAACAAGATTGTTTTAGTTTTCAATCTTCAAAGGCCACATCAAAAGTACAAAATCCAAAAGTTACATGCTCTGTACTTCCAAAAGAGTTCTCTTTGAAGATCAAAACTATTTCATAAATCATATTTCACAGGGAGGAGTTGCCCAGCATGTCTGCAGCTGTTACTATAGCAACCAACACACAAACATAAGTGCGGATGTAGTCACAATCACATGCATGGGCTCAGAAAAATACACACTCACTCAACTATATAATTGATTTTTGACTTTTGAGAAAGGTATACTTTTTTCAATTGTGTCCCTCCTGTCTTTTTTTTCCTCGCCAATAACACACTTTCCTGTCGGAAATCAAGTGTTTGATTAAGATAGTGAGCAACAGGAAGTCGTGGTGACAGGCCTGGCTGAAGGGGAAGCAGTCTGTGGCTTAATCAGCCGGCTTGCTGCTCTGGTGTGTCGCGCCATCAGCCCATCTCTTTCTGTGTAGCTAGCCCTGATGTCATACTCTGAGTGAGCAGATAAAGCCCTGCGGGGGGAAATCAGTTCGTTTTGGGTCAACAAACAGCCCGCAAGCTCCACAAAGATGCCAGAGATTGGTTTCAGCTGAGCCACCCTTCAGGTCAGGGGTTTGCAGTGACCAGGCATCCGGCGTACAGAAATATTGTCTTGCACATGTTTGTTTTGGTTTAGATATCTCCATAGTGTTCACAGGGGAAGCTCTAACTCTCCATCTCAAGAACAATGATGTTAGGAGAGGCCAGCAGTGGGTCTGAGAAAGAGATCTCATGCTCCAAGGCATACAGCTGACCCTATTCAGTTTTTTGTGATACTGCGGCTATCCTTCAGAATTTCAAAGCTATTAATTTTAAGTGGATAATTACTGTATCAAAGGACAAGCTGATTGCTGATTTGAGTGATTTGTTTTTGTGCCCTAGAAATGTCTGTCGTTCTGCTGTCACTTTCTCAACACCCCGTGTCTTTTTTTTTTTTCCACCTGTCACACCATAACACAAAACACACTGTTTCCTGACAAGGGCACATTCGGCTCTCATTTATGTTCTTACAGAGAGGGCTGCTAATTATTACCCAGGATGAAGGAATTACATGTCAGTGGATGACCTCAACTGATTAGATTAAAGTCAATGATGAAATAGAGGCGACTCAAGTCCCGAAAAAGTCTTAATCTGATTCATTTAAGGCAAGTTTCGATCATCAGAAATAGCCGAAAGATGCAACTCAGCTGTGAAAAATTCAGAGTATCAAATGTGGCGTAAGTTTGAGAATCAAAAGAGAAAATAAAATTTAAAAAGTTACCATATGATGAGACACAGAACAACTTGATTCAATACGAAGAGTAAAAGTACAATATGATAGGATACAGTACCATACAATATATGATACGCCACCAGACAGTACGTAATATAGTATAATATGTCATGGAATGATGCAGTGTTGTGCAAAATGGCATTGTGCAGTAAGACACAATGCATTAAGATATGCTTTAAATTACATATGATACTGACACAACAGAAAAAAAACACCATACAATAAGATACAATATCATATTAAATTATACTAAACAATATGATGCCATATGGCATACAATGCGCCACGATACAATACATATCAACCTAATATAGTATGCAACCTTATGATGATACGATATGTTACAATGGTATACCATATGATAAGTTTCAATAAGATGAGAGTGGGTAGAAAATGATTGATGCATCTCTGAATATACCTTACAGGTGAAATCTGTCTTGGTCTGAAGTATGGCACATCCTTTACTGCTCCTCAATAGCCCAAATAGAAAAGCACAAAGAAGCAAAAAACATGAGTTCACATTATTATTTTTTGCTTTGACAATTGTTATTGTTGTTTTGAATACTCTCAGTGGTTTTGTTTGTTTGTTTTCAGTTTACTGTCTTGTGTTGCACATGTTAGAAATAAAGCATTTCAAATCAGACTAAACCACAGAAACGCATACTAAAGGAAACCACTCACATGTATTGCACATTATTAATATTGCACAAGAAAACGGCACGAATAAGAGTTCATTTTTTGTATTGAGAGATCTGAACACAAGTAAAAATAACTGGTTAAAAGACTTAACCCTTCAGTTCAAAAGATTGTGCATAAGTTCAAAATAATTTACTATTCTGTAATAGAGGTCGCTGATTAACATAGGTTCTGTGTGTTTTGCTTTTACCTAATACAAATGTGTCATTTTTTTTCAGCCCATCTCTCCCAGCTCTTGACTGGCAGCTGCATTCCTGCTCTGGCCCGTACAACCTTCAAATTGAGGTGCAGCCAAAGTCCCACCACAGGGCCCACTATGAGACTGAAGGCAGTCGAGGGGCAGTGAAGGCTCTGTCTGGAGGCCACCCTGTAGTACAGGTATGACAGCAGCACAATATTACTGAAGGAGGGATTTGTGAATCTGATCTTAAGATTCTCTGTACACATCGCCTTTAGCCTCAGTCAAAGAACGCTTTGTGTGGTTGAACTGTGGAGTAATTTGCTGTCATTACAGCATAGGTGGTAACAAGCAGACAAACACACGCTGGTTAATTGCACATTACTTTTTGTGTTTTCTGTCCAGCAAGAAGCCAGTGACTTGGCCATTTAGTTGTTGACTTAATGACAGCATGCAGTCGCAGGGCAAACAGCATGACTTTATTATTCATCCTGACATTTGCACTTGATTCAAATTATTAGTGAAATCCTCTGAATTAACTGTCAAAAATCTTTCATCAAAGTTGAAAAAGAAACAAGCAACAAGAAGCTACTGCTTCAGACTTTGCATCCTGAAAGCATAAAGTACTCTAAAACAAATGGCAAGTTTGTGATTTAAGTTTAAAATTGCTTAAATTTTCATCAAGCTGATCTCAAAAGCTTCTTCTGTAACTTTTAATGGCAGTGGTACAGTGTATAAACATCCCAGCCGACATGTTTCTGCACTCCTATGCTGCGTTATTAATGTTCTCTGAAGCCAGGAGTCAATCTACGGCTGCAAAAGGTCGCCACGACCAGCAGCAGTGCACGTTGACTCAATTAGTATAGAGCAGGGCCATTGCCTCTCACTATTGTGCTTGGCGTACACTTAAAGAGCACACGTCAGTCTCGCCAACAGCACAGTACAGAGCTCCTTTCTCTGCTGCACTGTCATCACACTGTGCTGACATCTTGGTTTACTCAAGGTGGGGATGGAGCAGTGTGTGTTTGTGTGCCCTAAAGTTTAAGGGTCTTTTCCAAATTACAATATCATCAATTCAAAATAAAACATCAAAGCCAGAGGGAGTTCTCCATTGACAAGTTTGTTTAGGACAAGACTGAATTATTCTTATTGCAGATGTTCCTTTTTTAAGACATTACTCCCTATAAAAAGAGTTTTGTAGACCTATATTGGAGCTGGGCGGAAAAAAAAATGATAATACTATCAAAAATGAATTTCCCTTGATATCAATCTGAAACATGGTCAGTATGCTTTCTGATAGCCGACATTCTGCCATGTTTTGGTAGACTATACTAATAGCTAATGAAAATGGGAGTTGCTCCAAGTCTGCACCACGCTGAACCAATAGTGCTGAGTTAGAGCCAAGTAGCAAACAACTGCGTAGCAGCAGGCTGCAACTACATACAACCATAGCACGCAACACATGAAGCCTACAGCGCTGTAGATGAGAAAAAAAGAAAATGAGTGCTACCCCCGGCAGAAATGCAGATGAAGGCTCAACAGATGACAACATCGTTGACCAGACTGGCACAGCAAGTGCCGTTTTCTCTCGCGCAACGCCTTATGACAAAATGTTGAAGAGACACAAAGCCCTCAGAGACAGTTGCTTATTGTATTGCAAAAGACATACAATCAATAAGCACTTTTACATTTCATTTAAGAGTAACAGGGAACATTTAAGATTGACGAGTGTTTTTTTTTTTTTTTATATCCTGATATTTATCGATATTGACTGATATGAAAAAAATATATATTGTGATAAACTTTTTCCCATATCGCCCAGCCCAACCTATATGTTTTCAGGATGGTGGTCCCTCCATGTCACACACTTAGCAGTAGACGTTAGCACCACAGCTGTTTTGTAAATAGATGCTGTCAGCAAACCCTGGTCTGCTCTGGGTTGAATGCACTTGACAGCTGTTGGCCTACGTGCTGATATAAACAGGCTTGTCAACCTTTAGGTTTTCTCTGTAAATACAGGTAATTATTCCCCTTCATTACAAACCCTTGTATATCAACATGCGGGTGAATCAACACCCCACACCTCCACGTGAGGCAGACCAGACTCAGCTTGCCATGAACAGCTGCGGCAGGTGAGGCTGCTTCTGATTAAGTTTACTTTCTGACTCACTCGGCCGGCGAAAAACTCATGAGTAAGCATCCTGTGTCTTAGCACTGTGATGTCCAGATTTAGATTGATGACATGGGCTATTTGTTTGATTCTGCGCAGACACCAAGTCAATGCCAAATTTGCAAGGATGTTTTCAAGTCTGTCTGCGTCTGGTTAGCCAATATCAGTAAGTACTAGTCATGGAGAAAATATGATGACAGCTGCTTTACCGTCACACCTCCCCCCTCCTCGCATAGCTCACACTTTACTCTTACTTTTTACTGTGGAATGATTTATGCCTCTGATATTACATGTGTAGACATTTAGGATATCTTGGGGGAGTTATGACAGTGAAAAAAAAACACTGGAAGCATGTAGTTGGCAGGAAGATAAATGTATGAAGATCCTGCAATCAAGTGTACATGCTAGAGGGGAATAATATAGACAAAGAAAAGAGCAAGTACTATACCTTTAAGGTCTCATAAATCTGACTGGCTCACATTTTAGTCTATGTTGATATGTGGTGAGACATTTTGTTGTTGTAGTCTAAGAGGATAGTACATGTCATAGTCCCCTGTGCCCTTGGGCAATGAGTGGCAAGCACTGGATGGGTGAGGTGCAATCAGGGAGAATAAGCCAATAATGACACCAGTGTAGGAAGCAGCTAAGGAAGTGTCTATGTGTGTGTGTGTTAGTGTGAGTTTGTGTGTGAGAGGGAATGGAGAGTAGAGAGCAAAAGAGAGAAGGGGCAAAGGGAGTCACCAGGCAGCTGGGGCCTGGCTGCCCCAGGAGATGCTCTGTATCCTGCTGATTAGAGCCTGGGCGGCCCTGAGCATGATGGCGGCAGAGGGTTGTGTTTTTTTTTTTTTTTTTTGTGGTGGTGGTGGATAGGAGTCAGAATCTCGGCACCCATCAGGCACCACCTCCATCTTCCATGCACTGGTGCCTCCCTCTCTCCCTGGAGGACCTGGGGATGTCACTCCTCGTGAACTGCTCATCCTTCAACCATCTCCCAAACCCACACCAGTAGGGCTCCCTCTGTTAAAGCCCAGTCATCCACAACTGTATTGTTTTTTAGCACATGGATGATCAGACACACGCGCTTTGAGTGATGGTGACATGTGTGATGGAAAGCAACACTGGCTGAATAAACAGTGAGAGGAAAAACATGAAGGGTTACACTGTTTCAAGAGCGTACAGAGTTCCCAGGAGAGACTTAAAGTCAAACCAGGGTGCCTAACATCCATGAAGTGTTCCCGTCTTGTTATTCAATAACAAGCAGATGTGTTTTCTCCACAACTGCACCGCAAAGTTAAGCATCTAAAGGTCTGACATCATCCTTAGCTGCAGTAGATCAACCACACCCCATTCAATGCTCCCCACCACACAGGATGGAGACATTGTGGCATGGTTTGGTGGAGAGAATGGAGCGTCTCAGACCCTAGATTATGGGTTACCTCGACTCACTACTTGCACCAGCTCTTTTAGCCTCAAGTTACAAATCTCTTTCATTTATTCAGGACCCGCACTCAGACCTTCTTTCTTCACAGTGGTCCACTTTTTGACCCCTGCAACTGCTTTTCCACTTTATTTACTGCATCAGACCACAGCGTCATTAAAAGGGATTCAGGGGTTCCCTGTTGGCCATTCTCACACTGCTCTAGACTTTCCCCCCTCACCACAGGTATGCCAAAACCTACAGGATGGTTTCTGATGCTCAGGAAAAATAACAACCTGGTCTACCTTCACTCAGAATACCACCATGACATTGATCGATGGATTTTTCCAGGGGAGAGTGGGCGGAAAGAGTATATGTAAGGAATATTTTATACAGAATTAAGTGATAAAGGACATGACCTGGATCCGGTCTAAAGTCTGGGGTTTGCCGAAGATGTTGTAAAGGTTTTTAGGTTCAACCTCAGTCAGGAAACACAAAGACATCCGCTTAGTAACAGCAGACAGCAACACCTGTGGAGTATTAAATCTATCGCGCAGCATGCTGTAAGGTCCTGCATATGGCTAGCTTGTATGGGATAATGACTGGCCTATAGGGCCTTCCCCCTTGTGCATACACTTACTCTCCTTCGGTCTCTCATTAAGTCTGAAGCAGCAACAGACATGGTGTAATTTCAGCAGGATGTGGCCATCATCTCCATTAACGAGTGCGTGACTTAATACCCATCTCCTTTCCTCTGCACTTGTATGTAATGTATGTCAAATTTGCAGTATGTTTCCGCCACAAGAACATGAAAGACCTTGGCCAACATGTGCTCGCCTCTCTGCATGTGCAGTTTCACCTTGGGATCCGGTGCTTGCTGGCTGCGTAGCGTCTCAAAAGAAACCCACTGATCTCCAGCACCCTGTACTGTAGCTGCTAATTGCTCATTAAATCTACTGCCGCCTCTTGCTTGATATCCAAGAGGCTTGGTTTACGCTGTAGTGTAGTGCTTTAGAGCTTAGCTGGGGCAGTTACTTGTTGCCCAAAGGGGTATTTATGCCACTCTTAAACTGTGGTTCTCCGTCTGCAGGGTTTCCCTACATTGGTAGTGGGCTACCACTAATTACCAGTTAATAGTAAGCGGAAAATATGGAGTAAGATTCGTATCATTTTTACTGGTCTGAGGTGATAAACAGACAGGCCACATATTTATGAAGAGAGAAACTAATGGGTAGTCGTGGAAGAGGGGGGCCCAGCAGTCATTCATGCGTCGTCTTACTCATATTCTCCATATTTTCTGGATGATATTCCTATGGCGGGCTGTGATGGTTACCAAGTCATTCCTTTTGTATGGAATTTGGACCCTCAATGGTCTAGACAGGGGCTTGTGCTTGAAACTATGCCCTCAATGACATAACAGTAAAGCAGACAGTTCAAGGAAAACCTTGAGGGATAAAACCGTTCATTTGCTTAAAAATTGGGACTTTGTAGCCGTAGGAAAAACAGCACAGTAAAAGATTGCTTAGGTTGCCTGATGCGTTGAATATGAGGCACTCGAGACATCAGCGGGGCAGGCGGGTGATAGAGTAAAGTCTGGAAGGGGAGACGACTTGGACGAGTGTACATTTAATTGGGTACAGCAGAGACTGGCTGTGTGACTGTCAGCACTTGACAGAGAGAGGGGAGCGTGATAATGGGAAAAGCCTGAATCTGCTGTTCAATCTCTCCTCCCCCTTCTACGTCCCCCCTCCACTCACTCCAGTCGTCCTCTCCCTCAGCTCCCCCTGATTCTGTGTGCCACGTGGAGTTCTACGAGTCATGACATTTCTCCAGGCAGTGATGAAATCAGTGAGGAGCGACAGAAGGCAGCACACTGCAGGCCTGTGGAGAGTATTCACACTCAATTTCTGGTCAGGCCAGACTCCTCTAATTTATCAGCGAATGACCATTTACTATTGCCTGTTTGAATCCTTTCTTTTACAATTGAGGCCAGTCAAAGGAAGTACTGGAATTGTCACTGCTACCAAGAAATGAGAGGAAAGAAGTTGTTATGGAATTTTTTTTTTCGGGACAACTGATTTTCTTTGGTTTGAAGGAGCGGAAATAGGGGAGAAAAAAAACTCTTGGATCAGTTTCACACTGGCTGAAACTTTCAGTGCAGATGATGAATCTGCCATGGTCCACAAGCACTGGGAGATGAATGGTGGAAAGTGGGTGGGATGGACCTCCTTCTCCTCTTTCCTCAACACCCCTCCACATCATTCCAACTGACCCAGACAATACAGCTGCATACAATTACACAATTAATGCATCAGCTGCCACATCCATAATGTTTTACTTTCGCCTCAGCTATCAGAAATGGCCTGCGCAATAGCGGCTTGCGGTAGGAGGTGTAAATGGATCTAGCTGACACAGTGGCAAGAGTTGGCACCCTGAAACAGCTGCAAATCAAGTCTGGATCAAACTTGGTTTGGATTAGCTCAAAGTAAATATACAGAGCGTGTGCCAGATACAGCTGCAGTTACTGCTGGGAAAACTCATCTGGTCAAAATTAGCCGTTGCCTGCCTCAATAGCACTGGACACAAATATAAAGCTGAGGTCACAGGTGTGTGCAAAGTCTATATTGTCACCCAGCAGCTGTGCACTCAGATAGGCTGAGGGTAAATGCCCCTATGGTACCCTCATGTCTAAAATAATGCCACATAAGTGCCAATCTGAACACCTTCGAGGTTGACAAATATGTATGAAATGCCTCAAATAAAGTGCCCGCTGGATGTCCTTGTAGTGGATTAAATGTAAACTAAGTGCCCTCTGGATGCTCTTCCAGTAAAGCAATGTAAACAAAGTACCCTTTGAATGATCTGATAGGGAATGAAATGTAAACAAAGTGTCCTCTAGATGTCCTTCAGTTGGGGAAATGTAAACAAATCCCCTATGGATGCTCTTGAACTTCATGAATGTAAACAGAGTGTCCTCTGGATGCTGTTTCAGTGGGTGAATTGAAAATAAATCCCGTTTTACATGCTCTACCATTAAATAAAATACAAAGTACGCTATGTCAGCCCTCCCAGCAGATAAAATGTGAAGTGCCTTTTTGATGCCTTTCTAGTGGGTGAAATGTAAACAAAGTTCCCTTCCAGTTGATAAAATGTGATAAAGTGCTGATTTAACTTCCCTTATGTTATTTAATTGGAAGTTGTAACCTCAAATTCAAAACTTGCATGACAGCTTTAGTATTATATGGCAGCAGGTGCTTTTTTAGTTTATTTGGCCCCTTCCCTCCAAACAGCCTGAGTAAACTACTGCCTCTCATCGCTTAAAGTTGACAACACTTTCTCGACTGTTTCCACTCATGGTATTTTCCTTCAAGGACTGAAATGAATAAGTGAATTTAGCTCTCTGCTTGTGGTGAGTACTTGAGTGAGCATCACGAAAGTCTAGCAGAAGCAGGGCGAGGGTCAGGGAGCACATATGGTAAAGGAATCGGGGGAGGTCGCCCTGGGGGGACTCGACCGCCATCCTCTGCTTCTGGGAAGACCAGCGTCACCAAGAGGGCTACCTGACCTCATTAATCACTTCCTCTCCTGCATGAGGTCACTACGGCTTTGAGCGTGGACACCGCCGCCAGTGTGTGCTACCGCAAGATGAGTGAAGGGATAAAGACCACCCCTCCCTCCAAGTTCTCTTGTGGGCCTCTTCAGAGCCACGTGGCTGCTGAGGTAATGTTTGGAGGTCAGCGAAAGAAGTCGTCTAAGGCACAAGTGACAGATGACACAGCTTTGCAGAGCGGCTGCCTGCCTTTTATTAAATCACGAGGGGGACGTCATGCAATTTAACGCTCCGGTGTTTCAGATTTGTACCTCATGCTTCGCCGTAGAGCTCTCACAAGTCAATAACACAAGTAACTGGTAGCATGTGTGGCTATGGATAATTACCTCTGGTGACACCATAAGTAAAATATAACAAGCAGAGCAGGGTCTGCTGGTGAGATCACCGGATAGATGAAGTGGTCCCTTGGGATGCCAAGACTTCAAGAAGCTCCTGACCTCGGCCTAACTCACTGATGACTAGCATGTGTGACTAGCTCACAGGTCAGGACAGCTGCTAGAGACACTATGTGGAGCCGAGGAGAAAAGTAGGATAGTTGGAACAGGAGATGAATGACAGTCTTCACCACTCCTTTTGTATCCACTTGATATTTGGATCAGAGTGTACAGCCAGACATTATTGAGACATATGGGGAAATGCTCTACTCTGGTGTCCAGACAGACTCTATTTTCATTCTGCCTAATTAACACTATAAATTGTTTAACTAGAGGAAGAAAAAACACATCCTCAGCCTTGTCACGAGTCCAAATGATCTGTCACCAAGTCCAGGCTTAAGGCCTTTAATCGTCATGTTTATGATCAGATCAGACAACTTGAAAACTCTATCTAGGAGAATTAGTTCTTAAACTAAAGACTCAAGGTGTCCGTGACACTAGAGCACTACTTTCCACAGTCCTCTAATAACATATCTCTCTAGAGTTCCTACAATTTTCATCTTCCTCACACCCCCATTCCTGACCGCACTCACTAGGGTAATTATAAACCCATTTATCAGATTATGTCATAGGTTACATGTGTTCTGCATTTTGTTATATGACTCAGTCTTTTGGATAAACAACGGGGGTCTTTTATTCCACTTGACGGGCCCACTGTTTTCATGGAGCTCAAAGAAATAGATCTGGAGTGATGCATGAGTGTGTGTTTGTGTAATTGACCAATTTGTGGGATTTTTCAGATGCTTATGGCTTAGTGAGGTATGGCTCTGAGTATGTGATCACTCCGTAAATATCATGTTGTGAAGTATCTACCTGTAGACTGATCGTTGAAGGTGCTCACAAGTCTTCTCTTAGTTTGAGCCAGATGGATTTTTCAGGTTTCTGGCAGTCCTTAGAGGGTGTCTAACTCTGTGTTAGACACAGAGATGAATGTTGTGGCGTGCTGGCTTCTCTAGTTATACCAACTTCAGTAATGACCGCACGATAGCAATACACAGCGGTCTATCACTCCACATGCAAACCTCAACCAAAAAGCCACTCTATAGCCACAAATAATGCTCGGAACAGCACCTAACTTCATCAACAGTACACAAAGGGTCCCAGCCATAGTACTAGCCATCAAACATCTTTTTAGCTTTGCCTGTATTCTTTAGCAAAGAGACCAAACACAACTCACCCACACTCTTCCAGCAGCCGCTTGTTTGTGGGGGAGTCCTGACGAGTAGATCACTGAGTGCAGAGAAGTTTCGCAGCTCAACGAAGAACATTTATGATTATTACTTAATGGAAATGCAATCAGACTGAGTCGCTAAGGCAGAAGAACAACTGCGTCTGCAGTGCAAAATGATTAATAAGATGATAATTACTTCAAGTAAACGACCTGCTCAGTGTTACGGTGTGTTTAACCCTAACTTAATTTTACACCCCAATATCCCTTTCAGCTGTATTGTCACTAAGCAGTCCAGTTCAGTTTGGTTAGGAATGGGACACAATTACTCACATTTATATCGTCAAAAAAGGTAAAAGGTACCAAAATATCTGATCCATACTGTACTACTTTTTGGCACCCATTTGCTATTGCACCAGGAGAATCAGTACCCTAAATAATGTGCCTTGAATAATTGTTACTCAGAATTTTTGACAGCTTTTTTTTAAGCAGTAGTTCACTATGGGCACAAATTCACCAAATCACTGCCCTGGATAATACAACTTCAAAATAAAAGCCTTGTGCGGAAACAAGGGGGTTCCCTCCACGGCAAAAACAAGCAGCACCACAGTACATTTTCATGCTTGTGACAGCTTATAATTTTTCAGCATACTTTGGCTGAGATCTACATGCAGCTTTCCTGAGATGGACATGAGCAGTGTGTGAGATGTGCTGCTGGCAAACTCAACAGTCTATCCTGTTCATATAAACCCAAGGATGGAAATCAAGCTGTTCCTGTCCTTTCACAAAACCAACATGCTTCCTGTGTTAAGCACCAGGGTACAGTTGGCTGTGGAAATACAAGCAAGATTAGAGCTCCCTGTATCAAACCATAACTAACTGCACTGACCCAAACCAAACTGTTCTGTGGACACGCACCATGAGCCTACGGCAACATCCGCCCAGCTGACCGTATAATAACTGCAAAATGCAGTGAGCAGGGATATCCTGGGAGGTCCATTGTGGAAGACTCACTTTCACCAGTAATCCACATTTGGTTGGCAAATTACTCTGGTCAGAAATCACACACTAAGTATCGGTTGTCCTTTACCACAGTTTGGAATTTGCAAACCAGCCTGTGTGTGTTCACATTTCTGAAGCATTACACACTTGGTTAAATCATCAAATACCAAATGTAAATTGGCGGTTTTAGTTTGTAATTGAACGTGTCTTTGACCAAAAAGTCAACAGTGTTCTCTTCAAACTCTGCACGGCTGACGGAGTTTTTCTTCTGTTTTTGAAATATTTGATCTTTTTTATTACTTGAGCAGTAGCTGCTAATGGAGGTCTTCTAGAGGAAGTGGTGGTTGTTTGAAGTGGTGGTTCTGATACAGGAGTCTCTTTCATCACAGTGGGACACAGTCTCTGAGCTTTAATGGAAATCATAATGCATGTTCATAACTACCCAAAGGCAATAAGGGGCGGGCGGCACGCCAAGTTCCATGAAGTTTTTTTGTTGTTATTATATTCAGGTGTTAAGTTCGCTGAAGTTGACAACCTTTGTGTGGAATTTGTGTTTTGCATCTTCAGGGTGGTTGCTGTGTATGTCATGATGTCTGTTTACAATGCTGTAAAGATTTAAACCACAATTCACCAGTGCTGAAAGGTTGAGCGCCAAAGTTTCATGACTCAAATATTGTGACAGAGCTCAGATTATCGCCCTGATTTCTTACTTTGAGTTATAAGGGTCACTTCTAATGAGTCACTGTTGACTTCTCGCTTCTCTGTAGGTTTTTTGTGCAGTGTAGAGGTAAGATCTTAATGAATGGATTTGTAGAGTAGTTGCCTCTAGAACGCAGATCCCAACCCGAGACAGTCTCAAAAAAACATCAAACTTAATCACTAGCCCCTAAAGAAATGTAGAAGTAGCTCATAAAAGTCAAACTTCTCTGTGCCCTAAATAAACGTAGAAAAAATGGCAAGGGCCACACAGTCTCCAACCCAACCAAAAAACAAACAAGGGATAGGGGTATATTTTTGTAGCCCCTCTACCATCGCAAAGCTATCATTAGAGGCCCCCTTAACTGTCAGTAGCTGATGTGCATCCAATCTTGTTTCCTAAATGAGGGGTTCCCTGACATGGGGGTCTTAAAACCTGATGTTTCTTCTCACCTGGGTCCCTTTGTTCTCCCCGCCAGCTTTATGGCTACATGGAAAGTGAGCCGCTCACCCTGCAGCTGTTCATAGGGACCGCAGACGACCGCCTCCTGCGACCACATGCCTTCTACCAGGTCCACCGCATCACCGGCAAAACCGTCTCTACCGCCAGTCATGAAGTCATGCAATCCAACACCAAAGTTCTGGAGATCCCTCTGCTGCCTGAAAACAACATGAGAGCCATGTGAGTGCTCTTAGACCTTCACAAGCTGCCTATCCATCTTTTTCTTTCCACGATTTTTCACCGCTAACTTTGACTTTCAAAACCACCCACAGAAAAAAACACACACATTTCTCTCTGTCTGCACCTTGTTCTTTGCTTCAACTCTACACAAACAGAATACCTGATGATAGGTACTGTACAGCACACACGTCTAAATAGGTCTTTAAAAATTAGATCAATGCCTTCACCCCAAGAGATGCATCAGTTCTGAAGAGGTGAAAGAAGTACTGAGAGTTGAATCCATGGCTGACTTGAAATAAAAATGTTTGCACAAAAACTATCCAGCTGTACAATGCAGTCCTGTTAAGCTCAGCCAATATTTGCCAGTTAGTTTGATGTATTAGATAACTGCTGTTTATCTGAAAAGTTTACCGAAATGTCAAGTAATCAGGATGTTCAAGTAATCAGTCACTTGCTGAACAGTAAAAAGTTCTCTATTGACAACAAGTGAGAGGTTATAATAAAACAACACAACGTCTGAAATTACTCTTAAAGAGGGATTTCATTTACATGTATGCTCTTCACAGCATGGATTTAAGCTATATTATAATATTATTTTATAAGATCAAAAATAGTGACTCTACAGTATAGATGGGTTTTTTTTTGGTACCATGATACATCAAAAAGTCGTCTGTTAAAGAAAGGTCCTTCACAGCTAATGTGTAAAGAATTTAAGACTGGCAACTTATAAAACACTATCAATATGTGAGTGTAAGACTGGAACAGTTAGCTTGTCATTATACGTTTAGTTTTTGTTATTAGCTTTGACTATCAGTAGTTTTAACACTGAGTTTGCTCGCCTGCTTAAATTTACTACTTTGCTATCAAAATGAGACACAAAAAGAGCGAGCTGACATACACTCCTTGAAAGTTTGTAGCTGTGTGCTTATCGTGAGTTTTGTGCTCTTTTAGTTTTATCATTAACAAAGAGAAATTTTTGTACTCACAGTAAAGGTGTGGTTGAAATAACAACAAGCAGGCCTCCTCTCCTAATGAAGCATAGTTGTGGTTTACCTGTTTCTAGGACATTTTGGCAACAGTTTTGTATACTGGAGCCTCTCTCATCCATCTCTAGATTTGCAGCGATCCAAAGGGGTTTCTGCAATGACAGGTTGCAGGGCGGTGAATGTTTTGGACCAGGGCCTAGAACTCTGTGTTATGGATAATACCTCTGTATTTAAACATAGGTTACATAAGGCTGTTATTGAACCCTAAGTTAACCCTGCTTCGTCTGGATATTAAAAACACAGATAATATATCTAACAGCGTCACTAATGCATCAAATGCACTTTTCTGATTGGATGGTGGCTGTCTTTGGTCAGGCATGGATTATTTTAACATTCATACTGCTTCACAATATCTTTTCCAACAATACCACAATATCCTGTAAGATGTATCATATTTAGGGGCGCCTCTGCATTGACTGGACTTAATGTGTCCCTAAGGATGAATCTGATATTATAAAAAACATAAAGGAGGAAGTTTATGCTCCTATGTTTTCATCAGCACACGTGCTAAAGAGAGAGGAGGGAAGGTTCTTCTTTTCTCCGCCGACTCTCTGAAAGGTCAACCAGGAAAAAAGCCTATAACTACATCTTTCCATTGAGCTGTTTAACAGTCGTCATGATAAGCTGCATCCATCTCTGCCATCAATCATTTAGCTTACTGTGTGGGTAGAAAATGCTGTATTTAAACTTTCAGAAGGTTACAGTCTGTTTTTCTTTCCTAAGTCAGGAATTTTTTGTTTCATATACGCAAGACAATGCTTTCTTGTGTGAGTGTGGTAATTTCCATTATGCAAAATAATATATTGTTATAAATACCTGCCACAGAGTCATACAGTTGGGCTTAAGAGTTTCCGTTAGTTAATGATATAGTAATATTCACAAAAATTTAGTTGGTGAAGTTTAGTTCAAGTTAAAGTTTCAGTATTTTTATATTTCTGTCCACTCGCAAAACCTCAATTTCATCTATTCCAAACATTTCATTATTGAGGATACAGTATAACTGTCATCTGAGGATATGTGGGCCATGAAAACTGGCTCCAGCTCATCTATGAAGTCTGCCATCCTGTGTTTGTATTAAAGTTATTCACTCACCAGAGAACTTAAACATCATGCAAGGTTGATAAGAAGTGAAAAGTCAGCATTTCATTTTTTTTTTTCCTTATTTGTGTAAGTAGTCCAAACCAAAGACAAGGGAAGAAATAGCTGAGTATAAAACCTGACATTTACCACGTTCCAGGAAACGTGCCCAAAAAGCTACCATGTAAAATAATTGAAATGCCAAACCATATCACATTTCCATTCCCTCACTTTTTTTTACCAGCCACACTAGTTTTATATTAACTCATCAAAGGCCGTGTTTGAAAATTAATGCCATTTTTCCACCAAGACAAGGGAAAGAAAATTCATTCCTTTACCTCCCAAACTGTGAAATGAAGTAAATAAGGACAGACGGTTCAGTAAAGGTCCAACTGCTACACGTGGCAGTGATTAACAGAGGTTTAAAACCCCAAAAGCGTGAAGCGAGAAGCTTGAATGGTGTGACTGGACAGTGTTTGGTGCACTTGGATAGCAATAAGTTGACTTTGTGTATACAGACTGCAGCTGATGGGAGCTGAGGTGCTCCGATCATTCCAAAAAACTGCTAATTGTTGGACCACTGTGACCCCTAAAAACTGTTATTGAAGTCAATCGGGTCCAGCTCAGTCTTTGATGAGATACTGGATGAATATGACAAATTCATGCTTCGGTGAACTTCCAGTGCATAACCTGTGGCACTAGGGGGAAATTAGCTGCTGGTCTTTATGTGCTGCAACTCTGCTTAATGTCTCAATGTGAACATTCAGGGTCAGAGAATTAAAGCTGCTCCCATTTCAGAGTTTCATTGTTTTTTTTATGTGTAAGCCTCAGAAAGAATGGCGGTGAAGTGTGACCTATTTTAATCATTACCTCTTTTAATTATGTTAGTCTGGGACTCCTTTGGGTGGCTTTGGATGATTTGCAGCTCAAATAAAAAAACAAAAACATGTTAGCTTCCCATTTTATGTGTGTTATCGTTCTATTACCACATTGTCACTCACAGGTAGTAGTTTTAAACCTTCATGGAAGGTCTTGAATGATGAAACTGCTCCTTACTTCAGTAACAGCTGAGATGGAAATCCAGGGCATTCTGGCCTTTGTTTACAAAAGAGTCATCTGAGCTGTCGTCCCAAAAATACGCCAACTTCCACTGTTTTTTGGTGCCTTTGTCTTTAGAAAGAGGAAGTCACCTTGACTTCCATTAGCCAGGAAGGTTCAGGGCAAGTGTTGGACTCTTGAAAACACATTCAGGGATTACACAAACGTTAGTGTATCTCATCATTCTGAGACTGTGGTGAAGTTAACCCTGTTTAAACTATGTATTAAAGTATGGACCAGCATGAGAGGTTGTCCATGATAATAAGAAATGAGAAAAGCCCACTGGTTATACAAAGACTAGCACACAGAACAACATCTCTCCACCACAAAATATCAGGCTTTAAATACATTGTGAAGCTTTCTTTGCCTTTTTTTCCAGAATTGATTGCGCAGGAATCCTGAAGCTGCGCAATTCTGACATTGAGCTCCGCAAAGGGGAAACCGACATCGGACGTAAAAACACCCGTGTGAGGTTGGTGTTTCGAGTCCACATCAACCAGCCCAATGGCAGGACAGTTTCTCTACAGGCTGCTTCAAACCCCATTGAATGCTGTAAGTCACTCACTCTCATCGGTGAATTCACAAACGGGCCTCTCTTTTCTCTCTGCACTCCACTTTTACAAAAAGGTGGCACCTATTGTCGTAATCCAATAAACTGCAGTAGTATTTCATGAGCTTCTGGATAAAATTCAGTTCCTGCAATGAATATATTGTACATAATGCCAGACTCACATTTTATCTATCCCAACCCATGTTTTATGACTAAACACACAAGTTATTGTGGTCAGACTTCCCCATTAACACGAGTTCCTCAAAGGTCATTTTCAAGCCCAAGTTTTTGGCGCGGTTGAAGCAGCACATTGAAAGAAACCTCTGTTTCTTTGTCATTCATTTGTGTGTAGGTATGATGTTATTTGCACCTAAGGAAGCCAATTAAAGTGAGATGGTGAGACGGAGCTGGCATCGTGGTTTATGGTCCAGGGTGGATGTTAATCCAAGTTGATACAACATGACAGAAGGTTTATTCAGAAAACTCACAATTTTTTTAGTGCTTTTGTTGGCTTGTTATAAAATTAAGCTTGGGTATGATGCATGCCCTGCCATGGGGTAATAGCTCTACATACCTGTTTAACTGGCGTTAGATCTGATCATCAAATATTATTGGCCAAAGACTGGTAGCAAGTCTCTTTTATAGGCAGCAGAAGCAGGTGGTTAGCTGAAGGCTAAAAAATGGAAAACAAGGGTTTAGGCATGGAAATATCAATTTTGTACACTGTCTGCATTCCCAACGTCATTCACAAAGCAGCTGCTGGCGCAAATCCTCTTAGCCAGGGGTCATGAAATCATCATTGTAAAGTTGATAAGCTTGTTTTCTTAACCGAGATCTGCTGTTTTACTGGCTGTGTGCTGGCCTTGTGCTTCTCAAAGTGGATGGAGATCAGGCAGTGAGCTCACACACTGAATATTAATGTGTGTGTGTGCATGTGTGTGTGTGTGTGTTTCCTCAAACAGCCCAGCGTTCAGCCCAGGAGCTACCCTTAGTGGAGAAGCAGAGTGTGGACAGCTACCCTGCCACTGGAGGCAAAATGATGCTCCTCAGCGGCCTCAACTTCCTCCCGGACTCCAAGGTGGTGTTTGTGGAGAAAGCCCAGGGTGAGCACCACACCATGTTTACTGCCCTTCAACCCCCTCCTTGCCTTAATATCTCTGTCAAATGTGTCTCTCCTCCTCAGCCTCAGTCTTTTCTTCAGTCGCTCCTCCCGTCAAAATAGAGCGAGCCCTGCCAGAGAACCACATGTGGTGTGCATTAAGCCACTATATTTTTAACCAAAGCGTATTTACATTTGCTGAAGTTTCCATTGCCTGTTCACTGGTGCTCACCACAAGTTAAGGAATGAATCACAACCAGAGCATGTGCAACGTCTCTTTCTCTCACTTTCCCTCTCTCCCTCGCTGTCTCTTCCCTGCTGAATCCTTTGCTTTTGACATTCAACTCTCTCAGGTACTCTCACTGTGGCTCCCTCTCCCACCCATTCTTGCAGAAAGTCACCACGGCTGAATGTCACTGACTCATCATTATGAGGCTATTGCTTTTACTTTTTTGGTGCGGACTTTCAGCCATGCGTTTCCTCCCTGTGTGGGAGTGAGAAATGATAAAGAAGCAACTGATCAAGTTTGCAAGGGAATGATCATTTCCTTCAAGGAACCCAGTAAATCAGAGTAAAGGTCAAGTGCTTTAATACTGCGGCAGCCTTATAAAAGATGATGTTAGCAGCCAATGACAGGCAAGGCTACAAGTGAGGTCCACCTTGAAGGCCTCAAAAGTGCATTTCAACATTTATACATTACTAACCTCAGGTGAAAGATTCAATTGATCTGTTAACAAAAGCAAAAAATAAATAAAGAAAAAATAAACTTGATACATTTACTTGTATGTATAAATGAATGAATGCATTTGGTCTTTGGTATTAAATCACTTATTTTGTAGTCACAATATTAAAAAAGTATGCATGAAGAACAATAAAAAAAGAAGATTGATGATGTAATATACATGTGGTATAATGTGAAATAAAGGAATAACAAAAGTATATTAAATATTAAAAGTATAGTAAATATATATTCACACACACACACACACACACACACACACACACAAAAAAAAACACAAGCACTAATTCTGACTATAAAGAAACTGCAACGTTTCTTCAATTTTGTTTCTTTGCAAGGAAAATGCTTAATAAAGGGTATAAAGAAGACATGAGTGCATAACAATAATGAAGAGATAATCAAAGCTACAGAAACAGTAGGGATGGCAGCAACAATAACGAAAGACCCCAAATCATAACAGAAGAAAAGAGAAAAAGGAAGAAAAGATACAAAAGAAAAAAAAATCAAACGAAAACAAACAGTCAGTGAACTGCACGAGTGTGAGTCTCTATTTATCAAAAACAAGGAACTGAAAGTCACAATTTATGAGTGCAGAGGAGTCCATGAGCATGTGTGCCTGTTGTGGTAAATGACAACAAAAAACATGTTAGTAAGTCAGTATGTAAGAGAGTACAGGAAAAAAGGAAGGGGTTGAAGGAAGAAAATATGAGAAAGAAGAGGAAAGAAGGAGGAGGGAGAGAAGGGAAGCAAGGAAGGGGGAGAATGGACAGAAATAAGCAATAAAGAAAGATAGATAGATAGATAGATAGATAGATAGATAGATAGATAGATAGATAGATAGATTGATAGATAGATAGATAGAACAAGTGTTTTAATTTTGTTTTTTCTCATAAAATTGTTTTTTTATTTAGATTAATTGATAAAAAGTGTAAATTCCCCAAGAACCCACCAAGCACACACAAATCAATACCAGCCTGATCCTAGAAGAACTCGAATACCTCATTTTCAGATAGTCAGACTTTCACTGTCTGTAACAAACAGCACATAACTGACAACTATGGTGATAAATTGCATGGAAAATTGAGAATTGACTTACAAACACTCTGCCTTCACTCTTGGCTTACAGACAAACCTTAAACACAGTCATTGCAACAAAATGTTAAGAAACATTTTAAAACTAGATCAGAGAAAATTTGGAGAGTTGCATCTGTGTCATGCAGACGACGCCTTGTTGTTCAGTCGTGTCCTATTGAAGTTTGATCAGCAGTTGAATGTGGGACATGGAGTCAGGTGAAAATTCATCACTTGATCAACAGCTCATAAAAATATATATAGTTTATTTTTTCCCTTTCATTAATTTAAACACTTAATTTTTTTTAAAGGAAGGTACACACTGATTTTCTGTCCTTCCAGGATATTTCACTGATACAAGTGTACTCTGGAGCACCTTAGGGGTTAACGGAAAGGCTGAGAGGGGGTAAGTAAAGGTGTATGAACTTAGTTATACGGGGTCTCCCTCCTCCTGGCTTTACTTAGTCATGGAGGGAGATCCCCCTGGAGAGGAAAGCCCATTCATACACAACACCTCCGCCTCACCACCCTCTGCTATTTGAGACTCATGACCTCTTCTGAGTAGTATTTCCCTTCCTTTAACCCCTCTCTGTCTTCCTCCCTGTCTACCTCGGTTTCTCTGTTTTCATTCCTGATCTTTTTTACCTCTATCCTCGATACCCGTTAAAGACATTAGCTGGTGTGCAGATTGAAGCGGGATCCCCACACTTGTGTGCACCGTGGATATTTCAGTGGTTTGTTTTCCGTCTCTGTGGTGTCCAGGAGGAGGTAGAGGAAAAGGTTGTCTGTCTACTACTTAGTCTGCTTTTATGTAAACTTTAATGACCCACCACTTCCAGGGTCTCCCAAGTCAGAAAGCCCATTACAGACAGAGCTATGCACTCTACACACATGGTACACGCAGGAACACATACATCACTCACTAATGGCAACTATCTATGAGTGAGTGCGAGCGTGGAAAAGTACTTATGGGCCAAATATACGGCAAAATGTTGTCTTTTGGCATTTTTATCCGAGAAACCTGCTGTTTCATGGAGGTTCTCAGACTTCACATTTCTCTGATTATTGATTTAGAAGTACTAAACTGAAATAAAATTATTATTATTGTACTACAGATTTATTCTATAACTTTGGTTTTATTTTCCGCTGGAAAAGTTCATGAGTAAGAGCACCCATGAAAATACAGATCCCTGCACCGCAATAATTACTACTCACAGAAATATGCTTACATACAGTCAAACACACATGTGAGCACGTACAGCCGAGCGCATCGTAAAACACCAATCAGTGTCGTAGCCACAGTGGTGACAGCCAGTACTGGGGCTGGCATCAGAGGTCCGGATGGCTGCACACTTTCCAATATTGACGCCAATAAACACCTTCCAGAAAATTCCGCAAATCCAAAAGAGCAAAAGACGTTTTTTTTTGTTTTTTTTAGGTGTCCCAATATGACTTGGATGAATAGTTATGTACAGTTATGATCATCCAAGTTGAGTCAGAGGGGGATCACAGACAGCACAAAACCTCTAATGGTAAAATTGAGAGGGATCATAAATTCATTAATTTGTGGATTCTTTGAAATAAATCAAACTGTTGTTGAAAAACCAGCAGAAAACAATTTATTGCAGCGTTTTTCAATTGGATGACATTATCCCATTACCAGTTTGTAGTGAAGTAATGAAAACAAGAACACTGTAAAATCCCCCAGTAGTTCTTGGCAGGTCATTCTAAGTAAGGCCTCTTGTTATTGCCTGTTCAGATATGGATATGGTTCAGTCTTGTTACTCATCTAAGGGAGAAAATAAACTTTGAAATATAAACAACAAGAAAAGAAAGGGTTTTTACTCAACAAAGTGTTTTTCACATAATAGAAGAAGATCAAACAATTTCTGAGGAAAAAAAAAAAAACATGAAACCAGCTTAATATCATGTAAAATCTGGTAAACTGTTCATTCGCATGTGTGTCTGCGTGCCTGTTGGCGGCTTCCATAGATGTCTTATTTTTAAGTTATAGAGACAAAACAAACAAAAACAAGAAAAGAGAACCTGGCTACGTTAACAGAGAGCAAATTTTTTGCAAATTATTAGAGCTCACAATTTGAACCATAATAAATGATTTTTTAAAGAGCCTGGGATTAATGTTGTTGCTTTTAAATCAGCAGATAAATCTTTTGAATAACTTGTGAAATTGTATGGCCCCAGTCTGTTGGGTTTGGCTGCCACTTTAATCACTTTCTCTTCTCTCTGACTTGTTTTGATTGTCTCTCTGTTCCTCCGGGATGTCCCCAGTATCAAATGAGCACAGCTCATCCCTGTTGCCACTTCAGATGACCTTAGTGCACCTTGAACAAAGAATTACTTCTTCTTTTCAAATGCCACATCCATTCCCACTGCTTCACTCTGTTACCCACAGGAAAACTGATGCAAAACCTGATGCATCCTTTGCTTCTACATGTGTGTGTGTGTGTGTGTGTGTGTGTATTTGTTGTTTTGCATGTTTGTGTGTGCACCACCACTCTGCTGGCCTGCGGGCCTGTTTGCGTTGTTCAGGAGGAAGTGTTTTCAGTCATTCACAAGGGATTCCCCGTAGTGGAGTGAAACGGAAAAGACAAGACCCAGAGAGGGAAGGCAGAAGGAAGAGGATGAAGGGGTGGAGAAGGAGGGGAATATGAAAGACTGAAAACACAACCTCCTTGGAAATTCTGCTTTTGACCTCGATTTGTTACAATCTGTGAAGGCAAAGCACTGATCATGCCCTGAGTTGGTTCAGTGGAGAAATGGGAAGTGTCAAGTCGATTTCCACAGATCCTTACTCAAACGTTTTGCACATTCATGTGACTTCTATGAATGAGGTTCATTTATCTCTTCAAGAGATGAATCAGCGTAACTTCTGCTCACTCTGGGGCTTATAACAGAAAAAAAACAGTCAGCAAATTAACCAGATTGTAGCCAGATAATGATAAACCGAAGAGTCTCAAGTCTGTAAACATTGATTTCAACTCTAATTATTGCTGACATTTGTGTTAATAGACCTTTAATAGATTTATTTTTTCTCTGCAGAGGAGACTAATTTCGCATAGCCACAATGTTGGCGTGCAGGAATCTTTCCATTTTCTCTTGCATTGTTCAATGTGACTGTTATTCTATTGTGTGTTAAGGTTGTGTCAATGATTTGGTTTGCCCAAACCACTCTCCTGGCACAAGGATTTGAGGACATACCTGACGCACCTATTGCAGTGTGTGTTCTGGCTTGTCCCGCTTTCCATAGATGGAATCAGGGCTACAGGCAGGGAAAAAACGAGGGAGTCAGACAAACAGAGAAAGAGAGAGAGAGAGTGCTGGGGAAAGCCTCCACTCTGACTCAAAGGGGGTGGGGGGGTGGGTGAGGGAATTCCCTGGTGTGCTGGATAGATTTTACATCTGGTGGGATTGGAGCATTGCCTGGAGCTCGGCAGCACCACACAGCCTGGGCTGCAGCAGGGAGAAGTCTGGTCTTCTTTACCTCTACTTCAGGCTAAGCTCGCAGCCAAGAGTAAGGGATTTCTGAGCTACAGTACAATCTGTAACACCAGGACAGAACAGTCCACAACAACACCCTAAGGCTAGAACTGTAGTCACGCTGAGAATCCTTAGCAACAGGCTGAAGTATTTGGATTCATGATTGGAGGAATGCTGGCCTCACAGATGGTGATGGGAGTTCATTCAAAGACTGTTTATACTTGGTTGAACACCTTTACCCCGGGCATGTCTAAACTTCAGATGAATCGGTCGATGTACTGTACTCCTGGCGGTATGTCTAGACCGCCCTTTGTCTTTAGTCTAGAATAACCTGCATAATCTTGGCGCAGAGATTTGGAACTACAGCACCTTGAGGTCAACCTCCACCCTGTTTCAGGGAAGTGACTAGACAGGTATGAGTAACACCAGCCTGTCTAATAATGAAAGTACAAAGAGCCAAAACCAATCATAATGTTTAGTGGTTATAGTTGTGTTAAAGTTCCAATGTAAATCCTCAAATACCCTTTGACTTTCCCCTTTACTCAAGGGGAAATACCAGAGACTGTATATAGAATGGACGCTGCCACCTCCCTGGGTGAAGCCACCACGAGAACAGCACCCTTGGTGACAGGCTGCAGTATAGGTCATAAATCCCACCTCCTCCAGCAATCCCTATGGAGCTGTGGACAAACCTTAGAAATTTATTACACAGAATATAAATTTTCCTCCCCCTGCTTGTGATGTTGACATGTAGTTACTGTTAGACTGGTTTGTGGTCAAGTCCTCTTTTTTCTGTACAGCTCCATTTTTAAAAGTTCTTAGGGGGTTCATGTTTTCTATGATTGACACTTGATACAGCCTATTGTGTAGCTCACCCGGGGGATACACTGTTTGAGCCGAGTGTCACCACAGTGACTCTCGGCAACTCTTCTATTACGAGGGTCTCTGTGTCAGAAGTGCTGTTAGATTGTGACCTAAACTGATCGATAGACATGGTAGACTACAAGTTGGTGCCCTACAAATCATCACAGTCAAGATGATGATTCTTAAAAGAAAGAGAGGCTGAGCTGGACAACACCCAGAATAAAGAGACTAAATATATTCTCTTACATACCCTCTCTTTTGTAAGGTCTGTCCTGGTTCATCAGCTTCAGTCAAATGTGTCATTTAAGAATTATTTTGCTTTGCCTACATCTGTGTATCAAAGGCGTGAATTGAATCATATCAGTATTCATAACAGAAAGATGTCTAGATTGTCCTGTGGCCTCCACCCTCTCTTCAGACTTGTCTGAACAGGGTATTGTCAGTGTGTAAGTGGTTCAGATCAGACAGTGTTTTTAATGGCCCATTCAGCAGCAGGTCTTAAGGAATGCCCACCCACAAATATAAATCTCAGTTGAAAATTGCTCTATGCGTTGGCCTCATTTGTCAAGTACAGAACAAAGAGCTGAATAACCTCTTTACCTGCACTCCTCTCTATGCATCCAGATTAAAAAGTTGACGAATACAAGTCTTACTTACATCCACTGTGACATATCAGGCAACAAAGCACACAGAGCACTGAACCTTGATGTCTACTCTGAGAACATAAATATTGCAGAATTGTAAAAGTCTGGATGATGTTCCTGCTGCTCTTCTCAGTCTCCAGATCACTTTCAGACTCAATGCCACACAGCTGGAGTCTTGATAAAAGGATAAAACCAGACTCCTCGGCCAGCATTCTCTGCAGCCTGCGCCCACGGTTCAAATTGGCTCATGCTTTCCCTGTAATACACCAAGAATAACTCACTTCCTGACTATAAACCCATCACAAATTCACTGTCAGGTCGTAATTTATACAGAAGCCTTTTGGTTTGAAGCAGATCCACCTTTCTCCGATTTCACCAGTCCTCAGATTGGTAGAGGTCAGGTGCTGGAAAGCAGCTGCATCTCTTGGATCAGTCATGGGGAACCCCCTTGGCCTTTTGGCTTTTCTTCTTATTTAAAAAACATTGTATTTTCCGTGATATTGTACAAAAGAAAAATTACTGAAGCACTTTTACTTGAGAAAGCAACATCAGAAAGCAGCTAAAGCAGAAAATGATTTCTAAACAGGAAGGGAACAAAAATGCTTCATAAAACCATTTCTGGAAAACAGACATAGCTGCAAAATAAGTCTGGGTTGTTTCACGAGACAACCTCAGCAATTAGGCGTATAAATTATATTTTCCTTTCTGAGAAATACTTCAGTGAGCTCTCTTTGGTCAGAGGAAGCTGTTGTGCATGACACAACAGTTTATGAGAGGAAAAATCAACCAACACTCATAGGAAGGAAATTCAAACCTGCAAGGTCACAGTGAGGACAAAGATGTTAAAGCTTAACCGTTCGTGAGTTCGAGTTTAAGACGGATGTGGAGGATGTAAAACCACAGGTATTATTAGCTCTGAAATATTATCTGCGGTGGCTGTTTGCTGCCTGATATTTACACCAATTACAGAATAAATCAGTCATCATAACTTCATCAGTGACAAAATCCTTAATCAAAAAGATGATTGTTTAAGATTAACATTGACGGCCACACTGTTGCTGTGTTGTTAGTGTACACTTCAGTACTCTGCATGTTGTCAAGCATGGTAGAAAAGATGACTCGTGGAAGCCTCACCCTACATTTGCCTAATGAATGTTGGTATTAGCCTTTTGTGACTCTCATTTGCACAAGTGAGTCATGCAGACCAGCAGACAGACGGCTGGTTTACCTTCAAGGTCAAGACGAAGAATAAGTGTCTACTTTTCTGTCTGGTTGAACATGCCCATTTATTTCTCTTGCTGGTGTTTCTGCAGACACAGCTCCTGCACCGTTGTATTGTGTTTTGTACCTTCCTCTTTCATCACTCAAGTTGAGGCCACGACAAAGGTAGAGGATACTGTGGCTGCATGTGTTTGCATCTGCGTGTGTGTGTGCATTGCGCGTGGGTGGAAGCCGCATGAAGGAGGGGGTGTTGTCGGGAACAGAAGCTTTTTGCAGATGTTGCAGGGAAGAAAGAGTGAGTGGAAAGTTCAGTGGTTATCAGCGCTCTTTGACTCGCAAAGGTATGCCACATGTGGCCCAATCCCAGCTCAGTCTCAGTTTGAATATGCTCAGTCTGATAGAATAATGATTTGAAAGAATGGAGCAGCAAAGGGGTAGAAAGAGAAGGGGGAAAAAAAGGATCAGGAGGAAGGGAGGGAGGGAGGAGAAGTGGAGGAAAAGTTTGAAAAAGTTGTTTACTAGGGGAGGCTGGGGTTGACGCTTTAGTCTAAGGTTTCCCTCTTGGAGTGTGTCCCAGTGCGGAGGCGGTCGAGATTCCCTCTTGGTTCCCCAGACGTAACATGAGGAACGCTCATCTTTGTTTGTGTCTCTCTCCCTCTTTCTCTCTCTCTCTGACCTTCTCTCTGCCTCGTCCTTCCATGCTCTTTGCCACCTCCCTACACTGTTGGTGCCACTTCATCTCAGTCCTCTAGTAAACTGCTCTTACAGGCATATAACCCTGCTTCTTTTCTCCTGCCATCCACATCATCTCGAAAAAGAGCAGCGCACATTTCTCCATATGCAACTCTTATTTCCCTCAGTTCAAATAGAGACCCCTTATCTGATCCATTCCCTGTCTGTTCTTCTCCTTTCTGGGGTTTTAATACGGCCATTTTGGAAAGAGATATCCACTGATGTTCACCCCCTGAATAATAAAGCTGACCACCCGCTCCCACTCCCACAGCTCACCAATAATAAGCCATCCATTCCCGTGATCCTTTATTCTTTAACTGTCTACAAGATGTGAAAAACATCATGCCTCCAGAGCTGCAGAGACTTCTGTTATCACTTATTTGGAAACTGACTCTGATTATCTTATCTGATGGCCTCCTGTCCCAGAAGTAAAGTGAAGTAGTTCAGCAGCAACCGTATTGTTGTACCCATAAAGGCACAGCTGCGTCCCACTCTTGCTAACACACAGTAGCCTTGCCACAGTGCCCATGCTATCCCCTCACGTGGTGTGCCACTGACACAAAGGCTGTTCTGTGTCACGTCTATTTCTGACAGCCTTAATGAGTCATCTGTTCTAAAAAAAAAAAAAAAACAGGAGGAAAAAAAAAAAAAAAACGGCACAGTGGTCGCTGCTGATTGCCGTAGCAGAGCCCAGAGCGTCTGTTAGTTAAGGTGTGGCATGAAATCACAGAGAAAACCCAAAGAATGTGAGCTGAGCTTCTGCAGACTTCCAACAGCTGCAGCAGCTCTCAGGCCTTTTATTGCGAGGCAGCCAGGGAAACCTCCTCACCACAACAAGATGGAGAAGAGAAGAAAGGGAGAACAAACAAAAGCTGCTTTTTGTGCCTTTGCAGAGCAGAGATAAGAATAGAATAAAGAAAAAAAAATAGTTTTCAGTCCAGGCAAGGACAGGCACAAAAGTCATGCATCTAAGTTTATTTTACCATCCATCCATTTTCTACCAATTATCCCGTTGGGGAGTTGTGGGGGGGTTGGAGTCTATTCCAGCATCTTGGGGAGAAGGCAGGAGACACCCTGGACAAGTCGCCAGTTCATCGCATGGCTTACATACAGAGATTAACAACCATCCATGTTCACAATCACACCTACAGGCAATTTAAAAGTGACCAATTAACCTCACCCCACTTCTGTTGGGGTTGGTGTGTTTTTAAGATGTGGGGGGAAACTGGAGTACCTGGAGTAAACCCACGCAGACACAGGGAGAACAGGCAAACTCCTCACTAAAATACCCTGACTCGGATTCAAACCCAGGACCTTCTTTCTGTGAGGCAACAATGCTCACCACTACACCACTGTCCAACCCTTGCTTATTTTACATTTTTGACAAATTGTGCATAATTCTCAAGGTGGTATCTTACCCTGTGTTTTTTGTTTGTTTGTTTGTTTTTAAATCTTTTTACCTGTAAAATATTCGGAGAAGCAGAAAAAGCTGCAAATAAGTTATAGGTAGAATATTCGTGGACTGGAAAACATAAATATACTGTATGTTGACAATTCATCAGTACCTCTCAATCCTGAACCTCCACCCTGGTTTCAGGGGAAAGGACCAAGACAGGTATGAGTAACATCAGCCAGTCTCATAAGTGATGTATAATGAGCCAAAATCAACCAAAACGTATATTTTAGTTTAAGAGGGTTCTTAGGGCGTAACCTCCAAAACCAAAATATCATGAGTTTTATTTCTCTCATCAGTACATGGGGCAGATCCAGACCTGAATGGGGTTGCCCCATCTGAGGCACTGACTAATGCAGGGGCGGCATGAAGTATGTGTGAACAGCTCAAAAAGAAACAGCATTTGTTCAGCCTTTCATTCATACACTCGGTGCATCACTGCTAAAATGTAAAAATGTAGGTATATGCATTTTTAGATTTATTCAAAGTAACAAAAAAATAAAGCAACATTTATATCATATTCATCTATTTTCTTAAAGAACCCCCAAAAAAGACGTTTTCCTAAAGTAGTAATGCTGCTATAAAAAACCAAGTGGGTGAGTGCTGCGTGGGGTTGGAGTATCAGTGGAGGATCAGGTGCTCTTCAGGAGGACGAGCAATATCTCAACAAGCATGAGAGCAGTGACTTGTCTATCAGGTGTTCATAAAAGTCCACGGTATGGATGGTTATCAAAGTTGGAGGTCTGAGGCACTCTAATGAAGTTAAAATCCTTTATTTGGTTGGGATAGTGTCGACGCGTTTTGACTCACCAGAGTTTTCGTGAGGACATAAGAGAACAAATTACAGACACCTGTTTAAGCGTAAAAAAGGTGGGTCATGTGATATCACGTGACAGCGAGTCACCAAAGAGAGAAAAAACACAGAATAAGCGTCACAAAACCAACCAACTTTCCAAAAACACTTTAAAAGTTACGACAAAGTGAAGCAAAAACACTTAAAACATTATTAAGGCAAAGCAAGGGCTCCCCAGCCCATCACAGTATCACTGAAAAAAAGATCTGAGGAAAAAACTATGGTGATAACTAGTAATGCTGCTACTTGCAACCTGCTGCAAACACAAAAACAAAGACTTATCCATTAAAGGTCACCAGAGAAAGTGTTCAGAGCACCATATTGGAAAAGCTGACGAAACATAACTTTATATGTACCTCAAGATCGAGCAAGTAGAGGAGAGGTCAGAGTTTGCCCTCCTAGCACATCTACAGTGTCCCTACCTGAATTTTAATGAGTCACACCCCTGACTATACAAATCTACCCTTAACCCTTGGCCTTAGTGTAATCTAAATTCTTTACAAAAAAAATATATACATCCCATACAGTGTGTAGAAACTGACAAATAATCATCCGACTTATTTGTTGTTAGCCATATGTAATGTTTTACTTTTCTGTTGACAGATGGGCATCACCTGTGGGAGACAGAAGCCAAAGTTGACAAGGACTCCGTCAAATCAGTAAGTGCGCATCACTGACATGACTGAAGTGTTTAAGTCCCGCCCTCCCTCTCCACTCTCTTCCTTCGTCTCCTCCTCCTCATCTGTCCTGTATAGTGATGTAACCTTTGCTTAGGTATTGCTTTAAGATGATTAGGGCCATGCAATCTTGAATGGAATTTTCACAAAATCTCATGGAGTAAACAGCAGCTGTCATATTGTTTTTGCACCTGAGCGACACACACACACACACACAAATGCTAAAACTGAAGCATAAACACCACATATACATACACACACTCTCACCAAGGCACAGCTCTCCAAGCATAGCCAGACGTTTAGTTCACAGTGAAGTGTTGTGGTTTGGTGAAATGGACTTAAACACCTCGTCTGTGCCGGGCTCGTGCAGCCAAGAGTAGATTACAGCCCCGCTCTTACCTGCTGCTTTTCATGAGAGAAGTAATGAGAAAATAAACCAGTGTGCTCATTTAAGTGACGTTGACTCACACATTCAGATTGTTAATATAAAACCGAGTGGAAGGGAACCGTCAAGAGAGGGAACGGAGCAAATGTTGTTGTACGTGTCACAAAAGCCGGTTGTGCTCTGGAGTTAATTAAGATTTCTCTGAGGTTCGTTAAGTCTGCTTTCATTGAGCAGAGTAAAGTAAAGAATCTGCAAAAACCTGTTTACTTGTGCGTGATGACTGTATGTTTTGAATTGCCGATGCCTTTCATCAGCGGTTATATGCCCTCCCCCCTCATCCCCCTGTTTTTCGGGAAACTAACCAAGGCTGCACTTGCACATGGTCGAAAATAAACCGCGTACATCAGAATACTGCAACTTGAGGGTGTCTGTTTTTTTTCTTCTCCTTGTTGCTGCTGTTATTTCACTCAGGTAAATGACTTGGTTGCATCAGGGGGGTAAATATGGAGTCTCATGTCTAATTGGCCTGTAAGGGTGGCTGATGTGCAATGGCTGATGTCCCAGATGCTGGAAAATTAGCGGGCATGGAAGGCTCGGTGGGGTCCGTTAGTGTGTGTGTGGGCGAGGTTGATATAAAAAAAACACAACAGCAGTGTGTTTATGAGCAGATCCAACTAACAAGTGGAAGAGAGCGGTGGCCTTGCTCTTTTGTCAGCTGCCTCCAGGCTGCCTTCAATTGCTCCACCCTGCCTTCTTGACGGTGCTTTTATCACCGTCCAGAGCATGTTCACTTTCATTGGTGAGGACAGAGAGAGAGAAGGCCATGTGCACACACACACACTTTACACACTCAATCAGCCACCTGCGTGTTTTCTTTGTCGTCATCTGGAGTGCAGACCGGGGCCGAGGACGCAGACCCCTCACCTTCAGCCCTCCACCTCGCTGCTCGCAGTGATGAGCAACAAAAACCTGCTTCCTGTCAGCGTGCCTTATCATGGCCTCCGCAAATTAGACACAAACACTCAGACGAATTTCCAACAAGTCCTCCTGTCAGAGAGTAAGCAGTCAAAAGTTCACATCAGTCCATACTTGCCTGGGTCTAGCCTAGGGGGGGACATGCGAGCTGCTCCACAGGGATGCGTGGCTGTGCAAACAAATAAGCTGGCTACCTCTCGTGTTGTACGGGGACAAAGATAATGCCCTGGGGTTCTCCTTTGAGACAAACACGAGCACTGGACCAACCTCATGGGTTCCACTCATGTGTCTACACAGTCCAGACGAGCTCATTTAGACCAGGTTCCATTCCAGCCTCGAGCAAAACACCCTGAATATACACCAGCTGCAAAATAAACACAGGTGTTGATTAATTTATGACCAAGTAGACACGTAAAACTCTGTTGTTTGTCATTCAGGTGACATCCCTCACATTATGTTATTTTTTTTCTTTCAGAGTACAATCGTTGTGGAGATCCCGCCATACAGGAACCAGAGAATATCCAGTCCTGTGCAGGTGAACTTCTACGTCTGCAACGGCAAGAGGAAGAGGAGCCAATATCAACGCTTCACCTACCTGCCTCCCAATGGTAATCCTCCTCACAAACCACCTCGATTACCTATGACACTGAAATAAACTTTATACAAGCTGCACACTACCACACAGAGTATTTCTCAACGTCTTGACATCCATCTACTTAAGTTTACTACAGCTATCAATATGCCATGTAAAATTTTGACTAGTTTTTGGCCGGCGTTTTTGACATTTTTACGCCTGGCACTACTTGGCCGCAGCCCGGGAGCGAGAGCAGAAGATGTGAGGTGTGTTTATTCTATAGTGAGACCGCGTTCCCCAGCGATGAGGTGTACCTGCTGAGTGACAGTGCCTCCGAGCGCTGTTTATGAAGAAAAGTCAATCCTCTGACGACCTGACTTTCACACCCCGCCTCTCACAATGCCCCCACCCCGTTCACCCGCACACTTACAGAATGAACGTAGAAACACTCCGCACATGCACATGCACATGCACCCACCCGTGCATCTACTAAGCAGAGCATTGACCCTGTCATTCATGTAGCAACCTGAAAACTAAGGAATACCTCGCTCCGATGTGTGTTTATCATATGTCCTTCGCCTCAGTGTTTATAGACGGCTTTCACGCTGGAATTTGAAGAATGTATCGCTGAGAGTTTAGTGAAGAGTTCAGCCTCAAAATTAGATTGTGAGCTATTGACTTTTCACAATGAGTGCAGGTGAAATATCAGCTTTGGTATCACTTTCAACCGCCCGGCTACAAGACTTTATTTTTATCTTTATGCACAGAGAGAGAGAGTTGACACAGCATATCTGCCGTATGACTGGCTAAACAATAATTTACAGGACCTATTTTTCTGGCACCACTTGCTGAAGACGGCTCAGTCATGCTCAAAACTCCTGCATATCTTCCCTGCAGACTTTGTTGAACCACTTTAGGGATTCCAACTAGCAACTCCCCATTTTAATATCCTACCATCCCCTCGTGATGACCAGTGAGATCCATTAGATCCAAACAATGGTATCTTATTTTCATTGATCAGTGTCTAATGGCTTTAATGCTGCTGGGATAGCGTACTTTGTGTTTTGAGTCCTTAGCTGTTAACTAGATGTGACATTTAGATTATCAGCAGATGTATTTATGGCCGCAAGAGATAAGTGATTAGGATTTTGGAAGAGGCTCTGAGAGAAAAGTAGAGCACTGCAGAGGCCCTATTTGGAGATGCTTGATTATATGGGGAAGGAGTGCATTATGGGTAACTGGACCAGTGTTTGGGCTGACAAACTACGGCCATATATAGCATATCCATTTCATATACTGCAAGTTTACAAATAAAAGACAGAGGGAGGAAGAGAGAGAGAGAGAGAGACAGAGATGTGCTATGCATCTCAAAGTCATTTCCCTGAGCATAAACACGACTCTAATTAAAAGATGACTTGTTGTGTTCTTTCTTTCTCTGCCAAGTAAACCACAAGTGCAGTGTGGACCACACAAGAGGGGCCAATGTCTCCTCTAAGGATCAAAGTTAACTCACAAGGGTTATAGCCAAAGATCCAGAAATCACAAGACTCAGGGTTCTACTTTAACATTCGTCATGCATTTGAAGACACACATTCAAACACAAAACACATCATTTTTCTCATAAATCACAATCTCAGTTCCCTAATTTCATTGAAAATAGTGAGAAGACATATAAACATTTGAAACGAAAACAAAATAAAAATAAAAAATATATATATATAGTGATGTGAAAAAATATTGTGATGCCAACGTCAACCGTGACTAAAAAAATGTTGTGTGATGTTAAAAAAAACAACCTAGGGGAACGTTTTTGAGATGAGAACATTTATTAGATACAGGTTGGTAACATGACTGAGTTTGAAAAGAACATTCCAGAGAAGCTGAGTTTCTCAGAAGTGAAGATGGGAGGAGGTTCACCACTCTGTGAGGAACAGTGTGAGCATTTCAAAATAATCATCATCAGCACAAGATTGCCTAGAATTTGGGGACTTAACCATCTACGGTTGATCATATCTTGTGAAATCTTTGCTTGAAAGAGACGAGGACAAAAAAAAACAACTCTAGATGGTCGGGGTTGTAGGGCCCTATTAGTGTCACTCTATTAAAAACAGACACGACTCTGTAGTAGAAATCACTATATTGGCATAAAATCACTTCCAGAAATCAACATCATTGATATTGATGGATTGTGAAACCGTACCATGCAAAGTCATAACTATATATTAACATGATCCACAAATGCCAGATTCTTCCCTGAACCTGAGCTTATCTCAGATAGACAGAGACAAGGAGAAAATCTGTCTTGTATGGAGCGTCAATATTTGACATTGTTTTTTAAAATCATGGATGCTGCAAGGAAGAGAAGGACCACCTAGATTGCATTAGCACAAAGTTCAAAGTTAGTTAGCAAGGGGATACAAAGTGCCTATTGCATGGGTTAAGCACAACTATTGCAACTTACACTGCCTTGAAGATTACTTATACCTGTACAGAGCCCTGCTAGGATTAGTGGTAATGCAACACAATCATTTTTACAGATTGCAGTCCAATACACATCTGTTTTTATCAATAATGTCTCAAACCATCTGCATTGTCCTTCCATTTACAGCACATCATGTTAGATCAGCATGATCTGCTGTATCAGACGAGTTGCAATCAGTGTTAATAGCTGTGCAACTGAGTCCATGTTGTAGCATAATGTGCAATTGTAAACATTTAAAAATCAATATTTCTACACGTCAACATCAACAATACATTTGTATTTGCGGTCACCAGAGTGAGATACTAGATGCTACAAAGACCAATCAGCCCTGACTGTTTCATAAAGAAAAGAGCGTAAAGATTATAATCAGTGTAAACAGACCCTCTGGGGTAATGTTATGACTGTAATACATTCATGGTTTCAATTCAGCAACAAAGAATGAGGAAGCCCTAGTGAGGCTGTTTGCTTTTCAGGGTTTCAGTGTGTCAACACCGAGAGAAACAACTATCACTGTGGCCAGGTACTCAGGGTGGGCTGGGGAGGAGAACACCCACACACACAAACACATTCACACACACACACACACATGCACACATTGTTGTCAACACCTTTTTGCTGGCTTGTATGAAAAGACTCTTCCGGCCTGCTGTCCCACTTCAAGCACAGTTGTGGTCACTGACGTTGTTTAGAGAGAACATTTCTTTCACACTCTGCTGTCTGCTCGTCTATAAAAGGCAAACCAAGCCCCTAAAATAGCCTGACTTGTTTGAAACAGCGGAAGGATGAAGCAAACACTCTCTGGGACACAGATGCTCACGAAAACCACCTTTATTTTCCACTCAGGTCATGTGACTATTTTGTTATCTTTGACACTGATGAAAGTGCAGTTAACACCTGCTGTGCATGTTTACTAGTGTCTGCATTTGAAGAACTAAATAGATTTTTTAAAAGGCAAGATCTATAGTAATGCTTTTTTGCAGGTTTTTATTTCTCTAAGCTTCATTCTTTATCTGAATTTCATCGAAGAAAACAGGGCACTGCTCTTGTGGCGACCCAACATTTCTCCTGTTCCTGTATGTGTCTGTCTTACTTATGTCAGAACTGAAATGGGAATTTCCCCTTATGGGTCTAATAAAGAAATATCTCCTAATAAATAAAATAACCAAAAGTGGCTAGAATTGCTGATGAACATCTTAAATTATGCAGTAATATTCAGGAATGAGTTCAAAAAGGGTTTGAGCCACCCCCTTTTCCACATCTACATTAGCCATGTTAAATATGTAAGAAACCAGAGAGAACAAGTTTGGACACTTGGCCCTATTGTGCACCCAACACAGAGCTTTTTGGTGTGCAGTGGATGTGTAGTAACTGTTTTCTACCCAATGTGGTTGTTGTTTTAATGCCTAGTACCCATGTTGTGTAAATAGAAAATTAAGTTGGACCCACATTGGTGCACATGGTTGTGTTGGCCTCGACCACACCTCGTGTGGTCAGGTGCGAAAGTTGCTGGTTGCTACCTGAGGAGGTGGTCAACAGCAGTACGTAAGGCCAAGAAAAGCCTGGGCGTGGTGCAGTACTTTTCTGTTATTCAAAAAGAGCATGACGTAGACAGCATATGGCCTTAATAGTTTGTAATATGGATTCTTCTACTTTATACATACACACAGAGGTGCACAGCAGTGCCCCCATTTGTCCTCGTTTATCATTGTTTTGGAGGAGACAGTGAAAAAAGTGTTTTTTGGGACAGAGAGGCCAGTATTTTTAGCCTTACTTTAGTTCTGTACCAACATTCTGTAAGGGGCTGATTTTGGGATCCAAGAAGACGAGGACACCCTCATTATGATTTTCTCACACACCTGTCTGGCCTCTACCCTGCACAGACCAAAAAGTACAGACCAAGACCTGTGAGAACCTTCACAGACATACAGACCAAGACAATTACCAGGTTCTACACCATATGCACTCTTAAATACATGCAAAAAAGACACATGCACTCACACCTAGCTGTGGGGTATATTTCACAGTTCTCAAACAGCTGCTAACAGACCTGCTCACTATAAATGGCACTAACTATCATGCCAATAGATATTCCATTGTGCGGAATACAGTCACATGATCCAACTTCTGGTCTTGTACCTAAATGTACACATCTCTGTCAATTTTTAAGTTACACCAGTTTCCATTGCAGCGACCTGTGTGCATTTATTGTGTTTTACATTCACTTTTAATCATTTAAGAAGGGCCCAAAATACCCCCTAGTCAAATTGAGTGATGAGCTTTCGACTGAAACTGACATAGAGGTTGTCTGTTCAAAAGAAAGAAAGGGCCATGTCAAAAACGATATAAATTCCAGCCTATAATGTCCGGGTTTTATTTAGTTACTGAATGTACAGTAAGGCTGCCTGCAGCCAATGGATCAAGCTGACATCTGCTGTTGAGATATACCATCAGCAGCATTTGTGGTTTGCTTGTCAAGCCTAAGTGCCTGTCTGGGATGTTGAGATGTACATACAGAACAAATGTCCATGTCTGGCTCCTCCAATGACTCTCTCTTTTCCAAGTTCTCGTCCAGTCATTCTTGCGTGAGAGGGGACGTGACGTGTTGCTCTGCAAATAAGAAACAGTTTTACCAACCACATGAAACAACAAAAGCCAAAAAAAGTGCTGGCAGTGACCGAAGCGAGAACGAAGAACTTCTCGGAACCCCTTTATTTTTACAGGCCGTTTGGAGATTCCTCAGTAATATCAAGTTCTATTCTTAACGCAAACGGGTGCCCGCTCCCCCCTCTGCATTGGTTTGTGGTTGGATTTGGAGAGGGGCGAGTCAGAAACATGTTCTCTGACACATATAGGAAAAGTTGACGAACCTCACATTGTTCTTTTTTTTTCTAAATATTTGAATAGTCATGTTTTTTTTTTTCCAAAAGCTGGACAAAGACTTGGCTGCTTCTGTCATGTCTTCAACACTGGGTTCTGCCAGCTCAACGGTGTACTGGGTGACCAGATTGCCTACACAGTGGGACATAGTGCACCAGGTACATCTGAGTTAATGAACCACCACCTGCTCCATGTTAAATGTCAGTGCAGATTCGTGCTGGTAGGAGAAGTGGACTCAACCTTTCTACAGCAAGAAAATCTATGATATTTTACTGGTAGCATGGTAATATCATATCCCAACCACTGATGATTGGATATACGGATCAGAAACTCTTTGATCCCCATGTCATTACTGCTCAAAGGGTCTTATTTTTACATCTACATAAGCTCCATTTACTTTCCCTTCCTGATGAAATATGTTGATACAGACATACACACAGATGTCTCTTTTCTCATCCTACTCAGAGGAAACAATTGCTCAATGAAATACCCAGATCAGGCTTGATCAGTTTAATATGAGCAGACAGAGGGGAAACTGCCAGGGATGGAGAGAAAACCATATGCAGAACATCAACTGTCTCTGGGCCGTAACCCACAGGTTGGGAGGAAATAAAAGCCAGCTGAAGTTAGGACTTGCCTGGTGAATCTGTTTTCTCACTACACATAGAAATTGGAGAGGAGAGACACATATGGATCAAGCTGGAGGGGGACCACTGTGGCAGAGGAAGAATATCCAAGAAAAGTTTGTGACTTTAAAGAAAGATCATTAGTTAAACGTTGGGTTTCTTTTTGCCAGTCTTGCTCATAGCCGGAGGAAAAACGGTTTCAAAAGTACACCTGACCCTTCCAACTGGATAACAAAGTTTGCCTATGAAGGATTACAGTACCCCATCACGTCTGAGCTACTGCTGATTCATCCTGTTTCCTGAATTAAGCCCTCATGTTGGTTGGTCAGAGACAGGAAAATCTTGTGACTTGTAACATTAGATTTGGTGAACTCAAACAAGGGACATCCAGAGAAAGCCACAATTAGAAACAATTTTCCATTTATACCCTTTTTGGGGATCTTTAGTATAATTCATTACCAACCAGCATGGCTGGTAAAGATCAATGTGCTTTGCTTGGTTAAGACTCATTTTTTCATTATCTTCTTGGAACATCCAAACCCTCAAACCGTGGCCTTTTCCAGCCTTTTACTTAGCTGCCTCAGTGATATATTAAACACATATTGAGGATGTCATTTGTGGACCCATTAATGCCGACCATAATTCAATGTCGCGGCTCTATTTAACATGATTTTTTACGGTAAAAGGTCAAATGTACATTTGAAAAAGGCAGCTGATGATTTGGGAAAATGATCGAATTGTTCAAGTCATTTCCACATGACACGTCTGGTTCCATTACACTGAGCCATCCATTCACACTTAGGAGAGGGAAGAAGGGAGGAAGAGAGTCACTGAGGGAGATGACTGGATGTTATGAGTGCACCATGTGCCCTACATGTTATTCCCCAGGCTGTGGAGAGAGGCCTGGGACTAACCTTACGACGCTCCTCCAGACACCAGGCCTGGTCCCTGGGTTCTGAAAACAGACAAGGCTGACGTAAATGTGTTCCCTGCTCTGCGATATCACTGCATCGTAGCTCGGCACTCCAGAGGCATCCATTTCTTTTCAGTCTTACTTCCACAAAAGTAATTACACAATGAAGAACATCCTGGGTTTCATATTACAAACAGACTTCAGGCTTTAAAGCTTTTATTTACAGTCTCAGCTTTAACCTGAACTGAAAGGTTCTTTGAAAATGTAAACATAGTTAAGACAGACATCTTGTTCATATTGACATGTGTACGCCTTTGAGTAAATGTCACTTGGGGTAAGTTTAGCCAGAAACTCTTAATGGTTGGCATCAAACGCTCACCACACCCATTAACACGTTTTAACAATGTGTAGAAATAGAAACAGTGTGCCCATTGTGACTCAGAAGCCTTTGCTGTGCATCTGGGTGTCTTAACACTGCCCTGTTAGTCTCTGTGCTGGCACCGAAAGAACACATGTGCTATTGTAAAAACGTAGCTGTAAGTTTTTCATTATGGATTCATCTCCATCTCTTGACCCTGGCCATGTACAACCCTATTCAATAAAAAAAATAAAGTGACTCTGTATGAAATGTTTATAAAACAGATTTTGAAAATCCTTTAAACTTTTTCACATTTGAAATAGTGCAAAATCAACATATCGGTTGCATCATCTCTCTTTAACTACAATCTTCTCTTTTCTCTCTTTAAAAACTGCGGAGGCCAATTTCTCAAGTTTGGAAAGGAAATGTCTCAGTCCAACTTTTCTGTTTTACTTCTTTTTTTTTTTTCAGTTTTTAAACTTGTAAGGAAGAGTTTGAACCTGCAATTGTAGATGCAGCAACCAAATTTGATCGCACAAGATAGCTTTTAGGAATTCTTTTTGAGCCTAAGTGGTCAATTTCACTACAGTCATTTCTTTAAGTTGCATCACAAGGTCCTAAACATCATATGAATACAGTGAACATTGTGCAGAAGTAGATGATGAAATCCCCAATTTCTCGCAGTTTTATTCTGAGGGACATTCTTACCTGAAATTGTTGAACTTTTTGCTCACACAGTCTCTCACAAAGTGATGTACCTCAAGTTATCTTTGTCTCTGAGAGACCTGGCTTCTCGGGTGTGACCTTTAAATCAACCTTTTTGTCAGGAGATAGATTTAGTTTTTACAGACTTTTACTGGTTTGTAATCCCTGTCCCAACTTTTTAAAAACGTATTGCTTGCGACAAATCTAAAATGAGCACATCTTTTTCCTCAACACAATGGAATTTGTCAATGTCAGCATTTGACTTGTTTTCTTTGCACTTATTTCAACATTTTTACAGTGGCTTTTCGACTTCTTCTTCTGTTTTGAAAATTTCACTTCACAGCAAGTTGTTTTGATTAATTTATCCCGACAACAAACAGGAAGCAAATGATACCTGTCAGTCAGGGCTAATCAGGAAACAGTGCAGACACTCTGCCCTGGATTAGAAACTAAAAGAGCAGCAAGATGATCAAGTGGGGTCACAGCACTCTCCTGCATTAGCTGAGGCCCGAAGCTCCTGAAACCACAGGAGCAGCTCTACAGCCTCTTAAGGAGCTCAGGCGGCCTAATCAAAATCAAATCATCTCCTTTTTTTCAATCTCCCCCACTATCTTTTGGTCCTGAGAGAAACAATTATTTCTGCAGTGTGGAGGAAACCTCGGGGTCCTAGAGCAGCAGCAGCAACAGCAGCAGCCCAGCACTTGAAAGTAGTCTTTTATTGCATATCAGAGCTGGAGGATAGTCCAAAGAAAATAGGTCTTATTCATTATTAGAGCCAGCTGTGGCTTTCCACACTGATGACTCATCCATTTTTCTTTCCCCCCTATTCTTTTGCTTTTTTCATGGTGTGGTAAAGAGGGGTGGGAGGCCTGAGGGTTTTTCTGTTAGAGAGCTCAGCCAAGTTGACACAGCGCCCAAATCCACTGGTGGTTGTTTGTTTGGATTACGGAGGGTATCGCTGCCTCAATTATGCCTGCTCACTGCTTTACTCAGCCTGACTCGTGCATTCATTGAGCCACGTGGATCCCCTGCACGTTTTTTAATATCTGCACCTTTCTTTCCACTTTTTTTCCCCCCCAGTGCCGATAATAAAGACAGAACCCAGTGATGAATATGATTCCCTGGGAACTGCAAGACTGCCAATGCATTCAAAGCCCTATTACAACCAGCCCAGGATCACTCCCATCATGCCTGTTGCTGATCCTGATGCCTGTTTGGTTGGTGGTTACCCTTCCTGCCCGCCCCGCCATGCTGCCATGCCATCACCATCTCCCAGCTCCAGTCCAACCCTGCATGACCTGTCCCCTGTGGTGTACACCAAGTGCCTCCCTAACAGCCCGACCCATGCAGCGCCACCAGGCTCTATGGTAACCCCAATCCAAGAGACCCCTGGCTGTCCAAGCATTGGCCACTCGGCATCACCAGACCACAACACTTCCCTTGGTATGCTGCATTCCCAGGGTAGTCCCAACCACCTCAACAGTCCTCATGGTTACCATCCAATCTATGCCAACAGCAGCCCCTCATCCTCCCCAGTATCCCACCCATCCACCCCAGGTGCAACAGCGGAGAGCCCATTCGTTCAGGCCTACAGCCCCAGTCAGGCCCAGGCAGCAGCCAGCTCACCAAGCCTGTTACCCGAGGATGCCAGTCCCCCTTCCATGGCCGTCACCATCAAACAGGAACCCCAGGAACTGGACCAGGTGTACCTAGATGATGGTGAGTTCTCAGAAACTATGTGTACTTGTAATCTCTACAGGCTTCCATTTGATAGTCATTCCAATAGGAGGCTTTTGTTTTCTAGATGAGAATTCCTATTATAAGCTCTTTGTCCAAGCCAAAAGTAGCTGTTTATGTAGCACATCACATTTTTTAACACCTTTTGCTTATCTGAAAACCCCCACATGCAGCCGCACCCAGCTGCACCTCTCAGTATTTCCTGATGGAACCGTGACAGCAGATCTACGTCAGATTGGTATAATTTTAGACCCAGAACATTTATTTGCTTTTCACTGTAACATGCCAACCGGCTCATGTTGTCCAATTGGCTGCCTCACTTGAAAACAGTAAATTGCCTTGATGGGGTTTTGAAACAATCTGTCAAAACATCAGAGTGCTGAGGTCAGGCGGGGTGCAGCAGAACAAAAACAGTGGCACACGCGTAGCCAACCAAACTGTTGATACAAGGACTAATGAAGGAAGCAAAACAATGGGTAGGGGTTTCCTGAACAGAACCAGTTTTCCCCCATATTTCTGGGAGGGATGCTGAGAGGACGGAGGCAGAGGCTTTGTTTTCCCGTCTTTTCCCCATGGAGTCGACACCATGCGGCTGTCGTCATCAGGGGAGGCTTGGGGTCACCAGTCTCCCTCTGGCAATGATACCAGTCACACCCGAGAGACCATATGGTCGAGTTTATTACCTCCTGTGTCCGTCACACATTATATCTCTCAGGTCACCAACCTGTTATCTGTGTTAACAGAGGCTCCACTTGTTGTTATGATATACATTCACAGTACACATCAGTGGCATGGTGCCAGGTTGAGATGTTAAAATCCCCCCTCTCCTGCCCCTGTATCCAGAGGGAGGTGGGGGAAGACAACTCCACATAGATTATCTCCCTTCCTGTTCACTTTTTTGTTCTGTTCGCTGATAGAGTGCATGTGCATACATATGTCTGTGTGTGTGTGTGCGTGTGTGTGTTTGTGTATGTTCTTGTGTTCATGTAAGTGTGTGTGCAAACTTCACTCAACAGCTTTGGGAGTAGAAGGGTGTAGGCATGAGGGGACCTGGGGAGTTTCGCTGTGGAACTGTAATTGAGTTGAAATGTAGTTGTCAGCATATCTGTCAGTCCTGATGAGTCCCATTAGTCCTTAGCTCATAAACACACAACACAGAGAAGGGGTATGTCTGTCTGTTATCAGCTCTGTAAACTGAAAATCAGCTTAGCAGTTTCCCTTCTACTGTTTCTCAAGTGTTTCTTCCCTCCTTTCTTTTCTCTAAGATGTGAAGAAAATCTGATCAAAAACAAAACTTCTCAGGTGAAAGTTCTTCCAGTCTGCCATAGCTTTAGTACAATCCTAGGATCAAAAAAAGGTTGGAACTCTGTGTTAAATGTTAACAAAATCAGAATTTGTGGTGGAAAGATGACATGGCATGATAAAAAGATTGTTTTAGTTCAATAGGTAAGTAAGTATGACCTATAGGGTACTTATTTTTAATTCAATGCCAGTGACACATGTTAAAGAAGTGAGGACAGGAGTATATTCTCAGCATGCTGTTGCATCATCTTTTGTCACATCACCACTGCAGGCAGGCCGTTTTACCACCCACACTTCTCGATTGTATGGAGCCATGTTATTGTGATATGAACAGAATGTAGTTTAGCATTATTTTGCGGAAGTATGCAGTCTTCCCTGAAAAAGTTATTGTCTGGATGGCAGCATATAACTTAGAAAACTGTTAAAATTGCTCAACATTAACGGAGCCTTCACAGATGTGTAGGCTGCCCATGCCACAAGCACTTACGCAACCCCATACCATTAGGGCTGAGCTGTGCAGTGAAAACAAGCTAGGCAGTCCCTCTTCTCTGTGTAGAGACAAATTTTGATGGATCAGACCATTGGATATTTTCCCACCTTGCCAAATTTAAGTCTCCCAGACTACGGTTTTCGGAGGTATTTTTTTAGCCCATGCCGCGATTTCCACTACAGAGTTGTGACTATTTATTAAGCAGTGTTTCCTGATGAGCCAAAGATCATGGCCATCTAGTATTGGTTTCCAGTCTTTTACTGTGGATAATAAAATCACATTTTTTATTAGGAACATTAAGCTTTGATTGTTGAACTCACAGCCTCTCACAGAATGATGACACTCTCCTTATCTTTTCCTTTGATAGACAAGGTCCCTCTTAAATACCTTTCTGCTTAACCCACCCACTTGCTAGCTGCAAACCAACCTGCTTGGATGTCAAATGTCCCTTTATGTTTATTTATTTATTTATGCAGCATTTCACATCTTCTCCAGTTTTGTTGTCCTCCGACTCTCTCAAATGAATATAGGGTTTCAAGGAACTTCAGAGTATCTGTTTTTTTTTCTCGGAATTGGGGTTGTAAAAGAAGTTTTACTTCAGCATTTATTGAATCAAATGAAACTCTAGCTTAATTTAACATTTGGTAATAAGGTTAGAAAGGGATCCTTTTACACCAGCAGTATAAAAATATACCAAATGTACAAAGCAGTGCGAAGGGGAAATGGTGTAACCTTGTTTCTCTTACCCACTACTCCATCCGTTGTCACTTTAGGAGGCTCGATCTCTCACCAACAAGGTGGCCAAATGTATTCATCCAGTGATTACAGCTGCATTAGGGACGCACAGGAATGCGTATTGATTGACCTAGGACAGTGAGGCAGCCCCTTGAAAAACCTCAATGTGCTGCCGTTTTGCATCACCTAACGTCTGTGCGAGCCTCTGTGGTGAGCTCCTGGAGTCCCTGTAAGTGTGCGGTGGTAACAGCATACTCCAAAGGCATCTACTGCTCCCGGGCCCGGCCCAGTCCCAAACCCCTCAAATGAGCCCTAAGCTAAAATAAATAAGATCGGAAGGCGGCTCACAGGGCGTCCCGCTCCCTGTCTGCACGCATTACCACCGTACGTTAGCGAGCTGAGCGCTCCATTAGAGAGGGAAGACAAGCGGATGACCTCATCGCGGCAGCAGTGATTTAACGCCAACCATGCGGAGTAGCGTTCCTCCCCAGCAATTGGGGGCCTGTGATTTGGAGTCTGTGGGAGCACACTTGATCTTCCCCAAGAGTGGAGCGCCTCCTACGCTTGAACGCTGAGGCCTCCAGCTCCCATCAACCTGAGGAAATGTGTCTCTGTGGCTAGGCCTAGGTTTTACGCAGCCCCTGAGAAATCACTCAACTTATCAACGGTGAGCTACTGTACCGCGAGGAGCTTGGTTCATATGAAGGGAGCCTGAGCTGTAAACCCTCATGGCTGCCATTCAAACACTCTCCATTGTAATCTGCTAAACTCTTCCCTCTGCTGTGATAGAAGTGTACTAACTACAATCGGAGACATCTGAGCTGAATATTCTTGAGTCTGCAAAGAGGAGAACAACCCAGGCCGCAGCCAGATCTTTATAAGATCTGATTCTGTAGCATCTTGATTCTCACCTGCTTTACTCTCACTTCTCACAGCTGGACAGAAGTATCAGATCGGCACATTTAGAAGATGAAACATCCATTGCTGGAAGAGTTGGTCCATTGTTGAGTCACTGCTGTAAACAAGCACATGGTGGGATTCACATAAAACAAAGTTTTCAGACATGTGGTGCTCACTCACAGACCACTGTACTTTACAAGACGTGAGTGTGAGAAAAAAGGCAGTCGGATGACTTCAGTGTATACAAGAATAGAGTTTATGAAAAACATGCTCTGAAGCGTTTACTTTTGGCTTGAACTAATAAGCCCCCAAAAAAGAAATGTGTAAATGACAACATGCTTTGTCACATGTCTGAACTCGAATGACATCATCCCCCTTTTGTTTCAAATAACAGGTCACACGTGTCAGTCCTCGTACACAAGCAAACACCCACAATCTTTGACTTTAACCCATTAGCGCCCAGATTTTTTGTCATGCTTATATGTACCTATCATTCTAAGGCTCATAAGTTTTGCATGTAATTCCTCAATTTTTCTAGAAAAATTGTACGTGAATGAGTGAAAACTGATAATAATAATAATAATAAAATCTAAGATGATGATGATGATAATGATAACAACAATAACAAAAATAACCAAAACAACAACAACAATATAATAATAATAATAATAATTATTATTATTATTATTATTATTATTATTATTTAAAAAATAATAATTTTACTTTCGTAACATAGCAAAATATAATCTTGTTACCTGTATTTTAAAATATGTATATATTTTCTTTTGTTTATGTTGTAATTGCCTTTTCTGAAAGGGGCTGTTGTTCTCACTTCCTCTGTAAAGTGGATCAGCAACTCCATTTGTTCATGTGACAGAAAGTTCATGGGAACTTTTTTTTTTTTTTTTTCTGTCCACCAAAGTGCCGTTGATGTATAAAACAATATATAAAACAAGTAATACAGAAATATATACATTTCAAATAACAATCCTACAGTTGGGCAGTAGTAGTTTCTACTGGGCTTAAATGGGTTAAACAATAACAAAAGTATGTTGCCCATACTGCTTATTGCACGCCTTGGGCTTGGACCCCTTTTCCTGCCATTTTTGCTGTGGTTGTGTGCAGGTGTGTGTACATCAAGAAATCTATACTAGCCAAGCTGTGGCGAGGTGTGTGTTCCTGTAGGGCTGCTGCTGTCTGTCCTGTCTCATTAGCTGCTGCTGTGATGGGTGATATCATGAAATGCAGATGAATGCAGCACACAGCAAAGAAACTGGTGCTAATCAGAGAGCCAGATTTCTACCAGCTGCCTCTCTGCTAAACAGAGGGTCTTTATCCTCCAACATAAGCAAAGGACTAAGTGCAACGCAGCCTCTGCCGATTCCTGACATTTGACATATGTGCTCTGATTGCCTCGTGTTGCAGAGTAGTTTCCCTTGTGATTGTTTCCTCTGTAATTCAAGGTTTGTGCATTTGAGACTCCTGGACTTGTTTTCTCAAACTGAAAACAGAGTTGTTGTCAGTCCTCTTTCCCTCCTTTCCTCCCTGTGGTCAGAAAAAAAAAAAAAAAAGCATACTAACCTTCCTGAGGATCTCCGTCCGCCACCAAAATCTGAAGGCAACTCCAGGCTTTCCTCATGGAAACTTTTACACATCCTGGCAAGCTGCCCAGACCCCAGGACTCCACAAAACCCCTAATGATGATTGAGAGTGCGTCCGCACCGCGCTGAAAAACATGCTGAGTCGCTAACATTGGAGTGTGCCGCAAGGCTGGCTCTGGGATCGGAGGGGGGCAGAAGAGGGAGAGGATTTAGGGGGGTTAAGGGTGTTCATTAAAGTGTCTAATGGGACTCACTAAAGCAGAGCTGCTCCTGTATGTTTAGACAGTACGTGTATATGTGTGTGTGGGTAGAGTCAGAGAGATGTGAAAGCACTGTAAGAGTCAGCGACAGCCTGGGCTTTCACATCACTCCACCTCTGACCTGCTGGCCTTTTGGGAGCAGGTCAGTATCTAGCTAATAGTGCAAAGAACAAGAGGCTGTCATGTGGTTAAGTGCAATGTCAAGAACGCAGTCTCCTCCTAGATGTAGTGATATTGACAGGTGCAAGAAGAAGGGTGATGGCTTCTCTATTATTTATGAATGCAAAGAGGAAGTGGATTTACATTTATATTCTTGTTGTCCCGGCCGTATTCTCATCCAAGCATACCTCTTTTCCTGGCAGGTTTTGATTTGTAGAAGTATGAAATAAAGTTTGGGATTCATGGAGAATTTCATAGTGATACTAAAAAAATTTAACTAATAAGTGGCTGCCATCCAGGTTTGGAGTTATGACCACAAAGCTGGGGATCAGCAGCTACTCATGTGGGATCAGCAATAGTTTAGATTTGAATTGTCTTATTAGAATAAATATCCATAAATTTAAAAGTGCAAACTGAAATAGTTTTGTTGTGAGAGAACAGTGACAAATTAAAATCATTACATGTCTTTTGAAACTGATTTAAGAGGATCAAATTTCATCAGTATTACATCAGATTTTGTAAAAACTTGTTTGTTTTCCTGGCAGTTATGGCAGCAGGCTCTTTTACCACGCATTTTCATCACCAAGAATGTGACATTATTAAACACATTCAACTGATTCTGCTCAGAGAATCTGAAGGCTGAGTTGTGTTACTCTGATCTACTCCGCAGCATGAGCTAAACTCAAGCAGACGGCCTTCACTGTTAAAAAAATTAAGCCAGTCAAGAGACAGTCAAGTTTCCACTCGAGGCTGGCTGCAGAAACTTAAAAAATCTTCATTAGGTTTTATATTTAAATGCTAATTTACTACAACAACATTGAAAACAAATACAGCCTGGTTAAAAATGAATTATTTGGGTGTAAAGCTTATTCATGTCTGTGTAGGCGACTTTTTTGAAAATGCTGCCATTTAGATGATATAAAAGCGAGGAGTTAGGAGTAAAAATCTGTTAAATGATAACTGACAAACAGGTTGAAAGCCCGCCTCAGTAGTAGTCCTCTTTATTACCATCACACTCACTGTCTCATGTAATCTGTGTCCCTCTGGCTGAACAAGAGAGCCTGAAGATCCCTGTTTGTGATCAATTTATTCCGATGAAACTAAAGTACAGGCACTGCTGTCCCAATTGCTTCCAGTTTGGCAAATAATTGGTCGTAAGTGTTTTCATATGACTGGCAATTGGGTCAGGGTATTAGTGCTTTGATTTGGAGCTTTTTTAATACAATCGTAGAGAAATTTATTAGTTTTGATAAGTGCAGCAAGATGAATCGGTGAGAATTCAATCCATTCATTACTGCAGCGCACCAGCTTTTATGTGTGCATGTGCGAGCCAGAGGTTCTGGTCTGGTTTCAGTCGCTCCGTCATAATATCCACAGTCACTGAGAAAGAATGTGTCTGCTGAAAAACTGCCGCTAAATTATCTAAACAAATTGGGTTTCCTTTGTGTCTGGGGTCTGATACACGCACATGTGTAGCTGCAAGACTTTGAATCAGATTTTTAATGAGTTTGCTTTGCTCAGTCCTCAGAAATGTGTGCTGCAGAGCTGCTACTGTAGATAATGTGTATTAGTTCATTTCTTTTTTCACTGCAGTGCAGAAAGTGGACTCAGTGTGCACAGTTTCTATCGGAGTCATTGATCTGCGATTTAAGGGAAAATAAACTTCAGTTAAATTTACAATCAAATAGCACAGTGAAGCCACAAAGTACATGCTTTCTTCCCCCAGACAAGGCCTCTTCATTAAAGCTATAGTCCCTCTGCTCACCATACGTCATGTATTTCTTACAGTTTCTCCTGATGCAGCAGTTTGCAGGCTCGGTTTATGTGGCTCACATTCTGAGGTTTAGGAAACACGCGTTGAAAAGCCACCGAGCCACACGGATCACAGCAGGTCAGGACTCAGACAGGGCCTGTGGCTTGGCTTTAGCTTTCCTGTGTACATCTGTGATTATGGAGCTACCACCTCACGCCAGACACGCTCATTACTGAATCATCATGGGCCATATGTCAGCGGTGTTGACTGCTCTGACAGGATGATCACTAAGAGTCTGATTTCTTACAAAGCTTTGACAAAGATATCTTTGCCTTGGTGATAGTTGGTGACAGGTCTTTGTGGCATCTGCAGGGACTGAGGTCCCTCCTGTCTTTCAGAGTTGATTGGATGACTTTGAGCTGCTGTCTCGTGTCAAAAATCTCCTGAAGGACCGCAAAAGCTGCACCAATACCATAAAATTATGTTCCTGTAAGGAGATAACCGATTTTTCTGCAAACACTACAAACACTGCAGAGTTAGAGAAACCATAAATCTGAAATGAATCTTGGATGTTTCCCGCTGGCATTGAAAATGTGACCACATGGAAAACTCATACACTCCAGCACACATTCAAAACACCAAACAAGCACACAAGATTTGCAGGAAGACATGGTTTTCTCCTTTTAGTATGCTGAAAAAAGGGGGTATCAGGGGTCAGGATAAGCCTTTGGACATCCTATCTGGAGCTTGTGGGGTGCTTTACTCGAGAACACTTAAATAGTCACAGACAGTTAAATGTGGTTCGAATAACATAATAACCACGCTGAGAGACCAGCTCTCTGCCAGCTGCATTGTTTTGGGGATGTAAACACGGGCGTCATCAGTAAACAGAAGCAGGTCTCTGTCCCAGAATACTTAATAGCAGCTTCCCATCTGAAATCTGTTAGCCCAGTGAAATACTATCCTGTAGCGACGGATGTCAGCAGAGGAGTCTGATCATGCCGAGCGGGATAGGGTAAGCTGTTGGGTTTTGCAACTCTTGGCAAAGTTTGTTGTTTCTTCTGTAAAAGAAGGTAAAAGAAAGAAAGAGGCGGGGAAGCAAAGATAAAAAGTATAAGAGAGAGAGTAAAATACAGATAGAGATATGAACTTAGAAAGAGTGAGAGTCCCAGGAGAAACTGACACAAAACTATAAACGTAACGCAGATGTCTCCTGTTTAAGTGTGACAGTCCACTGACAACATAAAATGCGACTGTAGGGACAGTGAATCAGTCTGAAGTTATTAAGATCATGTCATCCTCAATCGATCACTTTTCAAAAACAATCTTTTTTTTAAAAGCGTCCATCGCCTTTTTTAGTTCCACATCCGCGGTCGCAGCTCATTGGCCTAAATAAAAAGGGACAGCCACAAGTCATGAGACTTATTTTAGTGCTTTGAGATTTTGGGGTCAGGAGATTCTCTTCATGTCCTCACATCCAGGAATATTCAGCGAGCATGAGAAAAAGCAGGTCAGCCATAGAAATGAAGGAGACACAGACAGACAGATAGACTTAGAGAAAGAGAGGAAAATCTGAGGTGGAAGAAAGTAGCATGCAATCTTGGTGATTTTCCCTGGCAGCTTCTCTCACTGCCCCTGTTCTTCTCTCTCTCTCACACACACACACACACACACGCACACACAGGGACACTCTGTGCGCCTTCTGCAGCCTAAACTGTTAAAACTTAAACACTAAAAGTCAAAGGAAGATAAACACTGGCAGAGTTAAAGATCACGTTTTCTTCTTCTCCCACAAGCGGCCGCTCGCCGTGCAGAGACTAACCGAGCAGCGGGTGAATGGGTTTACGTTTGGGGAGGGAATGAACCACTGAACTGTAAGTGTCCTCCTGTTGACATACGACCCATGGCTGTTATAAACCTCAACGGGTCCCCCGACCCTGCTGATTGTTCTCAGCTGATCTTAAATCCTCTCAGAACAACAAACTAACAAATAGAGAAAACATTAAATGCTCACTAAGCCTTTTTTTATAGCGGGATAAAATGATGAAAGTGGACTCAAACCACAAATTAACATCTGTTCCTCAAGACAGGCCAGGGTGCTTTAACCAAGACTGTGTTTGGCATCCTTTAGGTTAGTTTAGCTCATTCGTGAAGCAGCTGATGTTCACATTGATGACTGCAGTAAATCCACACCTCTTTCTTTTGTTTATAATACATTCTTATATTTGAATGAGAATGTACCAGGATGTTTTTAGTATTAACTGAATTATTAATTCACATTTATAGCCATATCCATATCCAACTGTTACAGATTAAGAGGAGCAGTTTTATTTCCACACTTAGGATAGTTATGTCATTTGTGTTTTTGGTGTCATTATTCAGAGAATGGGACAGTAGATTGAGTTTGGAACCATGAAGTGATCATGAGAGGTGACTTGCCAATAGCCAAGCGTTGGTTTAGACCTAGACTGCTTTCATAAAGGACCATAGCCTCTGCGCATGGGGGGATGTGGTTTAACCACAGAGCTGAACCAGCACCCCATTCTGCATGAGGGTCAACGCAGTTATAAACAGCTCTTAAAGGCACAGAGCAGTATTAAGAGGTAAATAACAGAAAATACCAGAAGTAATATGTTCATAAGTGTGTTTAATTTTGTTTTATTAGATTAGATGAGCCTTATATATTGGCAGGACTCCGCCTGGTACAGCTGAGTTTCTACAGTAGCACAACATGGACAAACTACTAACATTTGCTTGTTGGTTTGACGTGCAAAATGTTTTGGTTGGAAGACAAAGAAAAATAAGAAAAGTGTGGCTATTACTTGAGGTGTAATCTTGGCTAATATATGATTTTACTTGTCATGTATCAAATGAGGTTTTTGTCCTAACAGGCCACCGTTGCTTCATCAATAGGAGGGGTGAGCAAGGGAGCATTTCAGTCTAGAAACTGATTGATGGAGTTCACTAAATTATTTCCATTTCTACAGACTATCCCTTTAAACCTTATTCATACTGATCATAAGGGTTTACTTGTGAAGGTCCATTTGATTCAAATAACCCAAAGTGTTGCTTTAAATGATTTATTAGCTGATAGATTGTAAAATAGGTCATACACTGTTGACAAAAATTAGAATTTACTCATTTTATGTAGACACATTCACACACTGCTGTCATGTCACCAGGAACAATGTAGGTTTCAGGGTCTTGCCTTAGAACAGCTGGAATTGGACTGCTAAACTTTAATTGATGGAGTTATAGTTTTATTTAAAACCTATGACAACTTAATCAAAGATTCTGTATGAAAAAGTGGTTCCACGCTTTTACATACAAAACCAACACATCTGCTGAGTCACTTAAATCTGACTGACCTTTCAGTACAAGACAGTTCTTACTGCTTGTGCTTGAATTGGAAAGCTTGGCTCCAGTGTGCTGTATAGACGAGAACATCATGTACACTTTAATTAAATCAGTGAGATTTACTGCATCATAGAGTAAAATAGCAGGCTTTTGTTTCTGTTAAGGTAGTTAAGAGGCAGATCCAGTCCCTGAGCCCCAGCTGTAAAGTCTGTGTGATTTGAAACATTAAAACAGAAGCAGGTGAAAATGCGGATCTATGATTTACAGGTGACAACAATGTCTCTGTCTCTTTCGCACAGTCTTACATTTCTAAAAAACAATACTCTCTCCAGATGGATGAAGGTTTATTAAATAAAAGCGAGAAAGGCTGAGGGTGTCGGAGAGAGGAAAATGGAATGTTTGCCAAAAGCACCTAGAAACTCCCCCTGACCGACTGGTCTACCTGAATGAGTTCATCATGTGACCTGAGGTGACCTCCTTCTCTGTGTCTTTGAATCCTCTCAGGCGCTGAAGATTTAAAGTTTCAGGACAACCCTCAGGGTCAACTGACAGAGCTTAAATCTGGTCAAACTTTGCTTCTGCACAGCTCAGTGGAAGGTTTCAAGGAGAGGCCACACTCATATGCAACACTAGATTTTTCTGATTTAGCTACCTTTAGAATTATTTTTAGTGCTTCTTTGGTATTTGAAACCTCCCTGCAGCTTTCTTAACAGCTTGAACAGGAGTATGCTTTCCAAAGAAGAGACAAAAAAAGACAGTTCAAGGGGGGAGGACAGATCCAGATGATAATAATGGTGTCCTCAAGGTTAACAAATTGAGCCAACTGGTTTTAAACTATTTGAGCTTGAAGATAAAAGCCTGACAGACAGCTAGACCAAAGAGCCAGGATGTGCAGAAACACAGACAAGCGGTCATGCACATTAAAAAACAGGAAAGAACTTCAGTGAGCCATCTATCTGTGATGGATGGAGAACAATGAAGCTCGCACTGAGGTAAGCCTTTTTGGACACGCAGCGCCCAGCGTCTCAGTGTATAAATAAGAGAAAACAATTCTGAATCCCACGTTAGAACTGACAGGCAACAGGTGATTTAAAGACGCACAAAACAAATGCAGTCATAAATCGTATAATATGCAGGTGCACGGCCAAATTCCCTCTCAGACGACTGCGACCCACCAAACTATGATTGTTTCAGTATGCCGGTGTGTTTTTTTTCACTCAGTGCCATTTTCAGAAACCACTGAAGTCTCCAGCCGTCTGCATCAGCCTCAACCCGAGAGCATACGTTTCTTATTCTGGATCAATCACTGCAAGTTTATCAGATGGCTGAGTTATTTTACCATAAACCCCACGGGTAATGAGCCATACAACGAGACTGAATCTGTCTCCTTTTATATCTCCATCTCTAAGATGTGTGGGTGTGTTTGTCGTAGTGTGTTTTCAGGCTTTGGTGTTTGCTTTATGAAGTAATGCTTCACTGGTTGCATGAAACTGAGCTTTTGATTTCTCACAGTCTTCAGTCAACAACACACACTTTATGTCAAAAGCTCTTTAGATTCTTTTTTAGTGTTTGCTTTGAGAAACACTCAGCTGAGTCCTTTTGTGGCATTTTTTTTTCCACTGCTGATAAATTTAGACATTACAACAGTGTAATCAAAATAAGTGAAAGCATTATTTTGCCTTTCAGCTTTCTACTTCTCTCTGCACTTCTTGCTTTGGTCCGTAGATCTGACAGTGTGGGCGGACCTGTGGCTTTCCTGTGTTTTTCTGTTGAGTCGGTGCAAATATGCTCACACTCTTGTGGCAGTTAGGCTTCCAAATGTAAGTTCAAAGCTACTGTCTGGAGGGGGGGACAATAAAAACTGTATATTCTGGTTAATAACACTCACTGTATGTGAAAAGTACACCTGTATCTCCTCTCAAAGTAAAAGTCAAAATTCTTCCACCAGTGAAATGCAGTGCATAGAGATGATGCCTCTAGTTTCCAATGCAAATAAGTGCATATCTGTCATAATATGTGCCTGATAAAATTGTAGGACAGTATTAGACGAAGAGAAAGAAGAGGGAGACTCTTGCTGATGTGTTTGTTGATTGTTTTGGTATGTGATTTAAAATGTCAACTGATAGAGTAACAAACCGAACAGGAGACATATCACCACTCACTGTAACAAAAGTCATGATTTTTCATCTGTGTTATGGCTTTAATTTTAATAGAACAGAAAGAAACATGTTAAAAGGTGTGCATGGGGTAGATGTAATACTGACACAAGGTATACCGACAGGATGGGCATTGGGGTATATTTCATTCCATTTCCAAAACCAAAGAAAGACTGAAGTAAATGTCTGCTGTGGATTAAGTCGTGTGGCAGACCACACAGCCAACTTAACATCCAGAAAATCAACAAATATGTCTACGTTTGTTCTTATGTTAGTTATGTCAACATGGGTTTAAATCTATGAACTTTACCAACAGTTATTTTATCGTCATTAGCGATGTAGTAACAGAGCTTTCGTCTCTGGTAAACTAGCTGACGCTAATGTTAGCCCAGGTTAGCACACTAGCTGAGTGACTGTAACACTCAGTGCCTCTCCAGATTATTTTAAATAATTAAAGGTAAATTAATTTGATTTTACCCTGCGACACTCAAACAGTGTTGGTATTGGATGTTGTCATCTGAAATCGTGATGACTGTGAGATGAGGCTCCTCCCACTTGCATTAAAATAGGTACACGCTCACCTCCAATCCATAATGAAGTCCCTTTTAAAGGCTTCTCGAAGAAATCAGGTCTTTATGTGCCCAGACTTTGTCGAGACCCTCTTGGGGTGGCATTTTGACACTGGCAGCGGCCATTGTAAAGCACTGCTCAGCTCCGATTGTTTGTCCGAGTTAGCAACAGTAACTAAGGCGGGGCTTAGCAATAGGCCAATTGAGCTATAACTATAGCTTGACTGACCTGTGTGTGTAAATGATGAGCATTTGTTGTGTTTTCTTTTTACCACCACTCTGCAAATCAGCGAAAGAACACCTATTTTTTCTTATAACACAGTAATACACCCTTCCATTTTTAAAATATCTCACACTGTATAAAAGTGTATATAAAAATATTGTTGTTTATGCAGTATCATCTGTGAAAAAGAAAAAAAAAGTTATCTCATTAAACTAAATGTAAAAATGTCTGAATGGTAGACTTTGTATGACTATCTAGGGATCCTGCTTAATCTCAAGGATCTAAAAGAGTCCAAATCTGAATGAAATTTCTTCTTGTTTTTGTAGTTCTGTTATTGTTTGCGCAGAAGTCTGAAGCCACTCTGCTACGTTTCAGAGAAGTCAATGATGAGGGCACAAGAGAGCAGCTCCAAACATGTAAACACCTCCCCCTCGTCCTCCCGGGAGAGCGACCTCGAGCGAGCACAGCCGTGGCCTCCTGGGCCCAAGAGGAAATGAGAGGAGGAGGAGATGGAGGAAGAGGGGGAGGAGAGGGAGGGAAGTGGCACACTCACAAAGGGAGACAGAGTGAGGTGAGATAGGGAGAGGCACAGCACACCATTTAAGATCAAAGACTGAGGTTATGCCCTGCTGCAGCCAAAATAAGCACATCAGTGGTGGGGCTTTCAGTAAAAGTTGTTGTCTTTAGATTTCTAATTTGGGACTCTGCTGTTTTATTGTCCTCCAGCCCACATCACAGAATTTCGAGTTTATTTGATTCTTTTCACGTGATTTTAATCTGGGCCAGGCAGGCTCCGAAAACCTCCTGGGTTAGGTCATTTGCTTTGGCAACATGTCAGACTGAGCTGACGACGGAGAGAACCATTAAGCATGTCCTCTGAAAAAATGAGGCAGATCAGAGACTCTCAGGTGGAGATTAGAGCCCAGCTCCACTCTGTCTCTCCACATGAGGCACTAAGAGTGTCATCCTTATTTCTCAGGGCCGCTCCAGATCTCTTATCCAACTGAGCCAGGAGGCCCGTCTAAAAACAGCAGCAGACGTATTGATTGAAAATCTCTTCAGTGATATCAGAGCACTCACTATTTACAATTACTGCTCTATTTCTCTTCCTCTTCAACTCTCTGTCAACAATAAGATTCCCACACTATATCTTTTTATTTTTATTTTTCCTTTTAGAGTCTTTACCTCTTTGTTTTCCTCTTCCCCACTTATTTTTCCTCTGGTCATTTTTCCATGTTTCTCTTGCTATAACTTTTTTGCATTGCTTTATTTTTATAAGTGGAGAGTAAAATACTTAAGAAAGCTATCTTAGTTTGCACAAGCAGTGGTGAGTTTCACTTTTTTTCAATAGTGTTTCTTTTAAACACATGGCATTCTTTTTGATTGAATTGGATCATAACTTACAGCTCCTGTGAGGAGTTTTCAGCTGGTTGTAAAGTGGACCTAAAAATAATACTGATCCCTTTCTATAACCCACAAGAGCAAACATTGCCAGTAACTTCATCCTTAATGTCTTTTACACTAACATTTTGGTTGAACATAAAAAGACAGTCAGAAGAAAAAATATGCAACCATTTGTCATCACTACCCAGAGTGCATTGCACAAGAAATAGGAAGACTTTTTATTATTATTATTATTATTATTATTATTATTATTATTATTATTATTATTATTTTATTTTATTTTATTTTATTTTATTTTATTATTATTATTTTTTTAATCAAGGTGTATAAAACTGTTTTCTTTGTATGGATTATATAATGGGAACGTTTAAGTTTATACAGTTGGGTCCACATGTCTTCATATCTGAGGTTCCTTTTCAGTGATAATTTGCTTTGCACTGTTGTCAGTATTTATAAAATCATCACTTTAAAGCTCCTGTGAGGAACTTTCAGTTTGTGTCACAGCCCACCCCAGAGGACAAAGCAGCCCTGTTTTGTCTTTGACATGTTTGAGAGGTGTCCTCTGAAATTAAATTAAATAAAATCTCATCTTGTTGACTTAAGAAAGTTAGAGTATTATTTAATTTAAATATTTTATGCAGAAATTGTAAAAAACAGGGCTGTTTATTCAGCTCATCAAATGGACACCTACCCTCTTACATCTTTTTCAGACTTTAAAAATTTAAAGATAAAATTTGCCGTTTTTTCAACTTGCTTTTGTATATTACAAAAAAAAGCATTGATGTTAATTTCAGTCTATTTCATACATGTCAAAAAAACTCCTCACAGGAGCTTTAAGCGCAAAAGAAAACTAAACCAGGCAATCACAGCTTCACTTGTGGCTGCAAGCTTGAAGTGCTGAGAGCAAAGTACTACTTGAAAGAGTGGTGCTTGTTTCTTTTTAAAAACCCAGATCTTGTCTCTCTGTGAAATCATTTTGTTTACACCATTGTTGTTTACTTTCTCGGTGTGAGGAGTCGATTTTCTGCTGCCTGTTGCACACATTGTTTTTATGATATCACAGAGATGCTGCAGGGAACCCCAGCTCCAAGGGTGAACTAGGATTATTTTTTTTAAATAAACCTTCACCCTGCAGCTGTATTGCTGTGTCTCTCTCTTTCTCTCTCTCTTACTCTCCTCTCTCTCTCCATCCAGTCACTCAGTTGTGGAGACTGAGTGGTTCCACATGGGGAAGCCTCAAGCTTCACACATCAAACTAGCTGTGGGGATGAAATATGCTGTCTGTACATATCATCACATCATTAGGCCCAAAGGGATCCCTGCGATGGATGAGACACTGTCTACCTGAGGGCAGATGAATTTATGAAGCACTTAATCATGATGAAGCATTAGTGGAACACTTTGTCTCTTTCCATGTGTGTTTATCTGTGGGAATAACGAGGATGTCTCCCTCCTTTTGGCTCATCTTCTGTCAGCCTCTTCATCTTTATATCTGTCTCTCTGTGTGTCATCAATTTGCATATTCTGACCCTTGACCCTTCCCTATTTTTGACGCTGCTGGTAATCAGGGCAAGATAAGTGACGCTGTTCGAGCCTCTCCGTCCAGCCTTGCGTAGGAGGCAGCAAATTGTCCATTAAGTGTTGGTGCTGAGGCCGAGAGAAGATTTGATATAGTGGGGAAACAAAAGTAATATGTAGCAGGAAATTCAATTGTCTCTCTCAAGCAAGTTTGAGCTTTAGTTTGGCTTCCCTAGCAAATCAATTTCACATGAAGCAGTTCAGATGAGGTTTAACTCAAAGTCTGTCTTGCAGCCATTTCTTTGAGCGCAGACTTGATTCCAATGTTTATCTGTGTGTTGATGTGAAAAAGCTGCTATGACTCAGACCTACATCCTCAAACACTGCTCTGAGTCTGTGCGCCACAATAAAAGGAAGCTACCTTCTTTCTCACAAACCCAGTACGCTACTACAGCAAGTACAGGAAACAGCCCACTTAGCCGCAGCGTGAGGGTCCTTGACCCAAACACAGCTGCTGCTATTCATGTAGTGAAAGTGAGATTTGTTCAGGAAGGTGCCCTCTGCTTATTTGGCATCAAGAGACTCCAAGTGAGAACAGAAGTCCCTGGCAGGAAGCCTCCGATTCAACCTTGAGTTCAGAGGTGGTGTTGTTGATAGTCAGCTGAGGGAAGCCTGGGGGAAAGTGAAGTCACTCTCTGCCAGGTCATTGCCAGTCAGGCCTGATTTGGCTGGGGGAGATCGGGTTACGACAGCGAGAACCTCAGAGGCTGGAGGCTCTGCGTCTCAGCAGACCATAGGGCATCCTCTGTTCTCTGAGGGACCATGGTTGTTATCGAACCCAATGCACAGCACTCGCCTCTAACAATGCTAACTAAATCCCCAGTGCAGGTCAGGTTTACACTGAACTCAGACATTTTAAGTGGGCAAATGAAGTCATGACCCCAAGGTCCAAGTTTGGATCACTGACTTAAAAAGAGAGTATAATGAAGACGTGAAAATCATTTTTTAACATTTTTTAACATCACATCACATTTGGTTTATAAAAGAAAAAGTTCTTTCAAAATGTTTGAAAATAGACCAGGATATAGCTAGAAAAATAAAAATCTACAGGTGTGTCTGTCATTGTAAACATAAATGATCTACTATATGAATCATTGCTTCATATAGATTATTCCTCATTACCTGCCAACACTTTGTGTTAGTCAGAAAGTTTATAACCTTTTTGTAAGCAAAGTGAAACAATCCTGAGGAGCCATATGTGTTTTTGTGTAAATTTGTGGTGACCAAAAACAGAGATAAAAGAGGATGTAGGACCTTTAAGGGCCTTTATGAATAACTATACTGTTTTATATCTGCTGTATGTGCAGATATGAAGGAGTTTGCTCATAAGTTCACTGTGTCACATTGAAGTGTAATCACATGTCAGTACTGTGTTTATTGCTTGTTTTTGCTGCCCTTAAGTACTCCCTCATTAGCCTGTTAAAATAGAAAAAAGAGGGTTTTTTCTTTTTTTTTTTTGCTCAATGTGACCTCAAAGACTGTATTCAGTTAGATTAAGGCCATGTGCAGATCAACACTGCTTAAAAACCCGCAGATTAATCCCAGTAAGTCCAATAAATTTGTTACTGACAAGTGAGTTAAAGCTTGCTCAACCTTCTCTGTTCTTGATCCCGGTCTGCGAGGCAAAGGTAAAACTAATTGTCATGTCAGTATCTTCCTACGTTTGGATCCAGACTCATCCTAGTGAAAAATATTGCACAGTGTTTTCTGTCCTCTAAACACTGACAGCTGTGTATACAGTATGTTATCCACATTGGATATCATAGCTAAGATTGTATTTTCACAGCTCTACCTGTTGCAACCTGCCCACACCCACTCAGCCTCGCATGTTTTTTTTAAAGCTGTGCTATTTTTGGTGTGACAGCCCGCTGGGCCTTCTGCTATGGCTGGTCCTAGACAACCTGTCACACATGAGCAAACTGTTAGCCACCTGTGTGTACTCAGTTTAATAACTAAAGTGGTGTAGTTTATGAGAGTTGACCTGTAGCGTATTGTTTATGCATGCACACAGGCAAGCTGGAGTCTCTGACACCCATTCTAGCAGGTGGAAGCAAATTATTCCTGATCCTAGTTGATACAGACAAATTATTCTTGCAAGCTCAGCTGACACAAAGCACACCTGGTGGACATGGAGGTTTAGTTTCAAGCACGAGCCAAGAAACACTAATATGCCTTCACCAAAAAGACAGCTGAATTGTCCCTTGGACTGCTCAGCATGTAAAACATCATATTTTTGTGTCACTCTCACACCTGCCTGAAATAGATCTCCAAACCGCCCAGCCCTGAATATAAGTCCAGACAGGTCTGGGCTGCGGTTTAGGGATTGCAACGGTACTACGGCTAATAAAGGATGTCACTCTGTTTGGCCTAGACTAGCAGGGCTTGTGTTTTCTTTTTCTTTTTTTTTTCAGCAGGGGAATATTGGGAGTTCAGTTTTCCGCTGTTTTTGTTTATTCATGAGAGGGTATCCTCCCAGTTACAGCTTTCCATTATTAACCTGGGCAACTGAAAAAAGAAACAACAAGATCAGTTTCCACAGAGACTTCATTTATGTACAGTACATATCGAGTAAAAAACATGCTGTTTGGCATCATTATTGCGTAACATAACAAAGCTTTCTGTTTTACAATAGCATAAAGTCGGAAGAAAAAAAAAAACTCTTCTGGCATGTTCTTTTAAGACGCCACAACTTGCTTTATGAGCCTCAACTTACAGCGGAGGTCTTGTGTTATACCCCTGCCTTTCTATATTATGCAAGCCGAAGAAATGTAGGAGCCAAATTCCACTCTGAACAAAATGTTCCCCGTCGTGTCTGACTGCCTTCCCTTATTCTGCATATTTGTGGTTATCTAGTCACTTCATGGAAGGTGGGACAGACCCAAAAATGGAGAGCTGTCCCAGTGGAGAGCTCAGCTTAAGAGGAAAAACAGACAGATATGCACTGGCAGATCTACGATACCTAATCTTGGTCGTCTACCTCAAAAAGAAATGTTTATTTATGAGTCTAAATGAGTAAAACAACATTTCTGAAGTGATAAAACTGTGTGTGATAAAAAAAAGTGCTGCTAAAAACAGTCTGAGGTGTTGGAAATAACATGTTGACGTGTTATTCACAGTCATTACCTGTGTATGTTGTCATGCATTATACCTGTTTCATCACTTTTTTTTCTCATTTCACCATTTCCCAGAAGCTGGTGCAACTGAATAGTGACACGAGTGCCCCATTAAACAACTATAAATAGCAGCTTGGAGTTGCTTTGTGGTGTAACAGTTTGCCACATCCTGTTTCTGAGATTCTCACATAGCCGACAGAGTACACAGATAAAAAAACACAGGGGCCAGTGTTGTACCTTACTCCTCTCTTTGAGCCAATGGAAAATATTAGTTGATCAAAATGAGAGAACAACAACTCTGCAGTTATTATGTGGGCAGAGGAGACGTTGTTAGTTTGTTACTGTGACTGAGAAGAAGAAAGGAAGCCAGTGTTTTCCTCTGAGAAAAATAAAGGGTACATTTGTGGTTCTTTGCCGCAAAGCAGTTGGGTTTTCCCTTTCCTTCATCAGAATAACCTGGAGCTTTTTTCTCACCTCAGCTGACTGAGAAGAGCTGCAGTGTTCAATTCTGATCGTTTAATTGTTGCATGTGCTTGCACTTCCTTTTTCTCTCAGCAATGGCAAAGCTAAAAATAACCTCAGCGTGTAAATACCTGTTTAGCCCGGGGTGGAATAGAGTTGAAAACAGCCAAGTGTGTTGGCACAGGCTGGATTTTTCCAAAGGGAGTTCCTCCTGTTTAGGGAGGTGAGCCCTATCCAATGAATGTGTGTAAATAGGTGGCTGTTTATGGAAAGCAGGGCATGCTGTTATAGGTGTGTGGCCTACCTCTTTAGAAATGCGTAATCTTTGACCCATCATAAGTAGTTCATTTATTTCCATTTCTATTTTGTGCCCATCCTTGGTAACCATGTCACACTCTTTTATAATGTTGATCTTCAGTATATTTTCCCTGGATTATTTCTGCAGGTATCAGTACCACTGTTGTAAAAGACAATAATAAAATTACCTTAAATGTCTTAGTATTTTTTTCAGCACCATGGGTACCACATGTGGTTTAGCTCATCCAAAACAGCAAACGACATGAAAATGATTTGCATTTCAAAGAGCTTCATCTTGTTTTTGTCTGGATCAGTGCAGATGTCTCACCAAACAGTATCTAGTGATAACAACCTGCAGGCCTCAGAGTGGGTGGACTTCCTGCCTCGGCTCCTTGCTGCTGATGATGGTTTCACTCGTCTTCCTCTCTCTCTCTCTTTCGCTCTTTCTCTCTGTCTGCATCAGCCCTCTTTATCACAGCAGGCTCTATGACTGAGAAGCTTCTTGTTTGTAACGAGCCACAGGGCTCAGGGTCCACGCCATCTTCTCCGTCACTTCCCTCTGTTTTGCCAAAGAACACAAAGCAGATAAAGGCCGGGGAGTGATCTGTGTCTGCCCGACTGTGGGAAAGGCGCGGGCACAGGAACTAGTGCAGGAAAGACAAGACGGTGACCAAAAAACAGAGATGTGTGTACTGGGCCGATATGAGCCTGGTCATGACAATGATATGTTTGGATTGCAGCTGCTGAAAAATGGGTACTTTTCAACTTGACCACGTGCATAAGGAGCATTCATGTTCACGTGGTTGTCCTGTGAAATTCATTCTAAGCATTGAGAGTTACATATTCGTATCTTAGGTTTTGTGTGTATTCTGTGTAGACATCATTTGTATGTCAAAGAAAAAAAAAAATGTGCAAAAATGAAAAAAAAGGCCAAAAACTAGAGAACTGACCTATCGCTAAGCCCCGTCCCTCTTAGTTACTGTTGCTAACTTGGACAAACAATCAGAGCTGAGCAGTGCTTCACAATGGCTGTCTCCGGTGTCAAAATGCTACTCCAAAGGGGTCAAGACAAATTCTGGGCAAGACCTGATTTCTTCCAAAGGGACTTCAATTGCCAATTTTAGCAAACGTTAGTGCTAATATATGTTAGCACTAATGCTAGGTAGTGTTAGCTATTGTGCCAGAGGTGAAAGCTCTGTTACTACATCACTGATGACGATTAAATAACTGTGAGTAAAGTTAGTAGATTTGAGAGCTTGCATATTTCTGCAAGAAAAGGCCAAACTGCTGTTGCAATAGTGTGACCCCAATGAGAGAATGTGTGCTGGTCTGCCCCATTTAAAACATTTGGTGCATTATAAAACAACAACAAGAAAAAAAAAAAAAACTCTATCGGGCAAAAATGGGACACATTCCACTTTTGATAAATGTCTTCTAGGTCCCCAGATATTTACAGAGCATTGTTAAAAGAGTGATGTTAAAAGAAGAGTTGATGCAACCCAACAGTAAACAAGATTGGATGAATCGTGGCTTTAGTCCTTGGTCAGAGGCCCAGGTTCAATTCTGACCCTTGGCCCTCTGGCTGCATGTTATCACTCACTCTGTCTCTCTAGTTTTCTGCTCGGTCCACATCCCTACCCTCTGAACAAAAGGATACAAAATAAATCTTAAAATTATCACAACAACATGTTCGTTTTCTCCTTACAGTAGTGTTTTCGTGACTGAAACTGATATTCAACGGGACATGGCAATAATGCTGTACAACCTCTCTTTCTTTCTGCAGTTAATGAGATCATCAGGAACGACCTCTCCAGCATCTCCGTGCACACACATGCATAGACATCCAGAGGTCTTCTGCAGCAGCAAAACACAAACAACTACATCAGAGGGCCAACAAACAGAGATCCAGATGATGAGGAATCACGTTTTGACCAAGATCTCCCTTCTGACCACCTCTGCCATCAGATCCTCCCCCTCATAGACTCGCTGCAGAAACACACCGACAATCACTGGCAAGCTGAGTTTGAATTAACAGAACAGATGAATGTCATATTTCCACAAAGGGAAGTGATATCAGGGGCAAAGTATACAGCGACACTTGCCTTAATTCACAGCAGATGATCTTTTAGTGGACCAAACAGCTCCATGAGACTGAATTACTTCTATTATCTACTAATGACAATCTTCATTTCAAGTGTGATCTGTGTGTTAATGCATGGACAAGCTAACTGGACAGAAAGTGACGTGTTTCATCACTTTGGTTCATTTGTTTGTGCAGTCAGTCCGCAACAGCCGAACCGGTGCCTTACAGCAGTGATATTGACAGCAAAACAACGACAGCAGTCACACAAATGCAGAAGGTTCTTTGTAACCCAGAGTGGAAGTTTTTCTACGACAGTTTTGTATGATTTTAATGATTTGTTTACAGGGAAACAGGATTAAAGGCTGGAAAATAAGTAGGGATTATGTGAATAGATTAGAATTGTATTTTTTCTTGCTTCCTCATTATTATCTCATTGTTCATTTATACTGAATGTTATTGTATGATATTCTTTTGTATAAACATGTATTTGAAAATGTTATTATGTACGCCTTATGCTCATATCATGCAGTTTGCTATTTAGCTCATTGTTACTTTCATTTGTCTTCCCCCGATTCGATTTCTATTACTCTGCATAATTCTTTTCACCTTTGTGCCTATTTTTTATTACCCTGCCCCGGTCTTCCACCTGAACCATTATGACATTATGATGCAAAGACAATCAGAGACAAATAAAGAACATATCCTATGATGACAGTTCCTATTTGCAGGGGCTAAAAATGCAGGTATAAGAGTTTTCTCCTTCCCCGGCTGTCTGTTAGTTAAACAATGGTATGCTTACCTGCTGAATATAAATGAGAATACTCATGGAGAAGATGTATTTGTCTGTTACTTACTTGCACTGCAGGTCTGCATGTAAATAGGCACAGGGATAATCTGAGGACGCCACAGGCTCAGTTTTACTCGTCATTCTGCTGAGGAGTTGGCAGGACTGTTACTTACTGCTGGCAATAATTGATCTGAGTAAACCAAAGGATTTTATCTTTGGTGAAATTATTGCCCAAGTTTCCTTTTTTTTCTGTCCAAGACTTCAGCGCAGAGCGGCTTCAGAAATCATAATGCACTTTACAGAGCAGCTTTTCTTGCCTCCAAACCAAATATCGTAGACTGATCTCCACTGTCATAGACTCGCCCACATCCACTCCTTTTCCACACCATAGCAGTCTTTTCCATGTTATCTGTCTTTTGGAGCATGCATATCGTACTAATGTTTGGGATCATTTAGCTGACAGTAGCTCACAATATAGCTTCCTGATACATTTTCGGGCAAATAGTGTAATAGCATGACTAAACTGTTTGAATAAAGTTTCTATTTTGTGCCTTACTCTCTTTCTTGGCCACAAAATCACTGCAACACACTCTATAATGCTTTCTGCATAGGCACAAGGTGAAACATATTGCTCTTTAATATGAAATATTTATGAAAAATGAAATGTGTTTTAAGTGCATTCAATGTGTTCTCAACAATGGATAAATAAATGGCATAATGGTGACCATAAATAAGCAGTTCTCTTTTTCTTTGTTATCTAACATTTAAGGAAGTACAGTAGCCTACAAGTTCCTTTTTTTTGAGTTTAGGAACAGAGATCAAACGCTGCAGAAGAAGTATTTATTCTTCATGGAAAACTATTGTACTCAATTTAAAATAAGCCTTTTCTTGACTACACCGTACATCCATGACCCATGTGGCTGTGCTCTGGTTCAAAGGCCTTTTTTTAACTTGGCTGTAGGACTTTCTTGTATTGTAAAGCTCAGCAAGGCAGATTAAGCAGCAGAAGCTGAACGGCAGGGAAAGAAAATAAGGAATTTACCTATAGGAGCGGGATGTAAAGGGGTTCATAGGCCAGTCGACTTTCTTTTCTCCTCGCTGCTCTGAAATTAAGGCAGAAAGTGGAGCCAAAGGAGGCTTCTTACCCTGGCTCTGGATTGCCTGCCATCTTTCCAACATCTCTCTCTCTCTCTCTCTCTTTCTCTCTTATTCCTCTTTATATGTGGTTGGAATGAGATATTAAATTTATAATAATGGGGGTATGGTCCTGGGATGCTGATACAGACTGTGAAGCCCCCCTGAGGCGTCATAAATGGTGAAATAAGGCTTTCTCTAGTCTGCTTGAAGTGTTTTCACATTATGTCACATTCACCCATTCAGACAATATACACTAAAAGCAGAGGCTGCTGTAAAGCCTCCAGTGGTACTAATGAATCTACACACTTCGCCTGCAAAGCTAGGAACAGTTCAGTGTGTCTTGCCCAAGGACACTTGATGTGGACTTCTTAGGAGACAACCAACTTCCGATCCACTGCTGCAAGCCGAGAAGAAGCACTTGTGATATTACTAATATTTCTCACAAGACTGGACGAGATCTTGCGAGATCTCAGGAGATCTCACGTGTTTCATCGTGAGACATTGAATGAGATAGGCAGTGTATATAAACACCTACAACCCACAACCCTGGCCCCTCCCATTATCACGTGTAAAACAGTTCAACGTATTGACTTTATTCTATCTTGAAAATTAACTGGATATTTTACTCTGTAGTCACATACAGCTTCCACTGCTGCTCGTGCTGCACTGAACTGATGCATTGTGCTGAAGTGTCCAACAAATACAGAAGCCTTGTGTATTTGATCCAACAGCCAGAGCGGATCCGCATCGGAGCCGGATGGCGGACGCATTGTGTGGAATCATGCACATTGAATATAATGCTTGGGTATTAGATCAGGCTGCCGTTCCGGAGCGGAGCTCAGCCGTACTGTATCCTGTGGAATTTAGCTGTTAGTAACTGTGTTGATATGATGGTTCTAGCTCCTTCCAAGTGGGTATGTCTGGCCCATTTGGAGCTAAGTGTTTAGGTAGTTAGTGTCATTGCCAGGACCTGGAGCCTTGGTCATTAAACGGTGGTCATGCTGTTCGGGCGGCATTACCATTTGGTAGGTTTGCACTTTATTGGTAAAGTAAAAGCACCAGATGGGGGTGCAAAAGAGGAGGGAGAGGTGTTTCTTACAAAATGCTTACCCTTTTCTTCAGGGCTAGAGTATTTTATCTTTATGTAGAACCAGATGTGTTGCTGTTGTGAATATTTGAGGAAGAATAAGTTCCAATTTTGACACTTTGGCAGGTATCTAAAACTGATGAGAAAATCTTTATTCTTTTTGTAAAAGTTTAGTACTCAACTTAGAGTCACTCCTTCTTTGACTCCACAGTATGGTATGCATGGCCCATATGGCTACGCTTTAGTTAAAAGGCCTTTTATTTCAACTTGGCTGTGTGATTTTTCTGTGTCATAAAGCTTGACCTCAGTAAACCTCAGGCTGTTCCAACCTGTACCTGTATCACTTATAAAACCTGAAATGGAGACAGTTTGACATTGACAAGAGGAGAGGAAAAATGTTCTTTTTTTTCCCCTTTCTCTCTGGCGCTCAAAACACTTCAATATAATTCTAATTGCTGGCCAACAGCTTTGGTAGCTACAAGTAAGGGTTTAACATTCTCACAGTGTTTCCTAAACCACTGCCAGACAAGATGAACCTTAAATCAATCAGCAGATGGTATTTGGTCTTGTCTTCCATTAAAAACCCAATTACACACCAACCTACATTGTACTTTGGCAGGATTAAAAGCAACAATCTGCTGATATGACAAGTAGCCTACAAGCAGAGGCCTGTGCATTTTCCACTGAGGATTGGTAGTAGTGGTATAAGTAAGACAGCACCTCGCCATGGGAGCTGTGCCATGCTCCTGTGTACCACCTGCCAGTCCTCCAGACTTTTTCCATGCACCAAAGTTATGAAGCGCCTATCCCCATAGTGACAGAAGGCAGGCCTAGGCGGTGCTCCCCCGTACGACCGTGATCAGCCCAAAATAGCTCCACTATTTGCAGATGCAGTCACGCCCCTTTTTCCTGGCACCCTGTCCTTCTTACCTTAGTCTTCCTCCAACAGTGCTGTACCCTTTGACACAGTGGAGAGATGACTCAGGGCCAGAGTTTCCACCCAAGCAAGGAGAAGACTAACTAAAGCAGCATATTCATGGTATTGAAACAAGCAAAGGACAACTGGTATTTCGTTTAACAGAATGGGCACATAGCAGTGTTTCATTTTTCTGCAAGCTCATTATTCTTTATTGTGGTAAGAGTGACACATTCAGGAACCGAATATACACCTCTCTAAAGGGTTTTTTGCTTCAGTTTTGATGGATAAAAGTTCATGTTTATGCACATTTGTTTCTTATATGCTTGTTGCTTTTCTTGGCACAATGAGAAATCTAACACCGCTCTAATATCTTAATGCAAATGAAGTGTTTCTGCATGGTGGTTCGGTTGGGCTGGTGCAGTTTGCTACACTTTTGTAACCCTTTGCATGGGTTTCCACAGCAGACTGGACCCTACAGGTTGTGCATTTGCAGCTTTATTTTCATTATAACATGCATGGTCTTGTGCACATCTCATCCATAGCTTTTTTGCAAGCCTTGCTTGGCCAAGAAAGCACTAAAAAATATCAGTTGAAGTCTTAATAAGCTGTGTCACAAGCATAAACATACAATGGATGTACCTCCAAAATGGATAGACCCTTTTTTTAATCTCTAAGGAGAGATTTCCATGTTTCAACGCACTGTTTTTACTCTGAAAGTTGTGTACAGGACAGTTATTTGGTGATAGAAGTAACTTGCACAGCTTTAGTTTGTTGGTAAAAGGGGTCATTTATCGCGTTGGGTGCAGGTAAACTGTGTGCTATCATAGGAGAGTTTTCTTTTTGTGCAATCTTTGTGAGATAGCTGTATAACACCAAAAAGCATTGATGTAATCTAATCTCCCCACCCCATCCCCTCCTCTTCCTAAATCACTGCAGCCAAAGTCACACTTAAAGATTTGTTTGCTCTAATTCTTCTCAACCTTCTAGCTTGCACATCTTTATGAAACACCATGAGAGAGAGCCAACCAAATACACGCGTGTGATGGTGCCATTAGATTTCAACATTTCTTTACTCATACAGCGCTCAGCTGCAGCAGATTCAATATATCCAAAGAAAACATGCAAAAACATTCAATAACATGCTGTACTACTTTCAAATATCACTTCTTTCCAGTTCCAGGAGCAGCTCTAGCAACATACTGTGTCTGTAGTGTGTAGCCTGCAGTTCAAGCAAACTGGCTGTCATCTGCTGACAGTCAACAATCAATCAGCAAAATCTGATGGACACAGTGGGCTCCTGCAGAAACATAAAGTATGTTAGATCAACCCGACAATCAGAATATTTGTTGAAGCAGCAAAACACTGTTTAAAGTCTGTTCTCATCACTTCTTTGCAGGTTTCGAGATTTGCAGAAATTTAAGGAGTGATGAGATAAAATCTGAAACTAGGTGGATGATGGGGATGTGGTAGGACTGAAAGTTTGTGCAGGGCGGTGATGGCAATGACAGAGAGAGGGACCAGAAAATCTTCCAACTCAAGATTTGCATTTTGCAAATTTGATAGAAATGTTTAGAAAGTGTTTGTAGAAATGAAGCATGTCAAGTGTGAAATTAGTTCTGTTTGAGATGCCTGCCTGAACTAGCTCATAGGAGGAGTTAGCTGTGTTTAAATCATACTAAGTTTACATCACCTCTATCTGGGAAAGACAATTAAAATCCAAATCCTCCAAGATAACAAGCCCTTTTTATTTTTTTTAAACTATGATTTCAAATAGGTCTACTTACCAGAAAGGTAAAAAAAAATGTCAGTACCTGACAGACAAACCGTTTTATAAATTTATCATCAACTGGCCAAACAAACCTCTTTAGTATATAGGTCTACTTGTGGTTCCTAAAAGTTTGAAAACAGGATTCAGATGTGTTTGAGTTCTGTTTCTGTTTGAATTCAATGCGCATCATCTCTTTAAGATGCTTTGGGAATATAAATAAAGATTTTATGGTTGACAGAGTCTCCAGATCAAGGTTGAGCTGATCGCCTTAAACTGTCAGTAACCTTTGACACTGAAATCAAAACTGACATGTAAATTAATTAGAAAAAGTAAAAAACATGCCAGCTGATTATTAGTATGGGTTTCTAGAGGGGGCTTTACTCTGAAAATTCCCCTGATTAGTTTACCAAATGTCCAAATAGATGAACTGGCTGATAAACTGAATGACAGGTGGTCTTGCTGATCATCAGAGTGGACACACAGTTATCGAACTAACTTACTGATGCAGAATCAAACCAAATCATTCCTGCGGTGACGACAATCCCACATACAAGCAAAAACCAGAACTTCTGATCATTGCGACAGCAGCACGTGCCATTTTCTCCCCGGGGTCCAGCTGCACACGGCACCTGGCAGAGGGCACGACTTAGAAGTTTCATTGTGGGCTTTTATAGTGTCTTTATGGTTCTGCTTCCTCCTCCATCCTATTCCCACAGAGCCCTTGATTCGAGCTTTTATAAAGTGAGTGCATAGGCACAGTGCTGGAGCTGCTGCCCTGTTCTCTTACTGGCCATCTGCAGGCAGTAAATCCTCAATATGCCTCTGTTATGAAGGGCATGTTGAGAGAACCATGGGGGTGGCTTTAAGAGACGCTTTAAGAGATAATTACTTGACCATTCTTAGAGTCCTTTGATAGTTTTGTCCCATAAGACAGATCTACATTTGACCTTTTCTTTTTTGTCCCCCTGAGTCTCCAATTGCTCTTTTCTTCTTAGACACACGTCAGCTGACTATAAACAGACCGTTTTGTCAATTACCTTAAAGAAGATAAAGAAATACGATGAAGACCATATGTGTGTCTGCGCTTTAGCATGTGTTTACATGTGTTTTCTTTATCTGTTTAGGGTGGGGTTTGGTGGGGGGGCTTTGCAGGTGTACACAGCCCCCTTTCATGAGGTCATTTCAAATGTGACAGGACCAGCAGATGACCCGCTGACATGCTGACATGGTCTCATGGTTGTGCACCAACAGATAAATCACCTTTTTAAAAGACACTTTAAGAGTCACTCAGAAAGGCAACCACATGTGTCCTGGAAAATCTTGAGCCGTCTTTTATTCTCCATCTGCAATCATTCAGCTTGATTTGCTCTCTCTTTTGTGACGCGTGAAATGTTGTGCAAGGTTTTATAAAAATGTTGGTGGCAGCGGCAGATGTTTGTGCTTAAGAAATGTGAAAAGTGAGAATTATCTTTAAGGGTCTGTTTGTACGATCGCGTACTTCAAAGTCATTGTGCATTGAAAAGCCTTTTCAAAGTCACTGCGAGAGCTCCAGTTCTTCATTGACAAAAAGAAACTAAAACTCAGAGACATCCCGAGCTATCCCTCTTCTATTGTTTGCTGTAAATGTATCAGGACATATGCAGAATGTTTACGTTGAAGTACATTGTAGCACACATTAGGGATGCTCTTAATGGGCTACAGTAAAAGCCCTTGCTAGTCAAGAGTTCAGGCAGGTGCAGACTCTTACAGTAGATAAAGGAGCCTGGCACTGGAGATGAGTTCACGACAATCACTGTGAGGCTTTTAGACGCCTTCTCCAAGCTCAATCTTCATTTCCCCTGACACTGATTTTGCAATAAGGATCCGGAGAAAAGGGGAATGTCCATCTATTCATTTTAATGATCCCTCATTATTGACTGCTGGCAGGGAGGGGGCGGGCAAAGGTAATGATTCTTTGTCTTCGCTGGCCAATCACTCCTCTTAAAAGAATCAGACTCTAAATAAGGCCACTAATGGATGCCCAGTATGACCTTAATCTGACCCCGTGTAAACCTATCAGAACCGACTTCCCGACATGAAGGAGTGAGAGTTTTCTGCTTTAGTCATTCCCCTCATTCAAACTTGGTTTGTTATGATTAGTCAAACAAGAATGAGGAATTGTAATCAAAAGTGTCTAACCACTAAATTCCTTGTGGTTTTTAAATGTCTTTTTTTTTTTAACAAGACAAATAACTATATTTTACCAAAGTTGTTGCCTAAGACTGTGATAGTTTTCATTATTTGCTTTCTTACCAGAAGTTGGATGAAAATGACTCAGTGATCTGAGAGGCAAAGCACCTGTGAAGATCTCTAGGTTTGACTTGATCAACACCTGGGCAAAGAAATATGTCTTATCTAGAGGTGGCTTAGGCACTGAGGGGTTTAAGGGCTGTGAGACAGATCAGCTGAGAGTGACGTTTGTTATATTCCACACTGGTTGTATAACAAACACATATTCTATGTAAGGTGTAAAGTGTACAGTGTACTAAATGAAATAAAAACCATTATTTGTAAATGTAAAGTTGAGTGAATGTATATTATCTGTGGAACCTTGTTTATTTAGCTTAATGTCCTTTATAGACATATATTATAAGTACCTTAAAACTGGTCCTACATATCTGAATCCATGCTGGGTCTGATCCTGATGTTTGAAAAAAGAGGCAGGTGAAGCCAGTATTACTAGCTAAGTCGCGTGATGAACTATCCAGCTCCTTACAATGATTAAACCTCATTTTCCCTCTATTGTTGGGATCCTGTTATTCTCTTTCTGAACAGGTTTAAGCTCTTTAACTCTCAGTTTCTCCTGCAAAGATCACCTCCAAAACTGTATATAACCAGCTACTCAAGCAGGTTTCTTTTCTGAGTTCTGTCATTAATAGGGTTTTTTTTTCAGCAGCCCAACTCCTTGCCTGACAAAAAACTGTACTGAGAATTGAATATTAAAAACTGATAATATAGACATTATAAATTGCTCCTTTGCCCTCCATAGTAAAAACGACTCAGCTTTAACACAGCTTTAATGCACAGTCAGTCAACTCAGCTGTTGCAAACTCTTCAACACTTCTATAAGTATCTTATTTAATACTCATCTTTTGCTGTGAACCTTTCATGGACTCTTGAGGAACAGCAGTTTTTTGCACTCTTGCAGTAGTTATAGAAGTTTTTTAGCTCAGGAAGTTGCCACTTGCCATTTGGAGCTAATATAAAAGCTCTTGTCTTCATTGTTACCAAAGAGACTGATCTGTGTGTCTGAAGGTAAAATTCAACTCTTTTGGACAGTTTCACTGACTCTTTGAACAACATGATAATCTGGCACAGACAGTTTTTGCTTCCCTACCAAAAGATGAAGATTCACTGCTCTAAGGTAAATAGGATACTCCCAGCAAAACTAGCCAACCTTGGCGGAGCCAGGTGATAGACATTCATTAGATAAACTAGGATGTTTTCAACTGATTCAAAGTTGTTTCTTTTAACTTGGGTATTAATGGTATGATTTTTCTCTATTTCTTTAGAAAAAAGTTGTTCTTCAGGCCTTTTTTTTCTTTTCTTTGAATTTTAAGCTTAGCTAAGCTAAGCTAAGCTAAGTGGCTGGCTGTGACCTTGCAGACAGGTTTCATTCTTCTCATCCTACGCCCAGCAATAAGCCATCCATCTCCCACTTCTGTTCTTTTAAGACCTTTTCCCACCAAACTTCTCAAGATCAGAATTATCTGCCTCTGCATCATGTTTATCAAATATTGATTTAGTTGCCTCCAGCAAATGACTTTCAAATGGAGAATTTAGAATAAAGTAACGTTGCTCCAGGAGATCCAGATCCCACTGATGTCTCCTCTCCTCTGACTGTAGCTCGGAGTTTTTAAAGAAAAGATCCCTCTGTTTGTGTAAAGAGGAAGGAGCTTTGAAAGCAAATTATTTAGCCTTTAATTCAGTATTTATGTGCGAGTGTGTGCATATCTCAGCCCATCTGAGCTGTCATCAGTCTGTCAAGGTAATGAACCCTACTTTACTGCAGCCTCCAACAGCTCTTTAAGGCCTACTTCACACCACTGAAGAAATACACTCAGGTATTAGTTGTTTTGCCTGGACGCTCGGCTGGATGATGGGTGGGCGGGGATGTTATTAGGAGCGTTCATCTACAAGGCTCCCCAAGCCATACTATACTGAAACTGACCACAAGACAACCCTATCATCCTCAAAGATTACCTGTCTCCTGCACGGTATATGAATGTTTTATCATAAAAGCTTTTCTTTTTTGCTAAGTGCCTCCTTGAGTGTTTGCTTTTAACTTTTGATTACTTTATGTCTTGTTGTGAAGAAGAAAAAACAAAAGGGCCCGGGCCATTTGAATATAATGGACATAACGGGAAAGGTAGTCTCTGTTGCTTCATTGAAACGATATATCACAGCGGTGTTATCCAACACAGCGGGTGCAAAAAAGTTTTCAGAAAGTGGTAATTTCAGGGCAGTGGAGTAAGCAGATTGTAAAAGTTTTTATCTTGACGTTGTCAAAGTGGGCTGAGCAGGTGGAGATACTCAAGGGCAAAAACAGACATGACACAATCATATAAATAAAACAGTATGGCAGGCTTTGTATGGGATCCATATGTTTCCGTCTGTGAGGAAATATAGGATGTCATGCATTACAGTGTAAAAAGACTCATTTACAACCATTAAAAGCAGACCAATTCACCATATCTCCGTTTGATGTGGCAGATCACTTCTCATTTGCCTCAGTTTTTATATGATAGCTGAGTTTCTCTTTTTATATAGCCGTGAGTCATTTAGAAGAAAAAATATTTTTCTCTAGTTTGGTCTAGACGTTGAGGTTTCCAGCCCCGAGCCCCCCTCCTGCTCCTCAAGGTTTTACCAGACGTCGCGTTGTGAGAGGGGAATGGTCGATTGCATAACGGAAGGCGAGACTTGATCGTTCCTGGCCTTCTCACAAAATTCAATCATTCTCTGCATACTCCAATCCCATGACGGCCCATTAAAGAGCAGCGCGGGCTAGGATTTCCCCTCATGTGTTTTAAATTGAAATTACGGTCACAAAGTCTGCCATATGCATGAATCGAGGAAGACAAGGAGCCTGGGGAAAAGGAGATATCAAAAAAGTGGGACAGAGGGAGAAAGAGAGAAGCAGGCAGAGAGATCCCTTCTTTTCACTGACCATGTTACTTGTGTCATCCTGCCACACGCATTCAAACTGAGCAGGCTGTCTGAATCTAAGTACAACATTTCTCATACTACAAAGAAAGGACTCAAGTTTATATATTCAAGAAAATTTCATATATCATACAAAATCAACCTTATCTCAAGTGTTTTTCCAAACTGATGAGCAGCTTTTAAACTCAGCACACCATAAGTCATAGAAACTACTGGAAGCGATAAGGAAAATAGGTGAAGTATGAGACATCAGGAGATGATCAACCCAGATGTCTTTTGAGGAACCACCGGGATCTGAATCAGACGCTGACTGGCCATGAGTTCCTCATTCTAATTTGTCCCTCCAGACTTGGATAAGACAAAAACACAAACACACACACACACACACACACACACACACACACACACACACACACACACACACACACACACACACACATTATTTCATGTACAAAACACTCGCTTTGCTTTAGTGTTAGGAGGATATGATGCAGACAAGACTCTGATGACCCTAGCCAACACTCTAGAGACATGTGTCACTTATCTTTCTTAAGTAACTGTCCAGCTGGAAAATCATGTATGCATTTTTTTTTTTCATATATATTGAGTATAAATTTTGGTATACTTAAAAAAATGATCTCAGTTTATTTTTTTCTCTTTTCTCTTAGTTTAGCTTATGTGTCCTGTCCTGAAAATCAAAATAAGTATTATGAATCTCAAAGCTCAGATGTGCAGGCAGACTCAGGTCTGTTAGGAATCTTTTTAAGTCATACAGTGACATCTAGTGTTAGTCTTAAAGACGTACGGCGTAATCACTGAGTTAGAGCTCAAAAGCAACTTTTAGACTGACAATTTATTTAAGGCATAAGGAATAAATATACAAACAAACCAATCAATCAATCAATCAATCAATCAATACTCTCAAGACTCAGTGATATACCTAAGAGTAGCAGTAGATCAGAGGTAAAGTTTCTCAAAAACCTCCTACCCCTATAGGCCAGATGCACTGAACCTCAAATTGTATTAGGGGTATGTGAATATAATGTGAATGGGATTGATTATACTGATGAACACATAACATAGTCTCAATAGATGAATGAATGAATGAATGAATGAATGAATGAACTTTATTTTTCCACAGTGTGGAAAGTTGTTTAAGGCCACGAGACCATGTGAATAAGTCTAGCTGATGAGCTCTTTACAAAGCAGCCCCTGCCATCAGTCTGTGAATGTGGTGTGAATGGGTGAATGTGATGTGTAATGTAAGCATGCTTTGAGTCAGTCAAAGAACTGGAGAATATGCTATATAAACATAGTCCATTTACTATTAACCATTAACAATGACCTGACTAACAAACACAATATAAAAAATTAAGACATTAAGAAAAATCGGAAGTCCTTTCGCATCATTAAAGTCGACATAATCCATAAATAAAGCGATCAATATTTAAAAGTTGTTATTCTAATCCAAAAAGTTAAAATAAGAAAACATACTTGGAGGTCATTTCAAGCACTGTTCTTTGGAAAAATGTCAGTCTGGACTGAAAATCTGAGGCACTCTGACACAGTGAAGAAAGGATTTGCTCAACTGAGAAATGTCTGTGTTTTAACTCAGCGGAGTCTCCACCAGGACATGGTCTTATAATATGATATTTTAAGTTAATATGTGATGAACAAATTCATTATGTATGCCAAGTTTTATGATATGACTGCCCATGTAACAGTTCATTTTTGTTATTTAGCATTCAGCCTGATAAAATGTCCATGTAACCCTTTCTGTTTGCGTTTTCTCCACTTTGAACATAATTTTATCATTTTGTTTGTATATAGGTAAGTTTTTATAAGTTTTACTGTTGATTTGTTGTTTGGTGTGGGCTGTTATGTTATGTTTGTTAAGCTATATTTTTCTATTGACTGAGAAACTTAAGCATGTCTGTGGAGTGATGTGTGTGATATTTTTTGATAATTCTGTTAGTTCTTGGTGTGTGGTACATAGTTTTCTGATCATGTGAGGGCTCATGTAACTGTGATCGTGAGTTTCTGAGAAGGTGCTGTACATTGTTACCTTTGTCTGATGAAGAGTAGGTGTGCTCCAAACATCACTACACCTGTAAATTAAGTATATTGAAGCCCTGCAGTGTGCCAGCCATTTTCTTCTTCATCTGTTTAATGAGGTTACGCTTTTGCGCACCCTTAGGTGGTCAGAGTGTTTACTGCTCATTTCATACAAAAATTTGTACTGTATGTTACTAGTTTGTCAACTTTATGGTACTGTAGAAATATGACAAAACATCATCCTTTGTGGAAGAGGGCCCATTCAGGTGTCTGCTCACTCATCTAAACATCATGTAGGTCAAATTTTAGATGTTTTTGTCCTCCCACAACCAAAATCAGATCACTGTGCTGCCTGCTTGCTGACAAAATTTGGGAGTGCAAAGAAGTTGCAGATGCTGAGAAAAGGGATTAAGTGGGACAGCTTTATCTCCAAGAACCATCATGTAACAGGTGGAGAAAGGAAAGGAGTGTAGCACTGCTAGGGAGAGAAGCAGGTGTGTGCTAGTAAAGCAGAGGAGTAGCATGAGCAGGAGCAGGAGAGAGGCTGTAGCAGAAACAGTCATTAATAAGCTGATGTGAGCAATGTTAAGATGTATACCATTTTATATTAGGAATGTGTATCTGAGATGTTAAGTTTTCAGTAAATGAATGTGATGCAGATGATGCCAAATCAAAGAGTAATTGTGTTAAATAACTGTGATCTTATCGATAGAACCTAATAATTCCCTAAGATTGACCCTGACTGTAGTTAGTGCCTTCTGCCTCTAGTAGCCCTGCTCTTGGGCAAAATATCTGCTTTAGCTTGGTGACAATAAAGTGTACTGTATTTGTAAAGTGATTTATACACGGCTTTCATTTTGGAAGGTTTAAAGAAGTGTTTTATTTGGTGTTTTTTAACAGTTTCTCTTTCTCTACTAATATAACAAAATAAAAAGCAAATAACAATCATGTACTCAAAAAGCACAGCTCTTTCAGTGTCTCAAGTTAAGGCACATTTTAAAGCCCAAAGTACCAAACACTCTTAAAAAAGCAACATCAACCAATAATAATTTCACATTGGGTGAACAGTTCAAGTAAACCGGCTTTAACCTCTGGATCGAGAAGGAAGTGTCATTTATGCAGCAACAAAATGGTCATGTGCAGTCTCACGTAATCATAATTTAGTTTTCAGTTTAGACCTAATTCCATCAGTAAATACATACTTTACATTAGTCATAACTCTGCCATTTGACTCTGGGAAGAGCTAATTTGTACAACTTTAGCATTTGAAGATTGTAACAGCTCGTATCTCTCAACTGTACAAAAAACAAGAATAGGTAAAGCTCATCAGTTCAGTGCTCCTAAAATAAACTCAAGTTATGTTTCAGGTTTGTACAACAGTGTCTACACAGTCTGTAACTTAAAAACATGTAGTTTCTACATTGGACACTTGGTGTTGCAAGCATCCCCTGACTTAAAAAGTCCATAAACACTAACTAGTGGAAACATAGACAGAGCCCCAACCATGGAGCCCAACTGCACTACTGCTCCACACCACACGAGGGCGCTGTGGCCCTCATCCCTCAAGATCACCCCGATGATGACCTTCACGTATGACAGGGACAGGACAAACAGGATCCAGGCCAGCACCTGCAACACAACAGAGGTGGATGTTGAGTATAACAATGACCTCAGGCCCAATCCATGACACACAAATACAAATGTACAAACACAACAACACTCTGGTGCTTGTTTTTGATATTTTCAGTACTTATAGCTGCATTTTAAGCATAACTTTGCAAAAATACAGAATACATTAAATATGGTTGGCCAGAAGTGAAAAAAAAAAATTTGAAAACCATAGACTAATAATATTGATGTAACTCACAATTTTCAAGCAGTATAGAAGATAATCAATTGTGGCTATTATGTGAAATTCTGACTCAGTTTAATGATATATTTGAAATATTTTGATATTTTAAAAATCCATCACCCATCCAGTGTACACAAATGAAGATGTACCAGACCCAAACTTTTTCTGTGCGAGGCTGTTTATTTTTTATTTTCATTTGTTATATGTGTGTGTGTGTGTGTGTGTGTGTGTGTGTGTGTGTGTGTGTGTCTTTGTCACATGGTGGGAACCACCTGCAGACAGCACAGTCACATCGTGGAAACCAAAATCTTAGTGGGAACCAAAATGCTTGTCCCCACCAGGGTGAGCACTGAATCCATGGAAAAGAAGGCCACAGGGATGCCCTGTCAACTTTTCAGGGGTTTCCCCACAATGCATGAAAAACCGGTTTTGTGTGCTTAAGTGTGCTTAGCTTGGTTAACTCAGTACTGCCACCTACTGGTAGGATCTCATGAGTCAGACACACACACTTTATACACACTTGGCACATCTGCGCATGTGCAAGCAGCTCAGTCTGCTAATTAAGTATGCTAATCAGCCACTAGCTTTCTGCTGACAGGTGGAATTTTAACACTTTTCCCGGATGCGCTAATAGAGGAGGTAACTACACAGAGACATTTTTCGGCATTTGACAGCTCTGTTTTCAGCTGAAGACGTGGCGGAGTGGCTCTAACAGAAAGGTAAATACTTCCATGATGACTTTAAAATTTATTTCAGTGAGACAGTTTGATTTTTTGATATTTTTGTACTGTTAAAAGCCCACATTTAATAACCGATATGTCAAACTTGATGATTTCTCACAATAACAGGGGTAGTTGTGTTTTAAAAAAGACAAACAGCAGCTTCAACAGGTTGCATTTGGTCATAGAGCAAAATCCTAAGGGTTGCGGTAGAGCCACTGACGCTAGCCGAGCGGCTAGCGCTAGCTAATAGGCTAATACACGAGTCTGGGGCAGCAGTGCACGTGTCAGGTGAGATGCGCTGAACAGCAGTGCTGTGATGGCCGCTGTGAGTTGACCGTGACTGACCGTGACTAACCGTGACTACTGTGAGTATCCTGTTTAGTTTGACTTTAGTTTCCTCTTGTTTAGAGCATCATGTAACTACTCAGAAGCTGAAAATTCAGCACAGATGGCAGTAGGGACAGGGGATACATAGAGCAAAAGCTTTAGAGTTGAGATTAAGCTACCGACATTAGCCGAGCGGCTAGCGCTAGCTAATAGGCTAACACACGAGTCTGGGCCAGCAGTGCGTCATGCTACGTGAGCTGCGCGCGTGCACGTGACGTGCACGTGACGTGCACGTGAAATGCGCTGAACAGATGTGCTGTGAGCTGACCATGACTGCTGTGAGTATCCTGTTTAGTTTGACTTTAGTTTGCTCTTGTTTAGAGCATCATGCATCTAACCAGAAGCTGAAAATTCAGCGCAGATGGCAGTAGAGACAGGTGATACATAGAGCAAAATCTTGAGAGTTGAGAGAGAGCTACCTGACGTCAGCAGAGCAGCTAGCGCCAGCTAATTGAGCATATATGACCGTAACAACATGTTGGCAGAGCTAAATATTGCCATTCATGAGTTTCCACCCATAACAAATTCGTTAATATAATGTAAACACATATGTATAAAATATGTGCAAACATATGTGCAAGCCCTTTAGCATTTATAGTTGTAATTCAGTCGATAAAGTACTTATTTTATATAGCCTGATTTGGTATTGTGTGGTGGAAGAGAGATGGGGTATTGTTTAAGGTCCAGAATGCTGCTATTTTTTTCCCAACTTAGATTTGAGAATGTTGAATGGTTAATTTTCTGACTGAATTACCTTGAGTTTAAAATCAGAAGTGCTATCCTCACACATTATGTGGTATATATTTGGCTGTCTAACATTACCCAAGACATGTTTATCAAATGTAAAATTTATTGGGATATCTTGTAATATTATAATTGTTTTGTGATTACTGACAGGATTTCCAATGGCTGCGAGGAGGAGGAGGGGGAAACCTCCATTACAGGATGCTATAGAAAATGCTATCAAGGCACAGGACAAGATAGCAGAATTAGAAGTGAAGTACATCAATTCCTTTAAAGGTACTCTGTTTGTGTTGTTCTTTCAGAGTCTAAAATTAGAACCAGCCACCTGCAATAGGCAGGTAGATGATCACTTGTGTAAAACAAACTCTTTTTGTCTTGCGGTATGAATCCAGCATACCTTAATGTGGTGCGCTTGCACCCCTCCTATCTGTGGTCAGTGTTTCTGACTGGCAGCCTAGCATGACTTCATCAGACTGAATTATCGCTGATATTTGCTGAGCTAAAATTGTCTTCATGTCAGGTCCAAGACAATGAATTGACAGTTTGCATTGTCTATATGTAATAACGTAATGTGTTTGAACAGGTCGAGGGGTGTTTGCCAGAACCCATTTTAGTAAAGGCGACTTTGTGGTGGAGTACAGAGGACAACTAATAACATCTGATGAATCAGCAAGGAGGAGGAGGACCTATCACAGATCATGTGCCGTTTTCATGTTTGATTTCCGCTGGAAAGAAAAGACATGGTGGTAAGGCTTTGATTGATTATGACATTTCTGCACAGTTGAGTTTTTTCAATGCACAAACAAATTTGATAATATATATATATTTTAAATTAGCATCTACAACCATTAGTAATTAGAGTAATGGCAAATTATATCAGGTAATTAAATTACTATTTAAATATTATCAAGCATAATCAGTCATTTTGTTATTTTGTGAAGTATTGATGCATCTCAAGAAGATGACAGCCTTGGACGATTAGTCAATGATGACAACAGACATCCCAACTGCAAAATGAAGAGGATCGTAGCAGAGGGCAAACCCTACCTCTGTTTATTTGCTCTGAGGGACATTCATCCAGGAGAAGAAATCGTATATAACTATGGTGACAGTGATTGGCCATGGAGGAAGCAGGTTTGTAATAAATGTTGGTCAGTAATCGAGTGAAGAAAGTCTAAAGGTGTGTTCACCTGCGACTACGACAAGTTGCAATCCCACAATTCCGATGATTTTCACACGTTTTCTTCTCTGCAAATCGCCAAAACGTCTGACCTGCATCAGGCCTCTGTGGATGACGTTTGCAGAAAAAAAAGAGTGTGAAAATCAATGAAGTATTCAGTGAATTATGATTGATTTAATGCTCTGAGACTTGACTGTCCCGTCAAACAGTGGTAAATGGGGCGTACACCTCACCAAGACGGCGGCCGTATTTGACGCTCCGCTGCTCCCCATGCTGCGTCTAGCTTACATATGTCTATGACCAGCACGAGGGAATTGTGGGAATGCAGCTTGTCGTAGTCGCAGAGTGGCATCTGCTGTGAACACACCTTCATGATTGCAAATAATGACTTTTTGTCAACTCTTAACAGCCACTGCAGTGTTACAGCAGGATACATACATGTCACATCAACAATAGCAAAGTTGTACCTTTGCAAAAAAAAAAAAAAAAGCAAGAAGCATAGAAATATTGAAATGTTCACAAGTTTCTTCACTTTTCCTTAGGCTTTTTCTCATGGTTTAGTGTGATAAATGTGTTGTTGATGAGCTTCACATTAATTTTGAATCCTTATTTCAGACATGTGCTGAGATGTCCTCTGACACCGAAGTCTCCAGAACAGCAGAGAAGACTGCAGAGAGACAACCGTCCACCACCATGCAGGTAAGAATCAACTGTATTTTTAACTTTGAATAAGATGTTAATGGTGTCACAATTTAGATTTTTTATTGAAATCAATCAAATCGATGTCATGGTCTCGAAAATCAAAATCAAAGAGAGACTCGGCAATCCTGAAGCAAATGATGAAAGCACACATTGTACCCCAATTTCTTGTATGTAACACACATTTTCTCCCCTAAAATAAGGTCTAATGTTAAGGTCTAGAGAAGAATGGCAAAGTGACAAACCACTTAGTTTTTTTATGTTTAACTGTGAGGATATTGTTTCTCAAGGTTCTAATTGTTCCATTATTTTGGACATGACTGTTACAATTATTTAGTTCTCATGTTGAGTAGTTCTGTAACCAAAAAGAGTCACTAGATGGCAGCACCCCCTGTGAGTTCTCATTCTTGTTGTTTTCACTTAAACAAGATTGTTATTTAAATTATTTAAAACTGACCAATAGTGCCTGATGTGATAAAAACGTACACAAGAATGATGGAAATTGCATCACTTGTATGTAGCCCATCTATTGAGAGATGATTTACTGTACAAATGTAATGAATCAAACAAACGATTGTAGACTAGACTATTCCAAAAAAGCAAAGGCCTCTGTGCTGTAAAGTAAGAAAAAGAATTGAAAATCGAATTGGATCGAGGAGTTGTTAAATCGTGACACCCCCTACAGGTCGTTCCATGTTTCTTTTTTGGTCAAAGATGTGCAAAGTTGACTCTTGTGTATACAGTTTGGTTTAGTTAAGGTCAGTGCTACTCCGATGTTAAATATGTTGCCAAGCACAGTCAGGCTTCCTGATTGAATGGGGACCGTCCAATCATATACTATAGCTGCTATGTTACACACTTGTCAGGTGCCTTATTTGTGGGGACCACGTTAGCTAAGAAATACTCTGCATATTCACTGACACTGACATGACTTTTTCATGTATTAAGTTAACAAAACACCAAGTAATACACGCGGCCTGTAACATAGGCTAAGTTTGCGCTCTACAATTCACATCAGTCCTTGGCCACAGGTCAGTTCAACCCTGTCATGCTTAATATTCACTTGTTTTCAGCTGTAAAAGTCACTGCAGGGTTAAAGCAGGATACATACATGTCACATCTGTCATAGCCATGTTGTACCTATGAGAAACATAAGATTTGGAGCCAGATGCATAGAAATATTGAAAGGTTGACAAGTTTCTTCACTTTTCTTTTGGCTTTTTCTCATGGTTTGGTGTGATAAATGTGTTGTTGATGAGCTTCACATTAATTTTGAATCCTTATTTCAGTCATGTGCTGAGATGTCCTCTGACACCGAAGTCTCCAGAACAGCAGAGAAGACTGCAGAGAGACAACCGTCCACCACCATGCAGGTAAGAATCAATTGTATTGCAATATGTTTTTTCTTTTTTAATCCAATATTTGTAAAGTTGACTCTTGTGACGAGTTTGGTTTAGTTAAGGTCAGTGCTACTCTGATGTTAAATGTGTTGCCAAGCATAGTCTGGTTTTCGTGATAAAGTGGGGACCACCCAATCATATACTATGGCTGCTGTGTTACACACCTGTCAGGTGCCTTATTTGTGGGGACCACGTTAGCTAAGAAATACTCTGCATATTCACTGACACTGACATGACTTTTTCATGTATTAAGTTAACAAAACACCAAGTAATACACGCGGCCTGTAACATAGGCTAAGTTTGCTCTCTACAATTCACATCAGTCCTTGGCCACAGGTCAGCTCAACCCTGTCATCCTTAATATTCACTTGTTTTCAGCTGTAAAAGTCACTGCAGGGTTATAGCAGGATACATACATGTCACATCTGTCATAGCCATGTTGTACCTATGAGAAACATAAGATTTGGAGCCAGATGCATAGAAATATTGAAAGGTTCACAAGTTTCTTCACTTTTCTTTTGGCTTTTTCTCATGGTTTGGTGTGATAAATGTGTTGTTGATGAGCTTCACATTAATTTTGAATCCTTATTTCAGTCATGTGCTGAGATGTCCTCTGACACCGAAGTCTCCAGAACAGCAGAGAAGACTGCAGAGAGACAACCGTCCACCACCATGCAGGTAAGAATCAATTGTATTGCAATATGTTTTTTCTTTTTTAATCCAATATTTGTAAAGTTGACTCTTGTGACGAGTTTGGTTTAGTTAAGATCAGTGCTACTCTGATGTTAAATGTGTTGCCAAGCATAGTCTGGTTTTCGTGATAAAGTGGGGACCACCCAATCATATACTATGGCTGCTGTGTTACACACCTGTCAGGTGCCTTATTTGTGGGGACCACGTTAGCTAAGAAATACTCTGCATATTCACTGACACTGACATGACTTTTTCATGTATTAAGTTAACAAAACACCAAGTAATACACGCGGCCTGTAACATAGGCTAAGTTTGCTCTCTACAATTCACATCAGTCCTTGGCCACAGGTCAGTTCAACCCTGTCATCCTTAATATTCACTTGTTTTCAGCTGTAAAAGTCACTGCAGGGTTATAGCAGGATACATACATGTCACATCTGTCATAGCCATGTTGTACCTATGAGAAACATAAGATTTGGAGCCAGATGCATAGAAATATTGAAAGGTTCACAAGTTTCTTCACTTTTCTTTTGGCTTTTTCTCATGGTTTAGTGTGATAAATGTGTTGTTGATGAGCTTCACATTAATTTTGAATCCTTATTTCAGTCATGTGCTGAGATGTCCTCTGACACCGAAGTCTCCAGAACAGCAGAGAAGACTGCAGAGAGACAACCGTCCACCACCATGCAGGTAAGAATCAATTGTATTGCAATATGTTTTTTCTTTTTTAATCCAATATTTGTAAAGTTGACTCTTGTGACGAGTTTGGTTTAGTTAAGATCAGTGCTACTCTGATGTTAAATGTGTTGCCAAGCATAGTCTGGTTTTCGTGATAAAGTGGGGACCACCCAATCATATACTATGGCTGCTGTGTTACACACCTGTCAGGTGCCTTATTTGTGGGGACCACGTTAGCTAAGAAATACTCTGCATATTCACTGACACTGACATGACTTTTTCATGTATTAAGTTAACAAAACACCAAGTAATACACGCGGCCTGTAACATAGGCTAAGTTTGCTCTCTACAATTCACATCAGTCCTTGGCCACAGGTCAGTTCAACCCTGTCATCCTTAATATTCACTTGTTTTCAGCTGTAAAAGTCACTGCAGGGTTATAGCAGGATACATACATGTCACATCTGTCATAGCCATGTTGTACCTATGAGAAACATAAGATTTGGAGCCAGATGCATAGAAATATTGAAAGGTTCACAAGTTTCTTCACTTTTCTTTTGGCTTTTTCTCATGGTTTAGTGTGATAAATGTGTTGTTGATGAGCTTCACATTAATTTTGAATCCTTATTTCAGTCATGTGCTGAGATGTCCTCTGACACCGAAGTCTCCAGAACAGCAGAGAAGACTGCAGAGAGACAACCGTCCACCACCATGCAGGTAAGAATCAATTGTATTGCAATATGTTTTTTCTTTTTTAATCCAATATTTGTAAAGTTGACTCTTGTGACGAGTTTGGTTTAGTTAAGATCAGTGCTACTCTGATGTTAAATGTGTTGCCAAGCATAGTCTGGTTTTCGTGATAAAGTGGGGACCACCCAATCATATACTATGGCTGCTGTGTTACACACCTGTCAGGTGCCTTATTTGTGGGGACCACGTTAGCTAAGAAATACTCTGCATATTCACTGACACTGACATGACTTTTTCATGTATTAAGTTAACAAAACACCAAGTAATACACGCGGCCTGTAACATAGGCTAAGTTTGCTCTCTACAATTCACATCAGTCCTTGGCCACAGGTCAGTTCAACCCTGTCATCCTTAATATTCACTTGTTTTCAGCTGTAAAAGTCACTGCAGGGTTATAGCAGGATACATACATGTCACATCTGTCATAGCCATGTTGTACCTATGAGAAACATAAGATTTGGAGCCAGATGCATAGAAATATTGAAAGGTTCACAAGTTTCTTCACTTTTCTTTTGGCTTTTTCTCATGGTTTAGTGTGATAAATGTGTTGTTGATGAGCTTCACATTAATTTTGAATCCTTATTTCAGTCATGTGCTGAGATGTCCTCTGACACCGAAGTCTCCAGAACAGCAGAGAAGACTGCAGAGAGACAACCGTCCACCACCATGCAGGTAAGAATCAATTGTATTGCAATATGTTTTTTCTTTTTTAATCCAATATTTGTAAAGTTGAACGTGTGCATACAGTTTAGTTTAGTTAAGGTCAGTGCTACTCTGATGTTAAATGTGTTGCTTATAGTCTGGTTTTCGTGATAAAGTGGGGACCACCTAATCATATACTATGGCTGCTGTGTTACACACTTGTCAGGTGCCTTATTTGTGGGGACCACGTTAGCTAAGAAATACTCTGCATATTCACTGACACTGACATGACTTTTTCATGTATTAAGTTAACAAAACACCAAGTAATACACGCGGCCTGTAACATAGGCTAAGTTTGCGCTCTACAATTCACATCAGTCCTTGGCCACAGGTCAGTTCAACCCTGTCATCCTTAATATTCACTTGTTTTCAGCTGTAAAAGTCACTGCAGGGTTATAGCAGGATACATACATGTCACATCTGTCATAGCCATGTTGTACCTATGAGAAACATAAGATTTGGAGCCAGATGCATAGAAATATTGAAAGGTTCACAAGTTTCTTCACTTTTCTTTTGGCTTTTTCTCATGGTTTAGTGTGATAAATGTGTTGTTGATGAGCTTCACATTAATTTTGAATCCTTATTTCAGTCATGTGCTGAGATGTCCTCTGACACCGAAGTCTCCAGAACAGCAGAGAAGACTGCAGAGAGACAACCGTCCACCACCATGCAGGTAAGAATCAATTGTATTGCAATATGTTTTTTCTTTTTTAATCCAATATTTGTAAAGTTGACTCTTGTGACGAGTTTGGTTTAGTTAAGATCAGTGCTACTCTGATGTTAAATATGTTGCCAAGCATAGTCTGGTTTTCGTGATAAAGTGGGGACCACCCAATCATATACTATGGCTGCTGTGTTACACACTTGTCAGGTGCCTTATTTGTGGGGACCACGTTAGCTAAGAAATACTCTGCATATTCACTGACACTGACATGACTTTTTCATGTATTAAGTTAACAAAACACCAAGTAATACACGCGGCCTGTAACATAGGCTAAGTTTGCTCTGTACAATTCACATCAGTCCTTGGCCACAGGTCAGTTCAACCCTGTCATCCTTAATATTCACTTGTTTTCAGCTGTAAAAGTCACTGCAGGGTTATAGCAGGATACATACATGTCACATCTGTCATAGCCATGTTGTACCTATGAGAAACATAAGATTTGGAGCCAGATGCATAGAAATATTGAAAGGTTCACAAGTTTCTTCACTTTTCTTTTGGCTTTTTCTCATGGTTAAGTGTGATAAATGTGTTGTTGATGAGCTTCAAATTAATTTTGAATCCTTATTTCAGTCATGTGCTGAGATGTCCTCTGACACCGAAGTCTCCAGAACAGCAGAGAAGACTGCAGAGAGACAACCGTCCACCACCATGCAGGTAAGAATCAATTGTATTGCAATATGTTTTTTCTTTTTTAATCCAATATTTGTAAAGTTGACTCTTGTGACGAGTTTGGTTTAGTTAAGATCAGTGCTACTCTGATGTTAAATGTGTTGCCAAGCATAGTCTGGTTTTCGTGATAAAGTGGGGACCACCCAGTCATGAACTATGGCAGTTGTTCTACACAGCAGGTGTCAGGTGTCTTAATTTTTGGAGGCACGTCAGCTAATCATACTGTACACATTTACTGACACTGACACTACTTTTTCACGCATTATCCCAACAAAAATCCATGTCTTCATGATAAATTTGTAGGCAGCATATTTTTGATAAATCTCAACCATCTTGAACCTTGAAAGTAGTAACCCCAGATGTCCACTGGATGTGTAAAGCTGTTGTAGCAGTCTTTAAGAAAAGTCACTTTTTGCCCTGTAGGACTTGGATGAATCAGACTCTGATCATTCAGCAAACAGAACTGGAATCATCCCTTGCCTTGTTGACTACACCGATTCTGAAGAATCTCCCAGTCCACACACCAGCCCTTTACAGCTAAATGAAAGCTGCGAGGTACTTTGATGTTGATATTGTACTGGCAGGCATTAGACAAATTTGATTGCTACAAACAGTTTTTTACTTTTTTATTTTTTTTACATCATAGACATGGAGTCTGTCCTCTGAGTCTGAACTTACCGTCACTGACCAAGACAAAGAGACTGTTCCAAAATTGAGGAGGACCAGGAGCATACAGGTGTGCAACACACACAATGGAGGGAAATGTTGATACATATATTTAACATTTTTAAAGCTAAAGTATTTCCTTTATGAAATGTGTATGCCAGATGCTTAAGTGGCATGTTGCCTGAAACTGAATTTACCTTTTTTTTCTCTTAACTTGCTCCTGAAGATGAAAGGTCGAGTTGACTTCGATTTGGATGAGCTTTATGATCACACCTCAGATGACAGTGGAGAAGAGTATATTCCTGAGAGCGGTGAAGATTCTTCTGAAGATTCAGACCCTTGCAACATTAAGACTGACCAGAAAATAACAAAGCTCAGATTTCCAAACTTCGAGAAGACGGCAGATGTCAGAGATGGATGTCTCCCAATGACAGAACCTATCCATGCCACTTTGAATCTGGAGAGAGGGCGCTCATCCTCAAGAAAAGAAGGCACCTCTGGTACAAGGCAAAGAAGAAGATGTTCAAGCAGTGTGCCTTGCCCAGCAACACAAACAGGTACTGGCAACTTATCAGAACAGAGTGGAGGGGGCAACTCTAGACATAGAGTCCTGTTGGATAATTCTGCACCTGATCTGGAGCAAAATCTACCTGACAGCACCTCTTCCCTGGGTGGAGTGACTGATGATTTACCTTCCATACCTGCTGTTTGTAAGAAAGAGGATGGATCAAGATTGTATAACAAAAAGCAATACTGTCTGTACTGTAAATTAGGGGTTATAAAAATGGCAAGGCATTTGGAGCGTGCTCATCAAGACATACCAGATGTTGCAAGGGCTGTGTCCTTCCCAAAAGGCTCAAAAGAAAGACGGATGCATATGGAACTCTTGAGAAACAAGGGAAACTTTGCACATAATGTTGAAGTATTGAATTCTGGTGTTGGAATTCCTGTTCCACGCAAGCAACCGAAGGATGAATCTCAAGTGCAGAAGTTTCTGCATTGTGCATATTGTCAGGGCTTCTATACAAAGAAAGTCCTTTGGAGGCACATGAAGATCTGCAAATTCAAACCTAGTATTCCACTTAAACCTGGCAGAACACGTGTCCAAGCGCTTTGCGGATTTGCTGCGCCTCCACCACCTGGAATGAAGGAACAACTTTGGAAGCTCCTGAACAAAATGGTTCAGGACGAAGTGTACTTTGCTGTCAAATCTGATCCATGTATCATGGAGTATGGTGAACATTTATTCAACAGGCTTGGGTATGATCCTGGCAAACATGAATACATTCGCCAGAAATTGAGAGAGTTGGGACGGCTTCTCATATGCTCAAGAAAAAACACTCCCTTGAAGATGATTCAAGATCACATCAAGCCTGCAAATTTCATGTATGTTATCGAGGCAGTGAAAGACATTGCAGGCTACAATGGTGAAACAGATGCATACAGGTGCCCCAGTCTGGCTCTCAAAGTTGGATACAGCCTGAAAAAGATTTCAATGCTTGTTGAAAGCCGTGCAAATGTACAAAGTGACTACAGTGCAGCAAAGGATGCTCGTACATTCCGCAGCGTGTATGAAGCCAGGTGGAATGAGCTGATATCAGCTGCATCACTAAGAACCCTTCAGGAGTCCAAGTGGAATACTCCTCAGCTGCTTCCATTCACGAAAGATGTTCAGACTCTCCATTCCTTTTTAGATGCACAGCAAGAAGAACTTTTCAGCCAGCTATCCTCAGAGACGTCCCCCCAGACCTGGGCACAGCTGACAAAAGTCATTTTGACTAAAGTCATTTTGTTCAACCGTCGAAGATCTGGGGAAGTGTCAAAAATTCCAGTTTCTGCTTATTTGTCACACAATCCATCAGACCCACAGGAGGAAGTGAATTTAGCTCTCTCAGACCTAGAGAAGAAGCTCTGCCAGCATTTCCGAAGGATTGAAATAAGAGGTAAAAGAGGGCGAAAAGTTCCTGTACTTTTGACCCCACCAGTGCAAGCAGCATTGGATCTGCTCATCAGAAAAAGACAGGAATGTGGGGTTCTCCCAGAGAACACATACCTGTTTGCACGACCAACAACTCTTATCTGCTATCGTGGATCTGACTGTTTGCGACACTTTGCCAAGGTCTGCGGCGCAAAAAACCCTGAAAGTCTGACTTCAACAAAATTACGCAAACAAACTGGGACCCTGTCACAAGTCCTTAACCTCACAAACACAGAGCTTGATCAACTAGCAGATTTTCTTGGACATGATATTAGAGTGCACAGACAGTTTTACAGACTTCCGGAGGGCACTCTACAACTGGCTAAAATCAGCAAGGTTCTCATGGCTCTGGAGCAGGGGTGTCTGGCAGAGTTCAAGGGGAAGTCCCTGGATGACATTTGTATTGATCCTGAAGGTACTAAATATTTAATTGTTCTACAGAATAAAAAAACAGTTGGTATTTTTTGAGTGTGTGAGGATCAAGTGATGCATTTTCCACTTAGTCAGTTTCCTTCCTCTCCTCTTTCAATCGTCCACAGAGAATGTACACCTAGACAGCGACCAGGAAAGAGACCCTGAGGCACCATGTGACCCTGAAGCAGATGATGAGTCAGACTCACCAGGTAAGCCCCTCAGCCACAATATAATCCTTAAATGTGTCCATTGTCACTAATCCATGGATAACCACAATTGTATTGGCTAATTTTGAGTTTATTCTGATATTGATATTATTAAAATATTGCTCAAATATGTATGTAAGAAATTTTAATGAAGGCCATGTTTGGAGAGTGGCACCATTTTCATAAGTTAGCCTGACAGTGGATTTGAAGCAAAACCATTAAGATGTGATTTAACCCTTAAATGACCCTTGGACATTTTTCAATCAGTCAATCTTTATTTGTATTGTGCCAATTCATAAAAAATGTTATCTCAAGACACTTTACAACAGAGCAGCTGAAGACAAACTCCTCAGACCGACTCTTCATGATATGGATACACATATATGCATAGATAGTCAGAACTCTGAGATTAAATAGTCAGAATTATGTGGGGAAAAAGTCAATTATGAGATTCTGAGCATTAAATCAGAATTAGCAGAGAAAAATGTCAAAATTTTGAGATTCTGAAGACCGAATTCTGAGGAAAATTCAGAATTCTGTGAAAAAAAGTCTGAATTCTGAGATTCTTAGTTTCAAAGTTCAAATTCTATGAACAAAAGTCAGAATTAAAGTTACAATTCTGATTTAAAACTCAGAACTGATTTTTATTAATTAATCCTCCGTCATGTAGATGGGATAAAAATTCTTGGGTTGGATTTTCATGCTGAAAGTTGGGATTTTGACGTCAGACCTTCAAACAACCCCCCTTGCCAAAAATCACATGCCTGTAACCTTTTGTAGGAATCTCTCTAGAAAATTGAAAATTGTGTCTATTGAAGGGTCATTAATGGGATAAAAATGCATCACAGGGTCAAATAATGGATTTTCATGCTAAAAGTATTTATCATCAAATTTTTCCCCAAAGTACCCCCCCTTGCCGAAAGTCAGCTCCCTGTGACCATTTATAGGACACTTTATTGAAAATGGACATTTTTGTCCACTTGAAGGGTCATTAATCAGATAAAAAGGAATTCTGGGACCAAATAATGGATTTCCATGCTGAAAGTTGGGATTTTGACATTTGACCTAAAATTACCCCCCCTTGCCAAAAATCCCCCCCCCCCAGTATTTGTTGGACACTTTCTAGAAAATTGACTTTTTTCTCGATTGCATTAATGGGATAAAAATGAATTATGGGGGGTCAAGTGATAGAGTTTTATACAGAAAGTTGATTTGGATGAAATTTCATCCAGAATGACCCCCTCATCAAAAAATGGGGGGGGGGGAAGGTGGATAATGGGATAAAATGAATTTCAGGGTCAATTATTAGATTTTCATGCTAAAAGCTGGGAGTTTGGCATTAGACCTAAAATCAACCCACTTGCCAACCCCCCCTACATTTTCAGAGTTTCAACTGTAATTGGACATACCATCAGTTTATAAATATAAGAATTAATTTTGATGGTTAGTAGTCAATGACTGCTTTAAGTCTGGATCCCAGGAACAGAGGTGCTTAGGCAGGCTTTTACAGCAACCATCTTCAACATTTACTTGTTCGTAGGTCTTTCTACCTGTAAGGTTTGTTTTCAGTCATGAAAAATATTCTTGAGGTCAGCTGACTGACTTGATGATCGTGCTGCGATTAAAAAATATTGACACACATTGGACTCTGCCAGAAGTCTGGAAACCTTCTGCAGTTTGAGTGGCTGCTGTGCAGCAAAATTCAGTTTATGCGCAAAGCATTTTACATGAGGGAACTGCCCAACTTTAGCTGCATGTATCATTTTAGAAGTCCAGCTGTCCATCACCAGCATGACGTCTTTATTTCTTAGATGCCATTAGCCCCACCAGATTTGCACCTGTGTGACTCTCATAAACAGCTCTCGTCGGCATCACATAAAAAATCTGCTAGTCCTCGCTCATATAATGTGCTGTTATTATGTACGACTCTGTTGCACTTGGAGTCCAGGAGTCACATACAATGGCTACACAGCTAGCTTTACTCACTGATTCCATTACCTGGACCTTGGTGTCTTTGTACAATGCATGCACAGCAGTTCCTGTGAAGTGTCTTCTTGTCGGCAGGATATACCGAGGCTCAAGTGTCTTTAGGAGGTAGCAGAGCCCAATATTTTCTACCACTGAATACGGCCGTAGATCCGTAGCAACAAAGCATGAAACAGAATCGGTGATCCTCTTCCCTCTCTCCAAAGAGGATGGCAAAGTTATCAGCACTTATGTGATTGTAGGTTGGGATGCACTTGCTGTTTTTGTGGCTTTTGCTGCCAATGTCCTCACAGGGTGGTCATTAGTTGAAATCCCAAAGTACTTTATTTTTGTGTGGCAGACTTTACACACCGTTTGCGTCTTCTCAAGGTTCCTGTCAAGTTCATAAAAGACTAAATTAGCCTAAAAGTCCAATTTAAAGCTAATGGGAGCATCTTTGATTACTCTTGTTGTTTGCGCCATATCCCCGTCCTGCATTTCGGTTGTTGTGCTCACACTGTAGTTAAAAAACCTCCAAACTTTATTGTCCAAGTGTGGCCAGCAAAATAAAGTAATAAAGGGTGGGGAAAGTGATTATGTCACGTCGCTGCATCGATGCAGAATCGTGCATGGCTGAATTGCGATGCATCTTAGAATTGATCATTTTTTCCCTCCTCTATTAAATTCTTCATTTACAGCTTTTAATGTCCATGTCTGCACCATGTTTGAAACGTTATCTTGACTTTGGTTCATAATCTATTTCTTTCCTTCTTCATACTCTTCCTACAAATCTGGTTCATTGTACTCCTCTGGGATATTTCTGACACAATTACATGTTATGAAGTGTATCTTCACCAAGAAAATGATTCAACAATTATGTGGTCTTCCAGGCTTGTTGATGATAGACAATCTAAAAATACATTTGTTTATTCTTGTGAACAGGATATCGTAAGAATGCCATGAGATAATTTCTTCAGATTAGGCACAAATGCCCACTTTAACTCAAAGATGAATTTAGCTTACATTTTGGTATTCAACATTCAACATTGCTATGTCATTACAAAATATGGTTTTGTCCTTCATAAAAAAATCCACTAATTGTGACAACTTTAAAAACAGATGCATATTAGCATGATAGACATGTTTCCTTCAGATACTTCATACATTAAAAGTGAATGGACATGGATGGTTCACTGAGGAATACAACTGCGTGGCAGTAATTCCATTTTTCCCCCCTCTGGCTTTCAGAGAATGCAACCACAACAGAGGACAGTGAGACAATTGGGCCAGATGTGAGACACACAGTGAACAATGCAGCACCACAGCAAGATACTGTGACGACTCCACAGGCCAGAGATCATCAGAAACCTGTGAAACGGTTAAAAGGTAAACTTTTGTCAAATTTAGATTTCAAGATTGGCTGATTTCAAGATCAAAAATGAAAGGTAATGAGAGCCACTTGTTTGTGTTGTGTGTTGATGCACAGGACGACAACCTAGCAAGAGAAAGACGTGGGAGAAAGAGGAGATTGCTGCTGTCGAAAGGCACATGATGTCCTTCATCACAACATGCCGTGTTCCAGGAAAAAGTGACTGTGATAAGTGCCTTAGCGCAGAGAAGACCGCTCTTAGGGACAGAAATTGGCTAGCCATTAAATTTTACATCAAAAACCGCATCACAGCCTTGAAGAGGACAATGTAAAATGTAAAGTTCAAAACTAGTAGACAAATGTTATTTGTCAATTTGTTTTTTTGTTTATTTAGAAACAAGCTCACAAAAAGTTGGCTGTTCAGTTATTTGACAGGTTCAAATATCTCACTTGAGTTTGATTCAGTCAGTAAAATTGACTTTGGTTTACCAACATAACCGTTATGTTGTTACATTTACTAACATGTTGATTAGTAATCAGCAATCTCTGTGAGAGGTTGAAGAATCTGACCAGGTTTTTTTTTTTTTTTTTTTTATGCAATAAAACCTCTCAGTGACGTGACCTATATCTTGTGGTAATGCAGACCTTATTTGTAATCCAGTTAACACTAGGTTTATATGATAATGGGGCTATCAAGCAGTTAAATAAGTCTGTGATGGCAGACTCTACAAAGTAAGTTAAACCTGAGGGTGTGCTAAGTGGTCCTAACAAAGACAGAAAAACCAGAAGTGTGTATATTGTGACCCCATTAATTACTATAAACCTGACAAGTCCCCATTAGGCTGTCCCTGGTCAGGTGAAAGACTCTACTTTGTCTGATTGACAATTTGAAGTGATATGTGTTTTTCTGGCTGCTCCAAGAAACTGCCTGATTTTTTTCAGCGCTGTAGCACCTGCAGAAAGGGTGGTTCCCAGATTGCATGTCCACGTCTTGTGTCCCTACAATGTGATAAAGACAAGTATGTGTGTGTGTGTGTGTGTGTGTGTGTGTGTGTGTGTGTGTGTGTGTGTGCACAAATGGGTCTCTTGTTGCCTTTGGAGCCTGCAGTTTTTAGCATCTCAACATGTTCATGCATGTTGTTCATGTCTTCGCAAAAGTCAGTGGGTGTGATATTATTGGCTTAACCATGCAAGAGTGGGTTTAATTGAGAAAGGAATGGTTTTAGATTAAGTTCACAAGTTAGATTTTTTTAGTTAAGAGACAAACAAACAAGTGGCTGGAACCCATATTCTCTCTTAAGGCGAGCATGAACTCCAATTGCACTAGTCGTTCATTCCTTTCAAAAAAAGCTGTGTCTGATAGACCAAATTCTGTCCACGTTCAGGAGAAGAAAAAGACTTACTATAACAGCAGTTCCAGAGGTACTGTGGACCAGCAGAGGGCAAGGACTGAGAGCAGCCATGGCCATGATGTAGGCTCCAAATCCGGTCCCCAACATGGTCAGGAAACCCATAAAGAAGAGAGACCTGAAAACAAAAATCAGCAGATGTTGCATTTCTTAGCACCCCCTTTCACGCAGGACTACTCTAGCACTTATGAGCAAATTCCATTTTTACCTGATTGGTACAAACATGGCGATGAAGCAGGCCACTGGGTTGGCAACAGCTGCCATAGTGGCAGCCAAATGATAGGCCTTGTTACCATAAGGCAGACAGGAGTAGGACTGGACTGAAGGCAGCACTGCATTGGTCAAAGCATTGACCCAGGCTAGTACAAGGAAGATGAACAACACCTCCAGACTGCTATACGTCCCCCTCCCAAAGGAGCTTCTTGGTTCCCTCTTTACAGAGTCCAGGGGACCAAGCATGGGCTTCTGCTCTGGTGTCTGGGCATGCAGAGACAGACCTTGTTCCTTCTTCCCACGATCCAGATCACCACTGTAGTACAGGTCGTTATTCCTCTCTCGTGCCACAGATGGGTGATGGTTGAGCAAGATGAAGGCCACCAAACACACAACCATCATGGCGCTAAGGAATATAAAGAAGACCTGAGTAGAGAATCTAGCTGGCTGGTAGATTGCCTCTAGCTCTCCACTACCAGCCATGCTTGTATTGCCGTCTGTTATGTTCATACTGTCTATCAAAGTGGCATTACGACAGTGGACAATACCAACACCTTGAATCAGAGCCACCAGTGCAGGCACCAGACCACTGAGGCCTTCACCTGCAAAGTAAGTGGTGAGGTACTGCGGCCGAAGCCTCATCATAAAAGGCAGAAAGGTAACAGAGGAGGTGCAGTCCACCACAGAGAGCAGAAAGCTCAACACCAGCAGGGGCACACTGTGCATAGAGCCCCCTAATGCCACCGTGTGTCTCCAGAAGAAGGCCAGCAGGAATGTCGCGATGATCCCCAACCCAACAATGCAGTAGATCACTGGCCGCTCATCTAGTGCCCCTGGACGAAAGCGGTGCATTAAAGTAATGAAGAGTGGACCTATGTTGGCCATCTGGATGAGGACTGTGAGGTAGGATGGAAGATACCAGCCCTCTGGGATCTCCGGTACAACCAGGGGCAGCTCCACCCACATCCCATTGATGGCCACCCAGGAGCCCATACCGAACAGGCAGGCGAGCACATGAGTCAGCAGCGACATGATGGAGTGATTGTGATGGAATGAGGTAATTCAGGAAATGCTGACACAATCTGAAAGAAAGACAACAAAGAGCAGAAAACAAATTTAGTGAATCTCAAGTTATCGTTAAATATTTTATCACATTCACAGTGCGACCTTAAAAGCCGAAAACATACAGGATCTGTATTGAGCATGTTCCGTATTTGCTCCATAGAGCAGCCCTGGGTATCGCATACAGGATATTTATTTGGAGCGTGGCAGTAGCGTACTGCAGCCCCGGTCAGCTCAGCTCAGTATAGAGGAAACAACATGCTCACAACAGGTTGTTTTTCCTTTCTGTGGTCTATTTCCTGCTAATTTGGATATAATTCAGTGACCGTTGAGCCTCTACTGTATGTAAAAAAGCAACGTTATTTTACAGTTTCGGTTTGCGCAGGTTTACTCGTGTTTAATTAAGCAAACTATGTACCTTTATGCTGTGCTGTAACCTTTGGACTAAGTTATCAGTTAGTAGTCCTGTTGGGGTTTACATGGATCAGGGTTGACCATCGGATTGTTCTGTGTTACTGATAAATCCAAACCAGGAAGTATTTCTCATTTACACGAACTGATACACAGTCAGGAGTTTGCATATGGTGTTTGATTTCGAAATACAGGATGACATGCATGGTTTTCTTTGTGTGGACTGTTGCGCATTGGAAGCGTAGAGCAGCAAAAATAGCCTTGTTGCGTATCTTTAGCAGAGCCGCGCTCGACACGGTGCTACAACAGATCTGATACGCGTCCTGTATGTGATGCTGCATCGGCTAGAATGGCAACCTATTAGCTGCGTGATACACAACGCTGATGATACGTGCTCAATACGGATCCTGTATGTTTTAGCCTAAGATGAAACCAGTGTAATGAGGAAAATGCATCATATAGGTTGATGAAGTAAGGTGTCTATTCTGTCTTAGATTTATTTAATTGAAATAGAAAGAGGGAATTAGGAATTGAGATAATTGATCATAATTGATGATAATAGAACCTGAAGTTCCTTATTTTCGTTAATTTAGCATGTTACCATGCCCCAAGTTTATACTGAACACAAAGTCGAGGCTGCCCATCCTAGTTTTGATGTTTTTTAGTCACTAATGAAGTTATTTAAAGCTCAGAATTCAGACATTGACAGTGCTAATTAATGCTAGTGATTCAATGAGGCAATGTAATATTTACATATTATATATCATAACTAAACAGAAGGACATTTATCTCTGTTTTAATGTCATTGAGGTCATAAAACTAAACTACAGTGCTTGTAAAGTTGAGGTGTTGATGTTGGCTCTGTGAGGCTGCACTTTAAGACAGTGCCCTTTGTGCTAAATGCTAACATCCTCACAGTGACACCCCAGCCATACCAGCTTAGAATACAAATTGTTTATCTCTTACTGTATTACTTTATGTTTTCACTACACAATAACTTAAATTTGCTAATGGACACAAAGTTGTGGTATATAAATATAGGAGTTTTTGTCAGTATTAATTAATAAGTAGTAAAAGTAATCAAGATATTACTGCAAACTAATAACTGAGAGATTTCTTTCTGGGATAATGCCAACATTATCATCCCTACAGTCTCATCACTGACATGGCTAAAAAGAGAGAAATAATTCAAGCACAAATGAGAGATGTTTACTAAAGTATAGGCCTATAATTATGTAAAATCCTGCGCGGTTAAATAAATATGGCAGAGTTAAATGTCAAATACTATTACTATGTAGAAAAGCAAAGATCCATGTGACTGGAGTTGACCTTCACAGTCTCCCCTTACTCTACCTCTTGTTCTGTCCCTCTCTAATGTACTGCTTGGCACAGGATACCTGACCTTTCACTCACTGACACACTACTGCCAGAGAAAGCGCCATGTGCTTGTGACATAAACAGAAAACACATTAAAGGGGGGTGATACTGAACTGACCCTGTAAATAAAACCACACAATTCAGCCATGTGACACACTACATCTATTAAAAACCAAACAATAATCAGTTTTTAAAAACACACAGTGAGTATTTTTCCCTTTTTTGCTGGAACAAAATAAAATGTTCATTAAAATGAGAATCAATCAAAAATGGTTAGGTGTTATCATAAAAGAGCCCTCTCTAAAGCCACAAACTTCAAAAAGATCATCTGTATGGATTAAAAATAAAGGTATCTTGTTCCAGTTCCTGAGAAAATAATGTCAGGCTTGCATAAGTAGTATTAAGAAACTATGAGGCTGCTATAAAAGCTAACTGTTTAAGCTTCCTCTTCCTCTTCAGTCAAGGTTCAGGTCTATCTTCAGATCAAACAAATGCATGGAGCTGTGAGCTCTGTGTTTCTAAAATCATCAGGAAAGCCTATAATCCTGCGGCCTACAGTACTTCCATCTGCCTCTACTGTAAGGTGGGTAAATATATGACCTTACCTTATTCAGAGCATAGCCAGGAAGAGACCGGTCTCTTCTGTCCTCTGTCTATTCAAAAATCCACACTCCATCAAGATCAGTTATTTTGTTACATCAGCCACGAGTATGTGTGTGTGTAAGTGTGTTTGCCTTCCCTCCCCTCTTTTCCCCTCCACTCACACTATCCTCAGGCGCACACTTCCGTATCCCTACTGCACTAGACGTGGGAGGGACTGCACAGGCGCACATGCTTCACGCCACCATGACACTATGAATGTCATCCTATTGGAGGCTGGTTTCAAAACCAGGCAGCCATGTGCTAACAGTCTGCCGGGCTCTCACTGATAGGAGGAAGTGGGGTGTAGGGGGTTGTCTTTCAAACTACAGCTCCTCCTTTTGCCTTTCCCTCCCCCAACCAGCGTACGACCTTGTTGTCTGCCCTCCTTTAAACACACAGAGGCTGCACTCTGAGTGGGGAGGTTGGTTATACACTAGAGGAAGTTGTACTCTGGCTTTTCTTCCTCTCTATGTACCTGAATTTATTTCCTTCCACCTGCTGAGCCTCTATTGGCTGCTCAAACATGGTGTCAGGTGTTTTTCATATGAATGAGCATTTCCCAATAATGTTAGGTGTGGACAGAATTTGTTCACTTTGAGGACTAGTTCATCAAGTTTAACATGTTATTGTGGTTCAGATTTTCACATATAAATCAGCTTATTCAGGTCAGTACGTTTGTTTAAGCTAACGTACCAACGAACTCTCCTCCTTACAGTAACTCACTTTTGACACAGTTAGTTACTGTAAGGTAGAGTACACTGTTTGTATTGTAGTATTGTGAAGTGTTTTCCTTACAGCTTAAAGCTCGAGCCCACAGCAGCTACAAACATCAGGATTTTAACTCACAAGACAAAAGCAAGTGAAGTTTGATCTGTTTCCGAATGTTCACCTTTTCACCCTTCAATTAACCCCTTTAGGACCATGGAAATCCTAGTTACCTTTGGACCCACATCTTACCACCAAAGACTCAGACCTGTTCCAACCTTAGGCAGAGGTCTGGCTGCATGCATGATTATAGCCTGATCTAGCCGAAGTAGGGTTTCAGGACCCATCTGCCTTAAAAGCCGTTGTTTAATTTTGTGTCATACTGAACGGCAATAAAGGCTTCATCTTGATCTCCCAATGTAAAAACCTAAAATGTGTCCACTCATCCCAGTGATATCGATCAAATAAAGCGCAGATGTACTAAACCCGTTCAGAAGTCACAAGCAGAAACAGATGAAATGGCGAGGTGAAGAAGTTTGTCGAGTTCTGTCAACAACATCCCTGCTTTTGTTACGTATTGTTGAGAGCCCACCAGAGAAAACAAGATAAGTGTTGAGAAGACATAGCTAATGCACTTCAGCAATCTAGTAAGTAACTGCTGTTGGATTAGCATAAAGCTAGCGGATGATTCAAAATAACTTTAGATACTCTAGATCACTCAGTTAGCAATTCATTTGTTAGGGCATTTAGTTAAAACACACTGTTGTTATATCAGTCCTATACTGTACAGTCATGAACCGAGTCATGAATTTCTTGCTCTGTGATGGTCTAATGTGTCATAGATTATTACTGAAGAGAGATCACGTAGTCTGACTTTAGCATCACTTTTCTAAACAAACCCCTGAAAACAAACCAACAGTCTTGGTAGTTCCCTGAGAAACTCTGGTGGGTTGTTGTGATCCCTTACTCCGCCTTTCAAGTCACCATTTGTGTGGCAATTTGATTTTAAATGGAAAGTTTTTTGGATAAATGGTCAAGAACGTTCTCACATAGTATCAGTCCTTTGAAGTTGACCTTTTCAAGTCATTTCAAATAGAGCCCGCAGAAAGCTGAAATGGTCTCTAAAAATGGAAGGCCTCTTCTTTATGCTCCCATGAATCCGGTGACAACATTTCCAAAGACAGTCAAAGCTATAACTTTTTCAAGGTTAGTTTAACAACAACTGAAAGAAATCTAGAAGGACAAGGTTAAGAATCTAGGAGGAACGATACAGCAGACAGTGACAGAGGACAGCACTTTCACACAGTCGGTGTACATTCTTCTTCACGCTCTCTAAATATGTAGATAAATATTGGTTATTTTGCTTGTGTTTTACTAAAATTTATGCATAAATATAAACAGATTATTATGTTTGTATCATTGCATACATACCTATAAAAATATCAAATTAAAGTCAACTGATAGAAACTTTTTTGTGAACAGACTGATGAAAGCTACTGCTGATATCTGGTTGAATCTTGAAATTTGATGACATAACAACAGCATGAACAAACTTAAAATACTTTACTCTTCTTATTTTTTACTAGCATCGAGTTTATTGGTGGAAGTTTCTGAAGCTCTAAACTTAGACTTTTATGCAACAAGATTACTATTGTTACAAAATAACACTTCTCAGCATGAACCACCATAAACTTAACACCATTTGACATGTTAAATTGAATGAATTCATCATTGTAAGTTACACAACATACCACCTACCTGCTGGTGGGAATGGAGGAGAGGCGTCAGGTCTACTGAGTGTTTCGGCCACTGCAGTCTCCTGATGTTTCTGTCCTATGAACCCACATTGAGTGCAGTGCTTATACTTCACTACTCTCCCGATCTGTGTCATGTGACTGCAGAGGGCTGAGCCACGGGTCCAGTTTGGGAAACCTCAGCAGGGGTGGGTGCAGAAAGGCGAACGAGGACAGTGAGAAGAAAGAAGATAGACAATGGATGACAGACAGGTAGTTTGGACACTGTCAGAGAGGGAGTTGGAGAAAAAATTGCTGATTAAATCTTTTAAGTGAACAACATTTACACCATCATTCCTTTACTGCAGCCATGGGCAGTTTAGCCATCCAGATGATGACTTTGGACAGCTTTTGATGCTTTCTAAGTGGGTGTTTGGCCGGGGTCAGTCTAGCTTTTGTTTGGCTCAAATTCCAACCCAAGCGAATGACCCCTGTGGACTACATGGTGTTTCATTCCTCTGCCTTGTACCCTGACTGGCACTTGATGTTCCCTTTCAGAGCAATAACAATGTCTCTTTTCAAACTCATGACATTCAAGCAAATCAATCCTGATTTGGTGAATTAAGATGCTAGTTTGGGTGACTGTTGTGTAACATTTTTTTTTCTTCTTCTTTTACCACAGACTTTCTGATGCTGCAGAATAACAATCAAATCTTTGTTCTTCCCTCAAAACATTCCTGATTTATTTAACTGCTTTTAAAATAAAGGAATTACTGTTTCTGTCCTGATGTTTTCAAATTACACTTGGGTTTTGTACTGTTTTGAGTTTGGGAATACATAAACAATGGTAGATAGTATCTCTGAAACCCTTAACAAAAATATCCCTAAGCGACTTAGTATGTAATAAGTATAACATTATCTCAGCACTTTTAACTGGTTGCCAGAAAGCCCAGTGCTGCAAACATGGGTGACCCAAACACAGTTCACAATGGCATGACAGGCTGAGGAGCGGTGGCTTCATCCAAACTGATTTCAAATCACTGCCAGTTCAACAATCTGTTATTGAGGGAGGACTGACCAGACTGATTTCAAGGTGTGTTACTAAACACATGCTTTCCATGTTGTTGATTTAGCTGCTTAGGGGAACTACTTAGCAAAATGTCAGTCAGTGTGTTTACTTGTTGTTCAAAATATTGATTTATTGCAATTAGTCCAAACATCACAAATACCACCAAATGGTGTGAATAGTGTTAACAGGAAACACCATCTACTCTTGCAGCACACACTTGTTAAAAAGTTAAATAGTTCTACATTTGATTTCTGTCCCTGTGTAACAGTTAAGACGTTTTATTATCCCACAAAGGGAAACTATATGAAGCTAGGTGTGATGCAGTTGTTCACACAATTTCTATAGAGTGTATAAATGGTCTACAATTTGATTGTTGCAGTTATTTAGGATTTAAACTAACTTTCATGACGTTACAATATGATGAAGGGATATTCTAGTGTAAAATTAAGTTATGGTCAAACACACTATAACACCGAGTTAGACACCCCCTCGAGAGATAAATGTTGCCGACTGCTTGCTTCTCTAGTTATACCAACTTCAGCAACGACCACACGATAGCAGATCATTTCCATGAAGTTATAATCAACACAATAACCATTTTTGCACTGCAGACGCGGTAGTTCTTCTGCCTTAGCGTCTCAGTCTGATTGTATTTCCACAAAGTAATCATAATAAATTTTCTTCCTTGAGCTGTGGAACTCCGCTGCACTCTGTGATCGACTCATCAGGGCTCCCCCACAAACAAGCGGCTGCTGGAGGAGAGCGGGTGAGCTGTGTTTGGCCTCTTTGCTAAAGAAACCAAGTAAAGCTAAAAAGATGTTTGATGGCTAGTTCTATGGCTGGGACCCTAGATGTACTGTTGATGAAGTTAGGGGCTGTTCTGAGCATTATTTGTGGCTATAGAGTGGCTTTTTGGTTGAGGTTGGTGTGTGGAGACATAGACCGCTGTGTATTGCTCTCGTGTGGTCGTTACTAAAGTTAGTAAAAGAAGCAAGCAGTCTCGGTGTTCTGGTGTGTTTGACCCTAACTTCGTTTTACGCCAGAATATCCCTTTAAAACACCTCAATACCCAGAGACAACACTTAATCCTTTGTGAGCTAAAGACTCTGATGTCCAGTCACAGGACAGTTTTGTTTGATAAAAACTAAAAACTATGCAGGCTGCCCCAGTGACCTCAAGTCATGGCAAGTATTTATGTTGAGGTACAATAGTTTGCTTTCTTTCTCAGAACTTCTAGGCTCTGTGTTTAAACTAACATGTCTGTGTTTTTGGTACTGTGTGTCCAGTGTAGAGTCTGAAAGATTCACTTGTTCAGTATCAACAGGAGGGGAACTTGATCTAGGTTTTCACAGAGGGAACTGTTGCTTTTAAGAATGTATCTTTAAAAATGAGCCCAAAAACATAGTCAGCACACCTGACCTTTGTCCTTAGTCTTCCTCGATCTACCATCACGGTGACCTGTTACACAAATTTTTAATCATAACACTTGAGTAAATTCCAAGGGATTCACCAATGTGTTTTTCCTTTTGCACTTTTTAATTATGGGAAAAATATTTCTTCACAAAAAAATGTAAGTGGCAGAAATATTACTGTAAATGGAATTGGACCTCAAAGCACTTTTGTGGTCCCGAATCGCTCCAATCACTTATGAGCGTTCCTTTTTTTTTCTGCACACCACTGCAACTCAACCAGAGGTTGCCACATGATCCATCCAACACATCTGTTTGAAGACTGTGAGAGCCTGAGGTTAAACCATCAGCCTTCTGAATAAGAAATGACCTCTTCTTCCACTGAGCTGCAGCCATCTTAGTTTTCATGGTCAGTAGTATAAGCTGCTCAAAGCAACATATCACTGTGTAAGTCCTCTATACCAATGACCCCACAGAGGGTGCTGTTCTCAGGGTAGCTTCACCCAGCAAGGAGGCAGACGGCATCTATTTTATATACAGTCTATGGGGCCCCCACAGAGGGCCTCTTTTCTGGTGTAGAGACACAATGGAATTAAACTACAACACAGAGTCCTGCCACCTTCTGAAGTTCTCTAATGACTCTGCTGTGGTTGGATGCATCGGTAAGGGTGATGAGGCTGAATACAGGACAGTGGTGGGTAACTTTGTCACATGGTGTTAACAGGACCATCTCCAGCTCAACATGGCAGAGACCAAGAAACTGATTGTGGATCTTAAAAAAAAAAGGCACCAGTGGCTCCTATTTCCATGCAGGGGGTCAGTGTGGAGATTGTGGAGGACTACAGGTACTTGGAGGTGTAATTGGATAACAAACCGGACTGGTCCAAGAACCCTGAAGCTGTCTACAAGAAGGGCCTGAGCCATCTCTACTTCCTCAGGAGGCTGAGGCCCTTCTACCATCTGCAGGACCGTGCTGAGGATGTTCAATGAGTCTGTGGTGGCCAGTGCGATCCTGTTTGCTGTTGATTGCTGGGTCAGCAGACTCAGCAAATTTATCCGCAAGACCTGTGACATTGTGGGGGTAGAGCTGGACTCTCTGATGGTGGTGACAGAGAGGAGGATGTTATCAAAGCTACATCTAACCTTGGACAGCATCCAACACCCACTCCATAACGTGCTGGTTAAACACAGGAGCACATTCAGTGCCAGACCCATTCCCCCTCAATGCACCACAGAGCGTCACAGGCAGTCACACACTCTGACTGCCCCTGGACTCTCATGAAGTAGCTGTAAACTTCTACACTGCACATAATTATATCAGTAAACCAGTCAAAAATTCAATAATTTAAGAGTGCAATACTGATGATACATTATATTGTGCTTTTAATACCTTATGAGCCAACTCGCAGCCTCCAAAGTGGAGGCTCAGAACTAAAGGTGGTAGAGCTTTCTCCATCAGAGCTCCTCGACTTTGGAAAGCCTGCTAGAGGAGATAAGGCGTGCAGAGACAGTCGCTTCTTTTTAGTCAATCTTAAAAACTTTTACAGACTTGCTTTGATGTGATGATGTCTTTTATCTTATTTTGGCTTTACTGTCATTTTTTTCTGATTTACCTTTTGGGCTTTTTATTGTTTTACTTTTTTTTCTCCTGCTCTTTTTTTTTCGATCTTTTTTTCTGCTTTCAGCCCTCTTATTAATCTCTTTCATACATTTCTATTTCTATATTCTAAATTCATACACATACACATTTCATGTCTATTACTCTTTTATTTATATTTGTATCTTCCCCCGGGATAAATAAAGTATTTTTATTCTGATTATGTTAGCATCTCTATTTCCCTCCACATCAAAAAAAAGATGCAAAATCTTCCTTACTAAAGAGATGGACTGCAGCAGATTAGTATCTGACCAAATGAACAGGCTTTGTCTGAATAAAGTCTACAGGAACAGCAGTTGTTTCATCTGAAAATTACACCATAAAAGACTAAAACGCGTGTTGCATTGAATATTTGTATTTTATTACAAAACGATTTATTTTTTTTATTCCAATGGACGTAAAATTATTAGTGACATTCATCTACAGGTTTCCTAAATTAGACATCAGAAAGAGTGCTGGGTATAGAAACATTTACAGTACAGAAAGATCAGGGTGCATAGCAAGAGAAGTGAAATCTGACCATTGTAAGTTCAGAGCAAAAGAAATGTAGCCGTAGACGTACAAAGAAAATTAATTTTCATGTAGAAACTTTTTTTTTTTGACAACTGCATAGACCATATGCAACTTGATACATCAGCTACTGTCTCCATTCTCAGGTAGATCTGTTACAAATGTTCTTATACAAAAGCTGTAAATTTACACTGAGTATAACAGTAAGAAGTATACACTGAAACCACTGTAGAAGCCAGGCACAGTGCAACACTAAAGCCTGTACAGCAGACTGATGGTGGAGTTGCAGTTGCTTCTCTCTGAGGAAAATTTACTTAGGTATTTTTTTGCTCAAAGTATGCATATTAATACCACCGAGATCATAAGAAAACCACGTAAAAAATATCACGTTCCTTAAAACAGTCAAAAGTATGGTAATAAAATGAAAACGGCTGTAAAAAAGACTGAACGGAGGTCGCAGGGAAGAAAACATCCAGACTGAAACACAGAAAACTTAAAATATACTGCTTTTGGTTAAAGTGGCTTAAAAGAGGAAACAAGGATGCTAAAAGGTAGATTTATGGAAAGATTCAAAATTCAACCAGGCATCTCGCCTCCTGTGTATTCTCATGTCATTTTTTTCTGTCTTCTTTAGGATGTCTGCCTAAAACAAAATATCTACAGCAGTCGGATACAGCAAAGTGCATTTTTTTATAAAAGGAATGTGCTAAACAAAACTTTTTCCCAGGAAGTACAGTGTTATGAAGAAAAAAACAAACAAACTACATTTTCACAGTAATGTTCCAAAGACAAACACACACCCAAAGGCAAAAACCAATCCTGAGAAATAATCTCTACAAATCAACAATGACTTTGACTTACTTCAGTGCATTGCTTATTTCACAATCTCCAGTGTTTAAAACATCCTTACAGTAAAGAGCATTAAAAATACGAGATAATTTGAAAATATGGAGTCAAAAAAAGTAAAAGACAAAAACAGAGTGGCCCTGCCAACAATGTCAACTCCATGGACTGAATAAAAACAAAACATATCATAAAGTTGAAGGACAGAAAACTGTAACCTTCACATACGTATGGTTTTGGTATATGTTTGTATTTTTGGATGGTATTTGGACAGTCAGGCAGCACAAAACCTTCACACCGTGTACAAAATTGTCATTTTTTTAATCACATCACCACCGCTTTTATGATTCTCAGGTTTTGGTACTGTCTCACTGTCTCTTTACAACCAAATAAAAATAAAAGCTGGAGGAACAACTATTTGATTCAAGCAAGGCTCTATCTCTCATGCAGTAAGCATCCATGCATAATCCTATCTTGGCAACCCAATACTTCTGTATGAAATGCAACAAAGAAAAAAAGGAAATCTTGTCTTGCATCTTGACGGGTGTCCACTTTGTCCACACAGAGAGGACATATATTTTTAAAGGCAGGGAGCCCTTTAGTATCACCTCTGATGGCCTTTTCTGTGCATTTCTACCAGTGTCTGTTCTTCGTAAGAAACTGAAGCATTGCTATTTGGCCCTTCTGTCACGTTACTTCTTCTTATCGCTCTGTTTCAGGGCCCCAAGGCTGTGTTTGGGTTCAGCACTGCAGCATGTACACATGGTGCTCAGGGGCACAGGTAATCATGTGGGTAACCTCTCGGCTTCTTCTGGGGAAGAAAAAAAGAAAATGAAGAAAGGAAAAGAAAAGTTCTTAGTTATCTATATTTTTTTTGTTTAAACTCAAATTTGAGCAACATTAAAAAAAATGATTGGCTAACCTGATGGTGACGGAGAATTGTCCCCCCCTGGTACGACAAACTGTAAGTCTGAGCCCAAAGCAGCAATGGAGCTCCTGGGACGGATGCAGCGGTCACCTGAGAAACTTCTGCGGAGTAACGCCTAAGGAATGAAATGTTTGATTGATCAAAAATCGTCTGGGTTACATGAAGCACTTTTAAGAAACATAAGAGGACAAATCCTGGTAATACTGTCTGCATTTTGTACCAGACAAGTTTCAACATTGTTGACAGATTTACTTTTAGTTGAACCTTTGTAGCTGTAAAAGTTTTACTTGGCCTTGGGGGGGGGTGGGGGGGGGGGGGGGCGGTTAGGAAATTAGCAAAACATGCAAAACTCTTTTTGGACAGATGAGCAAGTTTACAGATATGGCAGATAAATAAATCCAGTCTGGTCTTACCTTGCGCGTCATGGGGCTGGTGGGGGCAGAGGCACTGCTGTAGAGGCTGAGGCTGGAGTTTGACCTGCTGACAGTCAAACCTTTAGTGGAGCTTCCAGCAGGGGACAAGTACTTCTCCTTGATCTTCAGGTTGGTCCTGCCTTTTACTGTTGGAGACAGGTTAGAGGAATAACACAGAATAAGTTTAGACAAACTGGCTTTTTTACTCTGTCTTGGAGATACATGCAGGTACAATTATTTCAAAATTAAACCAACAACACACTGCATTACAATAACAATAATAATAATAATAATAATAATAATAATAATAATAATAATAATAATAATGTATATTTGCACTAATGAAAGACACTATTAAACTCTGGGATATAAAGAGACCAAGAAAAAATGGGGGTGGATATTATTTGAAGGTGGTATTGGGGTTAGAGTACCGACCTCTGCAGGGATCATTCTTGACCAGGAATTCATCCAGAGCAGTCCAGCCACCTCCAACTCTGACCATCAACGTGCTGCGCAATATGCGAACCATCCGCAACTGTTGGGAATCTCCAAACTGTAACAAACAGACAGAATACCGTTTCCATGTATAAACTATAAAGCAGCTGTTGTAGTTGCATTATAACAATAAGTTTGCAGGATGTCACACAAATGTCTTTTAGTCTTGTTTTGGTGCTGTATAAGAATTTTAAACAAGGCTGTAAACCATAGAACAAACTGTTAAAACTCAGATGGCAAAACAAAACATGTTTCCAGCAGCCTATAGAAACAACTCACCCTGTATCTGTTGGCACTTATTTGCTCCACTTGAAACCTCTTTGGACAGTTACACTGAGACACCTGCCGACTCACCTAAAGAAGGCAAAGTAATCATAAACCATCTCAAAAAGTTTTGCACTCAAGTAACCTACTTCGGTAATTAGTACGAGTGATAATACAGATAATATAGTATAAATTAGTGTTTTTTTTACACCCTGCAAAATGTCCATACCTCTTCATTGATTTGATCTGCATCCAGTGTTTTCCTGTACGGATCTCGGCTGGGGTGAAGCGCACTCACAAACTCATAGTAGTCAATGAAGCCGTCGCTGTTCATGTCAAAGATGTTTGCAACGGCGTTCATCTCCAGAGAGTTTGTGGGAAATTCTGGAGAGGAAAGTTGAAAAGCCAAGAGACTATTAACATGGCAGGGCAGGTGTGATCAAGACAACGGAGATCGTCCTTATTGACATCATTATTGATCATTTTAAATGGATTGTAATAATACTTTTAAGTTGCGTACATTGGACAGAATGTGCTTTTTAACATTGTGAGATTCTGTTTTATCAGCTCTAACTCAGACTGATTTATACATGGTTGGTCTATGAGAAGTAGGTCTTACTGGAGGCAAGGACATAATCAACAAACTCCTTCTGGCTGATTCGTCCATCCTGGTCCCGGTCTATGCTGCGAAACACATCCAAGATCCTTGACTTCAAGTGACTGATCCACTGCATGTAACGCTTTCGCCAAACATTGAAGTCAAAGTTTGCAAATTCTTCCATCTGTGTAGGAATGCAAACCAACATTGCATCATTATCTGATTCATAATTGAGGTAAAAATTTTCTACCATGATGACTTTGTGTACATTTAAAAAAACAATAACCTCTTTGAGCATTTGCTGGTGCTGCTCCAAACGACTTTGTCTCGCCACAGCCAGGAGCCAAAGTTTCTGCCACTGACTGACCAGCTGACTGAGCTCAGGGGTCTGGGGGTCAAGGTGCTCCAGGGGAACGGGTAGGACAGGCTGAAGCTTCTGAGCACTCCTCCTCTCTGGATGGAGGAACAACAGCACAGGAGTATGACGTAAAGCTAACAGCTGTGACACTGCAGTCAACCTGTCAATATAAACTTGACAAATATGTCTTTTATAAAAAATAAACTGTTCCTACTTGTGAGAGGCCGTTTACTCGGGGAAACTTGATGCTTAGGAATGCTCTTGTGTCTGCAGGACTTTGTGGCCTGTTCAACCTCTGGAAACTTTTTATTCAACTCCTCCATGAACACCTGCAGAGAAGACGAAGCAGAGTAATAATTCAACTTTATGCTCTGTAAGTTGTGAATTAGCTAGTAATATCATAACATTGAAGATTGAAGGATCAAAGTCTCAGGAAATGCATCAAGATAAATGTGTTTTGAAGCACAAAAGTTTAATCAAAGGGCAAAAAAAAGGGGTTGTCAAAAGTGAAAGGAATCAGGAATCATGTTAAAAAGTCTCAATGAACATCCTGTCAATGAAAAATGTGTGGAAGCTGCAAAGAAAGAGATAGTAGGGAAACATGTCATTGTAGAAGAGAGGAAAATCGTACAGTGTGCTGCTCGATCAGTTCTTGGTTCTGCCCTGTGGTCTCAGGCAGGGGTTCCTGGTCTCTGAGGCTGAGGGACTCCTCTGCTGCTGAGATCCAGTCCAGAAGCCTCTGGATCTCCTCTTTCTCTGTCTCAATGGCTGCTAAACTGGTCTGGATCTTCTGTCCCTGTTGCTGAGCCCAGGTCTGAACCTAACCCAGAAGACAAGAAGGACAAATGAGAGTAACAACTATGTCCATATGTTCCCAAAGGCTGGGAACTAAGAGCCCTCATTGGTAATTCATTAAAATGAAAATAAGACTTGGTGCCAAAGCCGCACTTACCTCCTCATAGCGTGTCTTAGTGACGCTGATCCACGACTTCAGGGTGATAATGGAGTCTGGGTGACAGGAGGCCAAGATCTCCTCACCTAGACACTGGATATTTTGTAAGTCTACCGCCTGAGTCTGCAAGGCCCTCATCGATTCCTTTGAAGGAAAATGAATAATACAATGTATTGTCTTGAGCAAAAAGGCTTCAACTAAATTTCACTCATCAAATGTTTAAGAAAAACCAGACATTTCACTTCGACGTTACTCCCAGGGTGCTGCTGGGCTTATTTTATATCTTAACAGTGAAGTCAGAAGAGACGTAAGACCATCTCTCAAAGTAAAACAACATTTTTGGGACTTGTTAGCAACTGTGACAATATTAGCATTCAAATTATTAGCAAACTTAGATTAAGCTAGGAGGTTAAATGCTTCTTAGTGTTAGCTTAATCATGTTGTAGTGTAAACAATACCAAACAGTAATGTCACCTTTAAGCCAGTTCTTTGCTAACAGTTATTTTAATCCTGTAATTAGCTTAATGCTAACGTTAGCTAACCTGTTATTCAACTGCAGCAAACAAGTTATCAAACATTGTTACTTCACAGCATGTGGCTGGATTTGAGAGTTGTTGTTTTTTACATCTAATAGTGGGTTAAAAAGAAAGGATGCTCTCTCATGGCCTCAGTATTTGTCTTTAAACAGGTTGAATGAGTTCAAGCATTAAAGTCCACAGAAACTCTGCCTTCTTTTCTACCCTTGAGCCAAATACTGACTTCTTATCAACACAACTTGTTGTTCTGGGGTAAACCCTGAACCCTTGACTCCAGGGGCCAGAAAAGACAGGGGGGTACGTAATCCCCCTGTGGAGGGAGGGTGATACGTTATCTTGTAATACTGACCTCGTGTTGTTTGCGGAAGGCCAGCAAGCCTTCCTCCTCCTCTGGTATGACCCCGTACTTCAGTACTCTCTCTGCCTCAGTGAGATGCTCCATGAAGGAGTGAACAAGGCCGTCGAACTTTTCAGCCTTACAAGAACAAAGACCAAAATAAAGGTAAGAGCAGAGAAGTGACTTGCCCTTCTTTTCACTTTTACTTATCCCCAACTGTCAACCATCTAGTTGCCATCCATTCCTGACATGTGATACAAGTGTAACTATAATTGATATATCAGAACAGATGAGTTGTAGTTTGCAATAATTTATGGTAAGCCTTTATTTTTTTGTATTTTCTTGCATTCTGACAGCACACTCCAAGCTGGGCCACACATTATTGACTGAATTTTTTCCGAGGAGTACCTGCTGAAGTGCAGCCTCCAGCCTGTCCTGCTTGCTGACTGACAGTTTGCACACAGCCTCCCAGCGGCTCTCCAGCTCATCCATCTGCTCCTGGAGCCAGTGAGAATCAGCTGTACTGCTTCTGGTCAGATCCCTCACAGAGCGCTTCAGGGTCCTAATGCATCCAGCTCTTTTCCCCAGCTCCTTTTGGAAAGCCTGCGAGAAAAACACCTCTGCAATCTTACTACAAGATATGGAAATTAAACATCAAGAAATCATGTCTGGATTAAAAGTTTAAACATTGTTAAGTTCTCACTAAGAACCATCATAACCCCCATTGCAAGTGTTTTCTCCAAAAAAAAAAAAAAAGTTACATATATTTTTTGACTGGCATGGCAGGTCCTGTACCTTGTGTTTGTCAATCAGGTTGTGCACCATGTCTTTGTCTCCACCAACAGGAACGTCCTCAGCCAGCTGGGGCTCTGCTCTGTACAGCCAGTCATTCAGAGCCTGCAGGGCATCAGTGAATCTACCTGAGAACAACAGCGCCTCCTCCAGCTTGTGCTGCCTGAAAAGACAAAATACAAGAATACGTGGTCAATGTTTAAAGATTGGGATTTTCTATTCTACTGAACTCTTTATCTACCACTAGTTTCCCTTACCTCTCCATGGACTTGCCGCTGATGGTGTCCCATGTGTCTTTGAGTTCAGCCAGCAGGTTTTCCAGGTGCTGTCTGTCATGGCTGCTTTGAGCTCTCTCGTGAAGGCTGCGTCCACTTTTTGATGTGGCTTCGTACATCGGCCTTTTTGACCTCAGAAGTTTCTGGAACTCCTGGTTGCAAATTAAGTATTTGGTTTAAACATTCAGAAAAGAAAAAAAATATAACAACTTTGTATTCCTTGCATTGCTTACTGCACCTTTTGCTCAGTCAGTTGTTGTTTAATCTCCTCGTGAGACACAGCAATCTCTTTGTGTGTGTCCAGCGTCTGTTCTACCTCTGTCATCCAGTCCACTAGCAGACGCCAGGATTCATTAAACTGAAATAACAGATGCGTTTTACAGTCAAGTTTCTCCTCAAGTAAATTTACAGTGATGGAAAAAGAAAGGGTTGACATGGTGGTGGACCTGTTTGGCGTTCTTTTTGACATCCTCCAGCATTCTTCCTCTTTCTGAAGCACGCTGCTGTAACTTTTTGTAGCGATCCTGGACGGTCATGATCAGGTTATGGATCACGTCACAGTCTTCCTTCCTGCTCAGCTCTGTCAGTCTGCAAGCCGTGTTCTCCACCGTGGTCTTTCTCTCGCCATAACCATTTACCTCATTCAGCAGTGTCTATAACAAATAAAGGTTTTATATGAACAGGAACAAGTATTCTTAAATTTGTGTATAACTTCAGATCTGAAGCGGATACACATAAAATGAAGAAGACCTACTCTGTGGTCCTGCAGCTGAAGACAGACCGTGTCGAGAACAAAGCTGGGAGCAGGTAGAAGCCCAATAGACTCTTCACACTTGCTCATTTTAGTGAGTAGCTCCTGCACGTGACTGTGAAACTCCTTAGCCAGGCTCAGTCCTTCTGTAAGCTTTGCCTGTGAAATTAAAAATCATAAATAATCTTCCGCTAAACTTCTGATAGGAGGCATGAAACAACAAACTGAAGGACTAATAACCTTTCGCTCCTGGACTTTGCTGTAAACAGACACCCATTTCTGTTCAAGTATGGATAGGCTGTGTTCAATGCTCGACCCCCGCACCACATCGCTGCTCTCCAGCATCCTGTGGATGGCATTCTTCACATCTGTGTAGGCGTGGTGCTTTGACTCCATCTCATTGCACAACTCCTGTTAATGGTGAGAGTAAGAGGGTCAGGTTTCTATTAATGAACATCCTACAACTAGATTATCAGTTCTTATTATAATATATTTTTTTTATTATTATTATTATTAGTTTTACCAAATGTGCATTAAGCCTTTCAGTCGCAGAATCCGGCATACTCCATATGGTTTTAGAGGAGGACAGTCTCAGGTCTGTGTTCTCAAGCCACTGCAGAAGATCCTGAATCTCCATTGTAACATCTTGCACCTGCAGTGAGTACAATAAAACAGAGCAATGCTAAATTGTTACGGTGTTGTGGATGTCAGTTCACTAAGACTGTAACTGCAGTACAACAACAACAACAACAATCATTGGATTTTAATGAGAATACAAGAGCCCAAATGATGGGGTGTGAGAGCTAGTGTGGAGAGGGATAGTTAAACATGATGAAACACCAGAGACAGGAGGTGTTCACTAATGTGTCTGCTCTGCCTGCCTTTCTATCCACTTGTATGAGTTGATAGTGGCTAGTGTCAGGGTTGTCAATACCTTCAGTTTACTGAAACAGATGCGGGTCTTTTTGCAGTGCTGTTTGGGTTACAGTGGCTGGTCAGAGCCATGTTAAAGGTCGTGAAGTAAAAGTAGGGTGAAAGTGCTTGTATAAAGGCTAGGTGAGATGTGCCCTGTCTACTGTCATCCCAGACTTTGACACTCTCATCAAGAATGAACCACATGCTCAGCTGTCTCACTGACTTCCCAAGATAACAGGTTACAGACATTGTTGTATAGATCTTTTATTATTTTATGTTTTGATATTTTCTTAATTTACATTTGTCCATGCTATTGTAATGGTCCTCTTCATTAACCTCATTATCTGCTCTGAATGCAAAACATAGACGTGAAATCTTTCATTTTATAGCCATAATTACAAGATCTTTCATTGTTTTGATATCTATTTTACTCACGTTATCTATTATGTCGTGGTCCTCCTCTGTCTCTTATTAATGTGACCTGAATGCAGTAAAAATACCTTTTTTTTGTTCTCATTTTGCTGGTCTCCATTTTTTCCAATTTGATATTTATTTGATATTTAATATTTTCTGTGTACTTGAGTAGTTGTCGTCCTCAGTTCGTGTGCTTTGAAATGCACTATACTCAACAAAACAGGTGCATTCAAATTAAAGATTTGAGTTTTTAAAGTTTTTTTTTTAAATGAAAAATAACTTTGCTTGGTTTGAATTCTATAAAAGTGGGTTGCAACTTAAGGACCATGGGAAAATGTGGGTCTCAGAGTGCGACCAGTTGAGAACCACTGTGTTAAACTACACAAGCACCACAAGAGGGCGCTATTGGCCACTAATACTGAAACATTAGTGTAACGCAGTGGTTCTCAAGTCCAGTCCACGTGCTCCTGCATGTTTTGGATGTTTCCCTGCTCCAACACACCTGATTCAAATGATCAGCTCATTATCAAGCTCTGAACCGGCTTAATAACGAGCTGATCATTTGAATCAGGTGTGTTGGAGCAGGGAAACATCCAAAACATGCAGGGCGGGGGGGCTCGAGGACTGGACTTGAAAACCACTGGTGTAATGTGACAACATACTGTTTACTAATTCTGTATATGCTGTCCCTAAATTACAAGTATCATCAACTTTATTTGTTATTGACTTTTGTTGCAGCTGTAATAGAACAATGGGTCTGCTGTATCGTCTCACCTGACTCAGTCTGTTCTCCAACTCCAGCTGCCTGCGTTCAGTCTCACAGCGGACAAACTCCCAGCTTTCATTGAGCTGCTCAAGTCGAGACTGTAGAACATGTGGACTGTCCCCAGCCCCGACCTCCAGCAGCCCCCTGCCTGCCTTGTTCAGTGACTCCATCGTGCGGACATGGGACATTACGTCATTACGCAGCACCTTGGAAAAGGAGAAAGCATTTAAGGTTAGAGATTTGTCACTTGAATGTTTTTCTAAAGTTTTATTAGACAGTGAAAGCATTATAATGGTTTATTGTATCTGGCAGGTTAGACAAATAGAAGTGTGTGTCGTTGGTTAAATATACAATAACAGAAATAACTGACAGGGTAGACCCACTGTGGACACAGTGTTTAAAGCTTCCAGATGACAGATGTTATTCTTTCAAGGCCATGTGTTTAGTGTTATCTGGCAAATAAATCTGAAGGTCTTTGAGAGACATGACAGGTCTGAGTGCGAATATACAAGAGCCTGTAACAGAGCAGCTGTATAGTGAGTGATTATTTTGAAATTTTATCCAGTATACATCATTGAATTATGGCCATGACTTACCTTATGTTTTGCCAACTCTATTTCACAGGCCTGAAGATCGATGCTGATTGGTTGGCTGCCCTGCAGTTGTTCTGCGGTCCTTGACAGCCATGTGTGCAGTTCATCCAGTGTGTTTTGGAACTGACCCAGACCCAGAAGAGCACACTCCAGTTGATGCTAATGGTAGCACAGGAAAAGAAAACATGTTTGTTTTTCCTTTTTTTTTCTTTTTCTTCGTAGCTGTCTTGTTTCTTCAGCTGAATGTAGTTTGTACTGGACTCGTGTAAAAGACATTGCATTTTAAGACATAAAATTGGCATTGTGCATCAAGAGAGTTGTGGTAATGTTACATAATGATATCTGCTTGTGTGACGTTACCTGTCTGTTGACAGTCTCTGACTCCAGGCTGTCCCAGCGCTGTCTAAAGTCACACAGCGGTGACACAGAGCCTGGACGCTCTGAGCCGGGAGACAACCGACACACGAAGCGGTGGTTCTGACTTTCAATCTCAATCTTCTTCTGGTAAAGTTCTCTCTTGAATTCCTGAAAAGAAAAATGGAAAATAGTTTCTGTTGTTATTATAGACGTGCTTAATGTTATAGCAAATGACTCTTTGAATATACCGTGGGAAAACTTTGATTTCTGCATGTTTTGGGTGTCTGAACTCACCTTGAGATCACAGAGCTGCTCTTTGACTGACTCCAGATCAGGTCCCACCATAAACTCTTCAGTCGACCTGAGCTCAGCTGACTTTAGCCACTCAAAAAGACCCTATTAGCAAAAAAATAATGATCAGGGTGTGATAAAAGTGCAGTCAATGATGCACTGAACTCAGACCTTGTTCTGGTCGGCCCAGATGTCTCTTAATGTCCCATCAAAGATAACATCAAGAATGTATCTCTGTTTGTTTATGCAGCTGGAGTCATTCTCATAGTTTGCTTTAATACTGTCTCACACAGTTTGCTCCATTTAACTTATTTGCCTTTGGAAGAAAACTACACAGTCTGTCAGTCATGCATAAAAAGCTGCAGGGAGTAAAAGTCTGAGTCTGGACTCTGCTGAAACAGAATAAAAGACTCAGGCTCTGTCTTTGGCGAGAGGCCACAGCACTGCTTGAGTCAGGCTGTGGTAGCCAAAGAGCCATGTTTGAAATAGCTATGATACTTATTAAAGAATATGTGTTTGTATTACAGTGTATTGGGTACACACAATGCCAGAATAGAAGCACAAACCTGCATTGTGTCCTGATAGTGAAGTGCCATCTGCAAAGACTCCTCCAGCTTTTTGTGACACTCGTTCCACAGTTTGCTCAAGTTGTTCCAGGTGCAGTAGAGCTTTAAAACAAAAGACAAAGTTTAAGGTTGTAAAAAAAAACACTAACATGAGTAAAAAGGGACTGAAGATTGAATTATTCTTTACCTCATCTAGGCTCTTTGTGACATCTGGTTTATCTGTATCCCCACATGCTGACATCAGATCCATTCCCAAAACACCAAGGGTGTCCAGATCTCCTTGTAAACTGTCAATATCCTCCCTGAGAGTCTATAAAAATACAAAAGAACATTTTTGAGAGGATTTTTTATGACAATAGGGGACTTTTTATGTGTGATTTCTCTGTTACAAACAAACCTGCATGGTTTCCAAGCTCTGCCGGATTGTTTCAGAGTCTGTGCGACTTGCGTTGAGATCCAGAAGTGCCTGCTGAGCGTCGCTGAGAGCAGCTGTGACATCGCTAACATCACTCCAGAACTTTAAGGCCAGGTCCAAAAGTTTCAGCAGCCAGCTTTCCCTCTCCTGGGCCTGAGTGTGTGTCTCATCCCACAGCTTGGACAGGCTGGATACCTGCTCCTGGATTGCTAAAATGACAAGAATTTGATCAACTCAGATTTGTCCTTTTCTCCTTTGGTACATATTAGCATAACTCTTACATCTTGTGACACAATCAAGTCTGTTCGCAACATACCTGTGCCGACTGACCCATCACCAGCTGCCTGGGTGTTAGCCAAAAGCTCATCTGCCTGTGTCCTGACACTGCCCAGGCCAAGCTCTAGCTTGGACAGCTCAGCTAGGGTGTGTTTGTTGTCCTGCAGCTGCTCCTGGATCCTTGGGGTGAGGCCTTGAAGCGAGCTGGGGCTCTGTATGCGACTACGCAGGCGGTCAAGACTCTCTCTGATGAGTGTCATCCTCTCATTTAGCTGTGAGATCAAGCAGAGCTTCAGCATATCAGAGAACGGCAAGAGAATTTCAAAGACTTTCTCAGAGATGTTAATACCTGTGTGAATCTAGGCAAGGACTCTTCAAGCAGATTAGCCGTCTCCCTGACCCGGTCTCTGATGGCTCTGTGCTGCTCCTCAGCCTCTGAAGCCTTTCTGCAGAACTCATCCCCGTGAACTGGGTTAAGTTCTGCTAAGCGTTTTGCTAGGGAGCACAAGCGTGTGATCAAGGGTCTGTGCTCTGCAATGGACTCCCTCAAACCCTGTCCAAGAGAGGGGAAAATAAGGTTGAATTAAAAACACTTTTTTGGGTCTAACTCCCTAAAGAGGAAAGACACTGTGGTACTTTTTCACAGCACACCTGAAACCTGATATGTCATTATTTTACTCTGGTTGTAATAGAAGGGAAGTGTATCTGAACAAAACACCTTATTTACCCAGAGGACTAGCTAAAGACTGGGAACTATAAAAGGACTTCTTTGTTGAACCCCTGATGTGGAGAAGCAGGTTTCTTCTACCTGTAAGAGGTCCTGTTGTTCCCGAAATGCTTCATAGCTAATTGTGCTCAGGGAGAGCTGGCCGATTAGGGATTGAGTTTCTTCAAGCCAGGGTGAAACCTCAGCAAAGCCCTCTGAGAACTGCAGGAGGAGCGACTGAGCATGCTCAAGCTGCAGGACCACATGGGAATTGGTGGCTGAAGTGGTGTTGCATTGTTCTTGTAAGGCCTCCATTGGTGTCTGCATGGGGAGGGGGGCAGAAATGTAAAGAGAGAGAAATCAAAACCTTTTTTTTTTACTTTAAAGTATTATTTACACTGTTTTTAAAATTGGTGCATAATATAAAGTACAGTGTATACCCGCAAATCGCCTGTTTCTCCTTCATCACTGTATGTCAGCAAAATTTCTGCTATTTTCACCATCTTCTCAATGTTGAACCTGTGCTGGAGAATCTCCACTGCCAAAATCTGGTCAGAAGATAAAATACATACGTGTAAACCACAAATGTTATACTACTCTATAGCTGTAACAAAAAGTTAATTGTTTTTTAATTGTGATTTATTCATAATGTCCTCACCTTCTGCTCATAAAGTTGTTCAGCTATGAACTCTGGACTCAGATTGATGGTTTTCAGCCTCTCCAGGTTCAAAGCTGTGTCTCTGAACCACGCCATCTCCTTTACTACTGCCTGTTCCAGCTAGGAAAAATAAATAAATAAAAAAAAATAAAAAACATGACTATTTAGCAGAACAGAACACACAGCACTATTAAAGTTGAGTTTAGTATGTATGTTGTCATTTTATGGTTCAATGTTCAGAGACTCTTCCAGCTCAATAAAGACGAGTAAGTTTGCCAGTTTCATTTATGTACAGAATACCACGAATGAAAATATGGAGCTCTCAAAGTCTCAGAAGTGGAAAAATCTTGTACACTCTAGAAATAATAATTTGTTCCCATGCAAGAAAATAACTTTTTTTCCGCAAGATAATCATTTTATGAGCAAAAGTTATTTTTCATAAGCAGATTTCACTATTTTGATATTCAGGGGATCTAAGTTTTTCAGGATTACTAATAAATAATAGCAAAATATTCACTTTGTAGTCATAAAGAAGGAGCTTTGTCAACTATAAAAAATATGACCCCATTATTTTACATCATATGATGTATTAAAATTAGGCTAGTTGAAAATATATACAGTATATCAATTGTCATATCAGTCTGTCAAAAGTATCAGATCAGCTAAAGTTTAACTTGTCTTAATAGACAGGCTGTTTTTTTTTAAAGTAACCATCTTGAGTATAGTACTAACAGGAAATGTGTTCAACCAACAGCCAAAGTAGTGTTAGATTTTTTTGGTGTTCATTAACGCTTCAGAAAGATGGAGCATCCCTAGGACTGAGGCACCGCTGCTATACCTTAAATCCAACCCTAAGCCTGCATCCTTTGACTTTTTAATGCAGTGACTCCATCCTCCTTCCCATAGTTTCTTTATGACTGTCTGCAATCTACCTATTGAAAGTCAGGCATAGTTTTCAAATACTGGTGATGTTTAGAATTTTTTTTAGTTCACCCCTCGGAATGATGTCAAACCTCAAGTTTGCCATTTTTGATGCTTCCAGATGAAAAAGTGAGAATTTTAAATGTAGTTAAAACAGCTGATATTATGATGCTATACCTGAAGAGCAATGAGCTACACATTTTTGACTACTTAGGACATTTTGATGTGAACATCTTTTTTTTTAGCTAAAGATTCGGTAAATAACAGCAGGTTACAGTTAAATTAAAATTGCGTTGGTTATTAAAATATCTTGATGTTAAACCAAAGGCTGATGCCAATCTCAATTTTGAACTGTACTTCTGTTGACATGCTTTGACAGGTTTACTGTAGCCTAGAATTGTAAATGACTTTACCCTCTGTCTCTCAGCCGCACAAAGCACTGAATCTCCAGCATGTGTCTGAGCTCCTGCTGCTCCGAGGAGCTCCCTCTCTATGCGGCCCAGCCACAGGTGGAGGTCCTCCTGGCTAGAGGTACAGCGGCTGGAGGCCTCCAGGGCCTGCTCCAGCCTCTGTAGCACATCCAGACTGCTCAGACTCAGTACAGAGCAACGGATACGCAGAGCGTCCATCTTCTCCTGTACCTGCTGGGCTTCTTCCTCTGCAGCATAAAAAAAAATCCCATTTAATATTGAGCATATCAAACATACTTTTTAGATGATGATGAGTATTTTTAGAACAAGACATTTTTCTCTATCATTATTCTCTATACTGTGTACCCAACCTGATATTGCTTCCATAAGATCATGTGCTGACTTCTGTATCTTTCCCAGCTCAGCAGTTTTAACTTGAATCTCTTCAACAACCACCTTTAAAAAAGTGAAAAGATGTCAAACATACAATCCTTGATGCATAAAGGTCAATTTGATTTGCTTTGATATATGTGTATGCAGTTGACCTGCACACATTGTATTTCCAACCTTAGCCCTGTCTGTTGCCTCAGAGAGATGCAGCATCACTCTCTCTGCGTTCCGTAGTTCAGCCAGAGTCTGCTCCACAGACATGAGCCATTGTTGTAAACTGTCTACGCCTTCCTGGAAGAGCTGGGCCCTGGGCAGAATGAGCTCCAGGCTCGCTCTCCTACAACCAAAACACATTAACAAATCACTGAAGAGCCACTCTGATGAAAATCGTGTTTTTCTTGATGTCTACATGTTCATTTGGCATTTTTCTGATGCTACAGGACATATCATGAGAAAAGTAAGTGCAAAATTGCATTTCTGTGTATTTCTGCATTCAAATCGCTGTGAACCTCTGGCAGACCCAAACAGCAGGTACAGAAACAGTGAGATTTAAAACTTAGCAACTCCAAGCTCTGCCCCATGAGCCCCGCTATACAGGCCAGACGTTAGCGGACTGCAACGCGTAAGAAAGCTAATTATGATATTAGCTTTCATCATGTCCATAGACTGTATATACTATGGACAACTTGCTTCCGCCTTCCGCCAGTATACAGTTTTGAAGCCAAAAAGCTCTCTGTATTTCCAGGTTTTTTTCTCCACTTCCTGAAACCAACATTGCGCAGTAGCGTTGTACGTATTCCACCACTTGCGCAGTAGCATTTTATGTATTCCACAAGAGAGTCGGCAAGAGTCGCTGTGATGATGCTTGGCTTAAACAGCATATCCCCTGGGTGAGCTATGCAATCTTCACACGCCCATAGGCTGTATTAAATGTCAATCAAAGAAAACATAAACCCCTAATAACTTTTGAAAATGGAGCTGTACAGAAAAAAGAGGACTTGAGAACAAACCAGTCTTACAGTAAATACATATCAACACTGCAACCAAGGGGGAGAAACATTTAAAATCTGTGTAATTAATTTCTAAAGTTTGTCCACAGCTCCATAAGGATTGCTGGCAGAGGCGGGATTTATGACCTGTACTGCAGCCCATCACCAGAGGGTGCTGTTCTCACGGTGGCTTCACCCACAGAGGAGGCAGACGACATCAATTCTATATACAGCCCAGATCATGTCCCTAAAGACATTAGTGCCCAAGAGCTGAATAGCCCTTATGTTACCTGCTACTTCTACTACACCAGCAAAGTTAGGCTACAAGCTAGCGTGAAGAGGAGTGTGCAGATCGGCTGTCTCCGCCCACGACTCAGAGGTGAATTGCTAACAAGCTACTGGAGCTCTGCAGGGGAAAAGCCCTTCAAATTGATACAGGTAACGAGATTTTGGCTAAAAATTTCATAATCACAATTTAAAGACCACTGAGAACAATTTAAGTAGTAAGAACAACAATCAAAGCGAGACTTTAATTAACAATTTTAAGTCAGTTGAAAGTGTGACATTGTTAGTTTATTGTTAGTTTAAGTATCCAACCTTCGCTCTGCCTCCAGCTGTAGGGCTGCCCACTTCTGTTGGAGAGCGGTGAGCTTGACCTTGGCCTGCTCTCCTTCCTCTCCTGGGTGGGCCTCCACCAGCCGAGGGCCCTCCAACATCATACAGTCCATGCTGCGCCTTCGGTCTGTCAAAAGGCGCTGCAAGAGCTGTAAAGGTACACATTTGATACTCTTCAAATCTATTGAATTAAAGTGGAGTCAATGACCTTTAATTATTGGTTTTAAAGAAAAACACTGGCTCTCACAGAAGACTAAATTCACAGGAACAAACTCCTTGGAGAAAAAAAGTAACTTTTATAGTAGCTCTAGATTTGTTTTGTTTTTTTTTGTTTGTTTTTTTTTTTTTTTTCCTGCAGTTCATTACTGTGGAAAGGTGCTGTCTCATGTGACAAGCTTACATTGTGACAAGCAAGCCAGGTTTCACCTCATTCAGGCAAACTCACAATGGGTGTGATTATAACTGAAAGGTGAGATTGTTCCCTTTTTACGAACCCCCAGGAAATGTTCACAATGACTTACTGAAGCTCATTGTAGCTCTGATCGCCACCCATCCACCTCTGAATAGAGCTGAATTTAAAGTTTAAAAGAAGCAGTTGAACATTTTCCATGACCGCTTTTCTATAGGTGAACTATTCAGGTGAGCTCCTACGGGAAAGCTCTTGAAAGAGTGATTTTGTAAAAAGACATGTAATGGTATGATGTCAGCGATAACACACCTTTTGTTCTTGGAGCTGTGCTTTCACCACTTTAACCTCAGAAGATGGAGGTTTCTGATTCGCTGTGAGCTCCTCGATCTCGCTGACCCATGTGAGCAAAGCTTCCAGGTTTTGGAGAAATGTCTCTGGATCTGTTGAGGTATCTCTCACTGCCAAGGCAGACCTGGTTCCCTTAAGAGAGACCATTTCAAGCTGTAAGCTTACGCATGCATGACTGAGAAGATTGTGTTTCAACTAAAACATGATCAGGTTTACTCTACAAACACAAGAAGAAAAGGATTAGAGGTTAAAACATACCCTCCATCTATCCAGACTGGACTCCTGGTCTGAGCTTGAGTGTCCATCACTTTGGAGCTGCGGAATGACGACAGACCAGTTTAAAAATATGCTGAATAACCTTTTTAAAAGACCCATCTTAATTCCATGGATTCAAACAAGAGGAAAGGTAAGAATTAAAGGATAAGATGAGGAGAGAAAAGAATAAAAGGACACAGGTGAGACTAAATGTGTCTGAAAGAAGGTGTAAACCTCTGCGAGTTCCTCTGCGACACCATTCAGGACTCTAACAGTTCTGGTGACAATGGGGTCGCCTCCTTTGTCACTTGGCGGATATTCAGTGACTTCCACAATCTCTGTCACAGTTGTCTCAGTCACCTCCGTCACCTCTGTGACCTCTCTTGTTGACAAAGTCTTCCAAGACCAAGGACTCCCCTCTCTAGAGTCTCTTCTCTGGAAACTGGCCCTCCTTTCTGCAGCACTCTTGTCAAGATGAGCCAAAGGGGATCTGGTAAACTCCGGTGGTACTGTCCTTCTTGTGAGGGTCCCATTGCGCGATGTTTTTATCGGAGAGGGGCTGCTGTGCCACGCATTTTCCAGAGTACTTGTGCTCCTGATGGTAGAGGCAGGAGAACTGCGTGGGAGTTTATCTGAAATGGGGGTATGAGTCCCCTCCTCTCTTTTAATTTCAATTTCCTCAAGCTCCTTGTCACACTCCAAATCCTGCTCATTGACTTCATCCTCCTTTGCGTCGTCCTTTACTGACACTTCCTGTTTGGCTTCTCCATGATTTTCTGGAAGCTGCCACTCTCTTCTTCGTTGGTAGCACTCCTTCAGGAAAGCTTCATCTGACCTCACATGCTTGGACTTCTGGCCCAGACAGCTGGGCCTGCTGATGAGGTTACCCATGGTCCTTCAGCCCAGAGGCTAGTGAGGTAACAGGTGAGGTAAGGCCCCTTGGCCATGCATGCAGGAGATCCTTCAGCTACCTAAAATAAGACAAGGGGGCTCTGGGTCAACATGCAGTGAACAAGTGCTCATTATGTGCATCAACCAAACACATGCTGCTGCTCCTCGGCCTCAGAGAGCACAACTTTTCTGCTGTACAGCTCAAAGGAACCGCTTGTTGCTGCTAATATTTTCAGAAAACTCATGGTACATAGGATACAACCCGTTTCTCTTGACTTGTTAAATTTGTGTGCCAACATTGCTGTGTCTTCTTGGCACAAAAAAAGACACTTGGCTTAGATAGTCCCTGCCCCTTTGTCTTCCTTAAACCACATAAACACATGCTCCCCATCTATCTCACATCACCAACTAAAACATTCTGGGCTAAGAAATCAATGTGACAGGCTTGTCGAGGATCCCACTGTTGAGCCTGGCACGGAGTACTAATGGCATATAGCCAGCTTTTTCTCTAACTCGGCTTGGACCAGTCCTGGGAAACCCGTTGAAGACCTGATCAAATATGACAGCCATAAAAATGCAAACATGGACTCATTTCTCTGGGGTGACAATATGGGAAGAGGGTTGGAACACGAGGTGGCATGGCGGAAGTAGGGGGGAAGGGTAAAGAAAGCATACGACAATCAACAAAGCATCTAAGTGTGCGAAATGGTGTTTGGAAGAAACATCTATGCTGTTCCATTATCGCCTCCAAGAAGAGCTAGCGGGGGTGTCTGGTTGTACATTACTGAAAAGACTGACTGACAATGACAGTTCCAAACTGTGACAGTCTGCCTGCTTCCTCTCGGCTCAGTGCCTTCAGTGCTTTGACAAAAGGGTTAAAGGTGAATGCAATTATCCTGGTCTAGAGGAGCTGAGGTGAGCCTATCAGGAGATCACAGAGAGGATCCCTGTCGAGGCAGGGTCCTCCCTCTGAGGTGGAGTTGGACTACCCCATTCAGAATTATAGAGGTCACCTTGGGTCAAGCTTGGTGACTCTAGATCTGTTGGGGGGCAATATGGGTCGACAAGGGGGCAATTGGGCTGTTGGTTCTCTAAGCTACAGTGAGGGATGTTTGCTGGCTTGAAAATTCAGAGGAGGTGGATTTTAGATGCATGGGCACAGTCACATGTTACAGTCATGCTGGTGGCAGACAGGATTATGCTGAATATGCAGCTCTTTTATCCTGTCAGAGGTTAGACACAAAGAGAGTCTGCAGCCTCTGAGAACTCAAACTGTCAATATCTGTGCCTTGTTTAAAATAAATCAAACCTCATGTGGTTGTTTCCCAAGAGTAATTATAATCAACATATATCACAGTTTCTAACTAAACGAGACTCCAGAAGATGACCCAGTTTTATGTGATGCCTCCATGTGCATGAGCCCAGTAATTACCAACATCATGCATGTCTCTGCTGAGCAGATGATGCAGTCAAGAGATCCACAGGGGAGCATGCAGTCTGATCAGAGAGTGGTGCCCAGACAAAGCCTTAGCCCCTGGATCAATGATTACCCAGTTAGCTCAGATCACTGCCCAGTGGTCCCCTGAGGAGGACATAGAGAGAGTGCCTGTGGCCGTGTTCACATGGGTTAACAATTCAAAAGAGAGGGTGTGCCGTGTCTGGTTACTGCTCGGCATGTGTGGTTGTTAGCCAAATTACTCGCTTGCCTCTTCAGTGATCTCACTGCAACATACAGTAATATGCTGAGTAGACTCATTATGGAGCACATGGTGCACTACCGGAGGGATCCTATTAGACATAAACATGCAAATACTATATTACCATAGTATAGCTAAGAGAGAGGCACTCTGATACGAATATACAGCCTACTTTTTTTAAACTACGCATTAATCACATGGAAGAGTATTAAAATCGCGTGACCTACATTCTTCTACAATCAAAGCACACGAGGGGAGCCCTCCCAAAATGCCCCGAGCCTGTGTTTGATATGCACCTCTCTCTTTCTAGTTTAATGGTACTCGAAAGGGAACCAGAGAACCACTCCACCATTTACCTCATTTTGCCGATGACCTAACCATCCCATCACTTAACCTATTTTGAAACGGCTCTTAATTCAGCCCAGCCCTTTCTCTGCTCTCAACAATGATTTATGATACATGACTGGAGTCCATTTCCTGATGAATTTAATTATAACAATAGTATCAAGGCTTGTTTGTGGTATGGCACGGACGATACAAAAAAAAACAAAAAAACATATTTTAGTTTGGTGTGGTAAAGCAAATATTTTGCTCCCATAATTTAAAATGTTGCTCTAACCTGAATCTCGATAAGGCTCTATGTGCTCAGGTAAACACATTTCATTTTGAGGGTATCAATATATTCTTTAAAGATCAATCATACATTTTATCAATTGTGCCAGTTGACCCACATTAATCAATGGAAAATCATGCCCTAAAATTTCAGTGATTGTAGATTTGTATTGTATGATGAAATAGGGCAGTAATAAGTAGAGAAACAATAATCATCAATCACAACAGTAGAGCCCCCTGATGTTGTGTCACTGCTGTGTGTCTGCTTCTGTTAAGGGAGGTCCTGAAGTAGCAATCATGGTAGTGGTCCCTAATCAGAGGTGGCAGCTGTGCACTCACCCATGAGACTCATAACATCTTAGGGTGGATATTGTAGCCTACAAGGTCACACATACACCTCAAAGACAGTCCTCGAAAAGTGCTGCTAAAAGCTGCTTAATGGAACCAAATGTCAACCTGGATCAAGAAACTGCCATAAAAACAAAAAACAAAAACATGCACCCCTAAGGAAAATTTTGATTTAAAGCTGCATATAAAAGCTAAAAACTGCCTATAAGGAACAAACTGTTGAATGAAACAAAATATACTTACATTCGAGTGATCCATCCACACTAATGTTAGTTCTACTGGAGTGTTTCTTTGCCTGCTGCACTTGCTTTCTGCACTTGCTAGGGCTAAGTGAACAAAAATCTCCCAGCACCACTCCTGCACTGTCACATGTTCCCCAAATTACTGACCATCAAAGTCCAAAACCCAACTCTCTCTCTCTGGACCAATCCTGACTAACTGGCAGTTTTGGCGGTTTGAAGCTCACGAGAACCACACTTACCCCTGAAGCACGGTTGAGCCAAACAGCATGAGTAAAGGAATCCAGCCAGTCCTCAATCACCATTCAAAAAAAGGGGGAGAGAGAGAGGGTGAGGGGGTAAAAATCCAGCTTTGTTTGAGCATCCTTTGAACGGCCTCCCAGCTCCAACATCCCAAACTGAATGCTCCACACACACACACTCATATAAATACACAGGCATACTTTAAACAACACACTCAATCAAGTCCACTCATTCACACATGCTGACATACAAATACACTTCCCAAACACACTCACACATGCCCTGATAACTCATGCTTTTCCGTTGCCCACAGTCACAGGCAAACAATGTCCTCCTCTCCCCTCACAGTGCACCCCTCCCCTCTCCTCCCCTCACTTCACTTCTCCTCCCACCAGCTCTGCTCCTCTCCCTTTCTTCTTTGTTGTGGGAGCTGTGATAGAGGAATTCCTTCCTTGTTAATGCCGCCGATGGGATAGTGCGCCCAGATAGAGACAATGTATTCCAACGGCTCAGTTGAACTCCCACAGATCCCAGCCAAGAGCAGTTTTCACATGGAGGTCAGTTTGTGCCAGTTCCATATAACGACAAGGCGGCGGCAGCATTCTGCTCAGGTTGCTCCTGTACCCGTCAGCGAGGCGGCAAAGTGCCCCCTTTACCTTCCCCAGGCTTTTTCTCTCACTCTCTCCCTCTTCTTAACCAACAAAGCCCCTCCTCTGGGTCTGACTGTGGCTCACAAACTCCATGCTGCTTCTGCTTGAAAAATGGGATGGGAGGGGGACAAAAAAAAGGGAGAGTTTTCTAAAGACCCCCTGGCCGCCCCTTGGAACATTCACATGTTAAGTGACAGCTGCCTCAGCCCATTCCCTCTCTCTCGATGGCGGAGGAGAGAAGTGCAGGCTACAAAAGAAGAAGGGACCCACACCCACTCTGCTACCATCCCACTCACACATTCACCCCCCAACCCCCTTGCAGTCCCCCCTTCCTCATTGAGAGCCAGTGCAGCAGTCTCCACAGTAGCAACAAAGACGACTAATTACTGTAAAACATCTCAGATTACTTTTCAACTCACTTCCAGCCATTGCAAACTCTGTCCCATAAACAAAGAGGCTAGAGGAAAACACACACACAACAACAAATAAAGAGCAATGGGGGAACAGAGCAGAGTCTCTTCTCAGCGTTTGGCATGAGAAAGAAAAGGAAGGACCCCTATGGTGATGTTCTACCAAACCCCATTTCAAGAAGTCATAATATCACTCAATTATAGCAACACTTTGCTTCACATAAAACCCTTTCCTTTCTGTCTTGTATGAGCTTACTTTACATCTAAGTAAAGATGTAAACACAACTAAATTAGAATAAAAGTCACCCCGTGCACAGGTACAGTGACTCCAAACGAAAGCTTACAGGTGACTCTCATTCAGAGAGGTTTACGCCCCAAATCCCTCTCTCTTTCTTCTCTTCCTTCTGTCTTTGTCCAGCCAACCAAATGATCAAGCAATCACTTGATCCCCCGAATGCGTGCATGCATGTACAGCACACACCCACACACTCTCTCTCTCACGTTGTCTCGCCTATAAACACGCACATGCATGCACGTACCAGGCACTTGGCCTCCTTCCTAATTTGCAAGGTCATTCATTTGAGTGTTTGAGGATCATTCAGAGGAAATCATCAAAAGAAGTGGAGGCTTTATTACTGACTGCACTTTCATGCTGAATTTTCCAAAGAAAAGATACTTGTACTTAATTTGCATGTATTTATTCTTTCAGATGTTGCTCCAAGGGATTATGATATCTGTGATGTGTGGGAGGAATGTGTCTTTCTGCATGCATTCCATTGTGTTGGTACATATAACACCTCATAAAACATCACATGATCAATACCACTCACTCCTATAGAGTGCCTTCAGTGTTATATTTGAGTGGGAGGTCTTTGAAAATGTCAATACAAATTGAGTTTATTCTGTATGAGGCATGTGCAGAGTCCTGGTGGATATGATGTAGAGACCATAGTATTATTGTGCCATTCCATTATTAAACAGAGACTCAGGCCCAGTACATTTAGACAGAGCTTCTCGCAGGTTTATACAACAATTTGAATGTGGTCAAAGATATATGTTCTAAATTACTTGTTTTATGAATTAAAATTACAGTTTGTAGTGTTCAGTGGCATTGGGTAGAATAAACTTGGAAAGAATGAAACATTTTTTGTTTATCTAAATTAGTGTATGGTTACTTGATTATGAAAATTCTTTGTTTTTTGTTAGCTTAAAATGAGCTCTTTACCTCTATAGAAGCAGGGTTTTTTTCCATAGAGCTCCCATCTTGCATAATCATGTAACATCAAACTAGTAATATATGAATATTTAATTTAATGAGTCTGCATGTGAAATGCACTGGATAGAAGACGAATCTTAGATGTCCTGTGAGGAGGAGGGTTATTTTTTTGTTTGTCAAAACACTCTGCTCAGCTTGTAGATGACGAGATGAATAAAGAGCGCTTTGTCCACAGGGGGCGCCAAAGTTGACACAAATTCAAAGTTCCTCAAAGGAGCTTAAGGGTGGTGGTAGATGTGAACAAAGATATTATTATATCTCTATCTATATCTATTATATTATTATATTACACATTGTTGAATTTCCCTTCTAGGATAAATAGTTATTCTTATTCTTATTAGTATTGAAAACATTTTTGACAGTAAAACCCTGACAAATGGAGTAACATAATTCTCATGCATCACAAGAGCTTGTTTTTTTTTTCTCTCGCTGATAAAAATGGTGAGCAGGGGAGGGTTTCAGTCAGAATCTGACGGCTAGAATTTGCATATTTCAATTTCTACACACTGTAAAGACAGACAATCATTTTTAAGGCCATTGTGAAGCTCTTACACAACGTTTTGGAAGCTTAATTTCAACATGCAACTTCAAACACAGAATGCAGCTAATAGTTTTGTTTTGCTGGTCATAAAAAAGTAAAGGCCAAATCAGTTTTAAGAATGGATAAGGAACTGAACTTGTTGAATTATTTCATATGAAATAAATACATTTCATGGCAACTTCTCCAAAATAGTTGACTGTAAATTTGAATTTAGAACCTTGTGGTGGCATAAACTTAAACTCCAGAATCTTTTAATGTGTTTAAAAAAGTAAATAGTTAAAGCTGTGGGGATTTTTTTTTTTTACATTAATGAAATAGACTTTATTCTGATGCCTTTAATAAACAAAAGGAAACAAGAGTGTCAGTGACAAAACTGGCAAGAAATTAATAACAGATTTTCCAATTTTCATATCAGATAATAACAAAACAATCTTTAAATTGATGAAGGCTGGAGGACAAGCTAAGCAAAGACTTCTTTGTCCACAAGGGGTGCCAAAACTAACACTGACCAAAAGTTCCTCATAGGACCTTTAATATGGATGGAATAAGTTTTCATAGCTTTATTACATTTCACCATATAAGTAACGCCTAAGAGTAGCTGTAGTTTTTTAAATCAGTTGGTCAGTCATGTTTGTCCACTCAGCTGTTTCTTCAGTTGCATTTCAGCTTCAATGACCGAGCACTAAAGCTGCTTGTAGTGGTAAAAATAAGCAGTTAATTCTTCCTTCTCCACAACATCACTGCCCCCGCTCTCCTCCTGCAGTAATTTATGCAAATGGTGACAAAAAACAAAGGAGGAGGTAAAATAGTGAAAATGCCTGTCACTGTGGCCTACGAGGGAGAGAGAGAGAGAGGGAGTAAATTGAATAGATTGACCCCTGCAGGGTCAAGTTATTTAACCCCTGAGTACTCCAGTGCCGATGTAAGAGTTCTCAGTCTTGGAAGAAGTCCTGAATCTCACTGTTATTGAGAAGAACAGTGGCAAAAAAAAAAAATTAAAAAAGGGGGAATAATGTAGTTTGAGCATTTTTAGACACAATAAGTAAAAGATTCATAAACTCACAGATAGCTGTTTCTCTGGGTCACTCAGAGAGCTAATATCTTTGGCTGTTTAATGAGCAAGTAAGACCCACATCCCCAGTCCCCTCTTTCTTTATCTGAATGGAGCTGGCAGTGATGAAGCACCTCTGTGCCAGGAAGACATTGTTGTAAAACCATGACACCTGATCCTAGCTTTCAGCATCCTCCACTCCTCTCTGTACTAATTGAACGATTTCGCCAAAATCTCTCCTCTCCATTTCACAGCTAAATGCACACAGAGCATGCATGGAGTTCTTAAAAAGACAGGAGCTGATGTGGCTAAAGAGCGACTGGCACGCTGAGCTATGTGGTGATGCAATGATCTGCTGCTGGCTGCAAGAAAGAGGGCTCATTTTTCTGCCTGTAGCCTTCATTATCCCTCCAAAATGCAAGTGATAATAGAGTGGTGAGCAGGGGAGATAGAATAAAATGAGTTTCCAAATTAATGTGATTCAAAATTAGAGCCCAATGGGAGTCTAAATGTGATCACAGATCCAATGTGCCAAAGGCCGGAGAAAAAGAAAAGATTAATTTTACAGGCTGGTTTCCCCCCTCCTCTGCTATCTCAACCTCTCTGCTGCCTTCAAATTAAATAAGAGCTCAATGGCTCCTCTGCAGAGCATGGTAATTAGTCCTCTTCATGAGACATGAAAAAAAAGGGGGTCCCTTAAAAGGGTCAAACCAGAAGCACCATTCAGCATGCACACTGTCATTTATCACCAAAAGAAACTGCTTCCAAGGAGAGTGGAAGAAAGGCTGATGTGCTTCCCTACTGGGTCCTGGACGCTCAAAATGTTCGACAACAATCGGGAAGAAGACAAGGATTTAGCCACTTGGGGATGGAGGAGTAGACACACCATCCTCTCTGAGTTTTATTCAGCTGCTCTCAAGAACTAAAGATTTACAGCTACAAGTCCATTTTTCCTTTAAGCACAGGAAGGTAATAAAGAGACCTTATATTTCCCTTTAACAGTGATAAAGTGTGTGAATCAAAATTCATCCCATGGGAGGGATTTTGTGCAGGGTTAGAAGTTAAAATCAATTCCCCACACTAAGTAGGACAAAAACTGGGTCCAACATTCAATCTCAACTTTATCCAGTAAAGCAAAAGAGTTTCCAGCCATCCCAGCATACCTCATAAATCACTGGTCTTGTAGGTGAGGAAAACAAGCCCCACTTCTTTTTCCCTAAAGGTTATGACAGCGTCAGAGAGCAGGGACGCTGTTTGCAGGCTGTCAGAAACAGAGAGCAGAGGATAATAGGCTGTGATCTCTCACCCCTCTTCCTGGGTCTGTTTGTAAGGCGTGTGTACACGGCTTATTTGGGATGCAGCATCTGCCACAGGCCCAGGGAAACCAGAGACCTTTCAGACAGAGAGAGTCTTTATCTGGAGGAGGCTCAGGGAGGCTGAAGGGAGAACTTTTGACCTGAAACTGACTGTCAATGTTAGAAGATGTCATCTGACCAGACAATGACATGAGGTCCTGATAGTGGACCCAAAAAAGCACAGCTATCTGTACTACTAAAACCACAGACATATTCCACTCAAATGAAGATTCAAAAAATTAAACATAAAGTTTGAATAAAATACTGACATTGGACTAAAAAACATTATTAATCTGTTCCATGAGGGATTCTTCAAGACACAGCTGAAATAGTGAAGTTCAGAGTATAGACCTTGATGATGCACACTCAAAGAAAATGGAGGCACAGCGCTGTAACTTCATTTAAATCTCCACACACACCAAAAGGATGAGTCAGAATCTGGTGACTCAGACTTGACTCAGTCACTAAGGACTCTAGACTTCACTCGGATTGTAACACTACAGCAAGAGCTAAAGCTCAATGAAAACGTCATCATCTGTCTCAGATTATTATTATCAGTGCTCTGAAATTATCACAATTTTACATCCTTCAGGTAAACTGTTTTTTTTTTTATTACAGCTCCATTGAGGAACTTTCACTCTGTGCTCATTTTGGCACCGTGTGTAGACAAAGCAGTCTGTACATATCTTGTTCCGCCATCAATCCTGCTCCTGGAGTTTTTTTTTTTTTTTTTTGCTTTTGTAAGTCATTAAAAGGCATCCATATAATTTCAGTCCATACAGTACTTAAAAAAATCCACACAGGAGCTTTAATTAAACGCCCAATGACTATATAGTTTAAAAAGCATCAGACGTTATTTTCATACCAAGTTAGCTTTCATGACAATTTCATGAACTGGATAAGTTCAAGATACGTTTAGTATATATAGATTATCCCAGTTTATTAAGCAGGACTTCTTAACATGAATAGTATTTGCATTAGAAGGACTTATTATCAATGCTTGACAACCTCCAATTTGAGGCGTATGTATAGCCCAGTGTTCATGGGAAAAACAGCTCAGGATGTGTCAGTGCATGCTTGGTGTTAAGGAGCAGGTGTGTGTCTCTCCTGTGTATTGAGGGTCTGTATACAGGGGGCTGCAGAGGGATGTCCTCATTCATGCTGCTAACTAACGAGTCCCCCAGGCCCAGACTGAAACCAGCAGTGCAGCAGACTAACAGCATTACCATGACAAAGGTCGGTGGTCGGATGCAGTATGATAAAGGCATGGTGGGGATAATAAGATCCGTCCACTTTCACACATTCTCGTAAAGGGGTCAGACTGAAGCTCTCCAAAGTGTCCGAGCTTTTGTGACGTGATAAGACATGCCTGTGCATCTCACACGTCAGTCCCCGGAGAAACGCAAACAATGAAAAAATGTGTGAAAAGCATCAACAACTTAGAGGAGTGTCACGCTGAAAAATGTTTTCTTAAAAACTCCTCCAGAGATGGTCATCAGTAAGTTTCTTCAAAGGTCACGCGGGTTCACAGACAGATCGTATTTCGTCCCTTGGTTTTGTTGAACCACACAATCAATTAATGGCTCCAACATTCAGTCAGGACAATGAAGCACATTCACTTGAATGGACCATATAACCAAATCAACCCAAACCAATTTTTACTATAACAATAAAAACATCAAACACTCTTGATCCCTTTGTGTAATTGATTCACAGCTCATTGTGGAAGGTGCAGTCAGCCGTCACCAAAGATATTCTATGATCACCCCACCACGTTGCCGCTCTGCAGAGCTCTTTAATATTAATACTTTGAGCTCAGTTGGTGCTGTAAAAGATTAAGCACAATAAAAGTGCTGTTTTTATCTTACAGGGTTGATGCAAAGGAAAACGAACATGTGCAGATAAGATGATCCAATAAGCAAAATCAATTGTTACAGTTAGGTAGAGCTGCTTCCTTTAAAGAGATGATATTGGCTAAGGTAGACTTGATGGGAGGAACCCAGCTTCTCCATGTTTTATGGCCAATTAGTCTAATTGGAAAACAAAAAACAGAAAAGGTGACATTGGCATTTCTTATGAGCAAACACACTGACCTGCAATGGTGAAAAAATGCATTTATAAATCATAGGTTAATATGTCAGTGGTCTCTTTCTTGGCCATTCTCAGAGAATTTGAGTTGAACTCAGTTTCTGAGTGCGGCTTCAACTCTGAAAGCTTTTAAGCAAATATTGGTATAAATGGTTGGAGTACAAAATCTACAGTTGGTGTTCAATAAATTCCTCAATAGACAGATCAGAGTCCTCTTACCATAAAGATCCAGCTCTTCTTTTTTTCTGCCCCCTTGCCTCTTCTTCCCATCAGTCTAATGTCTTTTCAGTATGTGCGCTCATGTGTGCAGGGGGGCCTCCAGTGCCAAGCACTTCAGTGGCCTGGCTGTCCCGGCCAGGCACAATGGAGCCTGATCCCCCATCCCCTCTGTTCCCCTGTGGCCTAAAGAAGTCTCTCTGCTGGAAAGGAGGAGGACCTCTTCTTCAGAGCATGTGCACCGTCTAGTTCTTCCTTTTTTTCACACTGCTCATTTGACTAAGGTGTTTGCATTTGAGCAACCCTGACTTATTGGTTCCTTCTTTCTTGTTTTTCCTTACCCTCTTTCTAACACATCCCCTGCAGATGCTGGGTCCTCATTTTTAAGTAAGAACTATCAGCACTGTTTTGGGAAAGTGGGATGCCGCTATAACTACAGCAATACGATGGTTTACAGGATCATTCTCGAAAGAAACATCAAATACAGCTGAAATACAATAAAACACAATGAACACCTGGCTAATATTGGCATGTTAGCATTGGTTTTGTGTCCATGTTAGCATGCTAATGTTTAGTTGGAAGCACACAGTTGTACCTGAACAGTGCCAGCAGCTCTACAGTAGAGTGTTGCTTGATAATAATCCAGTTTGTGACATTGTTCCCAGCGTGATGACAACATACAGCCACACAAAGTTCTGTGTAACTTTCAGAATAACAAGAGTTGACACATTTACACAGTGAGAGGGGATGAGAGCAAGGGAGAGACAGATAAGAAGATGAGAGATAGAGGATGCATTTTAACCGAAATATACTGAAGGTAGTGCAGTTAGGTTAGCTTTGATAAAGGGAATGGTGAAATAAACCAGAGTGAATGTTCCAGAGAAAATAACAATCAGATAGAGAGGAAAAGAGAAAGTCCACACAACAAACCCTTGGGTCCAGAGGAGGCAGCCTCATCTCCATACTCTTCAGCCACTGCCTCAGTGCCCTGATCTGACCTCTGAACTCACATTGCCACTGACTTATGTCTTCTTCGTCCCTTCTGTAACAGAGAGAGGAAATTTTAGATTTTTTTTTTTTTCCCTGGAAAAGTTGATAGTTTTTAAGAATTTGCTTGTTTATAAAAGTAAAGGTGGGTTGTCATGCAGTTTTGGTACTAAACCTGCTTTTTTGTCAAAAAAAAAAAAAAAATGAAACAAACAAGCAAATGAACATAATTCCTAATTCAAAGATTATTAATGTCAATTTATGGATCAGCTGTAGGATTCTGCTGGTAGCTAAATGCCTCATTGAACATTGTTTTCAATGACGTAAAACCCAATGATGTCTGAGAGTGACAACAAGAAGAAGAAAATTGGGAGGACAAAAACAAAAGCAAAACTATGACCTGAGCTGTCAGGACGGGAGCTGTCAGGGAGTATTACTCTTATCAAAGGACAAGGTCTGTTGAAAATATCTCATTAGGGAGGCATATGCTCTATCTCTCTCTGCTGGGCTGGAACCTCAGTCTTCTTTTTTCAGTATGTTTCATTCAGATGTGCTCACTTCACTGTTCACTGTGTCTTTATTGTCCACGAATGCAGACGAAGCGGTCTACAAAGCTGACACAATCGACCAACTGTCCTCACTAACTGTTGGTTACTGTACTGTTGGTGGCCAATTTCAGTGAAGCAGGTCTGACTTTTCAATCCCAAATTTGCATCACTTACAGAATTACAATTTGGTGACAGAGCTTTTTCATAGTTGGTGACAAGGCTGTCAGGATAATGATATTATAACAATATTTTTTGTAAAACTTGAAAATAAAACAACAATCAGTCAAACTGAGGAAAGGAAAGACAAGAGTGGGGTATCATATTACTTCAATAACTTTACTGAAATACACAACTATCTAACATGTAGAATCTTCATATGTTTTATTTCTCTACATCATTAGCCCAGTGACAACAACTTCGTATAAGACATTGCCTCATAAATGATGCTTTTATTTTGTTCTGATTTATTTTGACAGGTCGCTTTATCTCCTGTATGGTCAAACTATGCTTTCATTTTGAAGTATATGACATCTCATAGATTTACAGTTACAGAACTGAATAAAAACAGTTGAAAGAAAGGTTAGTGAATGTAAATGATTAATAGAGTAGTAACCCAAAGAGGTATAAGCTCAAACATTGTTTTGAACTCATACTCAATCTTAAGCATCAGTTTTAAAAGTGTAGAATTATCTCTCAGATGGCTGCGAAATGCTAGCTTGCTAGCGGTCTGCTACTTATTTCTGTCCTCTGATTCAAGACGTGTGGCTACCGGTGTAAAAGACAAGCTACTATTAACTCAGAGTATGATGGTGTGATTATCTTTAGCTGTATATATATATATATATATATATATATATATATATATATATACATATATACATCACTTCTGGTGTAATGCGATAGTTGGTGGTGTTGGTGGTTTACTGGAGTAGAGGACTAAAAGATGTTCCTTTTACTGTTACGCTCTCAAGTCTACTGCCACCACCTGCCAAGATTTCAGTAATAATTCGTATTTCTTTCACCTGTTTGACCATGTGCATAAAACCTGAAAAGTAAAGCTTCCTGAAAGTAGGACGCATAGTGGAGCTGTCCGGTTGTGTTGCATCACAGCTCTTTTTTTAATCATACAAACTGCTTTAAAAAAACATACCCATATCTCTGATCCTGTGACGAAGGCGTTGATGATCCAAATACACTATTTCCTTTATCCTGTAAAGGACCAAAGAAAAAATACAAAATACTTGCACCAATGATGTGTAGAGCTGACTATTAGGACCTTTGTGGCTGCTCGAGCCAGCACTGCTAATTTAATACTTAAAAAGTGTGTAGATATGGTGATTTGGCTGCTTTTTACCCTCTTCTTACCTCCTTGCCTCCAGCTTCGAATGAAGTTAGGGCTGGTAGGGAAAGGCTCAGATCAGAGTAGTCAAGGGAGCTGAGTGAAGAATTCTGGGAGGTGAGTGCCCCGTTGCTCCTGTTGGCCGGCTCTTCCATCAAAACCAGCGGCTAATTTTGGCATACAGAGCCTAGAATTACTGATGAAGGACCCAGGAGGTAAACCCATATGCATGCAAATACTGTGACTCAGGGAGATGATTTTCTTATGGTGGGCTTTATGCAACATTTTTTTTTACTTTTTTCAAACCTTGATCAGTTTGTTTTCTATGAGATAAACTCATTTTGAAGTGACCCAAAGTTGTTTTATGGGTAGTACTTCAACATCCAGTGAATAATGTAATGAAATGCTGCCATTGTAAAACTAATTTGGACGACTCTTAACCTGACAGATGCATCATAGTGACACGGCGTTCAGCGGACTAGGTGTTTCACCATATTCACGGGCTGGCCTTGGGAAGAAAGAAGGCCAGGCTAACATTGCCCTCATGTGGTCGACTGCGAATGTTTCCCTAAGAAAGATTCATGCACACCATGAGCTGCTTTTTTGATTACATTCAGTGAAAATTACCAGAAATTTTGCAGATTGTTTCACATGGATTGTCACCATAATAAAATCTCTCTGTGCAGACACAAATAAAGAATTAATTAGAATTTGAGGTATTATTGTCAATCTGAACTGATTAAAATACACCCCCTTTTGAACAGACTGTGCAAAAGATACCAAGTATTTACTTTTCTTTTGTCCCTCTAGATTATTTCCACATTACTAAAACAAACTGCTCAGCTAGTCTAGTTGGTAGATACTCCCTTTACAGGTAATAGTAGGTTTTAAATTGTCCTCATGCGGCTGGCTCATGCTTGGACCAGCTCTTAGATATGTTACTACATGGTGTGACTTCCCATGGGGACCAAACACAACGATCCCCCCTCTCTCTTTTCAAATCTTGCTGGGAGTTCTTGAGCTACCTTGTCTCATAGGTACTTCTGAATCAGCACTGCAGATGGCCTGCTGTTGTGGACCTGCCTGACACCAATTTTTCCAACTATAAGTATATAACCCCTCAGGGTTACAAACCTGCTAATTGTCTTCATCTTGTTTAGAAGTGGCACTATAAGAAAGACTGCTTGATTGATTGGTGTTTTACTCTATATTGTAAATTAAACAATCTAAATGGGCATGTAAATTTACCTACTTAAAATTGCTTTGGATTTATGGGTATTAATACATAAATAACAAGAGGTTCTCTTCAGAGCATATTTATTTACAACATAGTGTTATCTTCAGATAGTACATCAAAATCCACTCACCACATCATTCAAAGCAAAACTGCCTCATTAGCAAAGCGAACCAGTTAGTTTGTTGTGTGAAGATCAATATCAGCATAGCGACATCTGCTGCTGTCTTTGTTATTTTACACCAACATATTTCCCAAAATCCTTTATAAATGTAGTTACACATGCAAGACAAATAAAAAAAAGATTTACAAAGGTAAAATAGAGAGATACATAACAAAATACTTGAAGTGGAAAAATAACTATAAGCAAAATAAAACTTAATAAGCAAAGGAAATACGTGGCAAAATGTCAACTGAAATGGATTGATAAATGTGGTACATACATTCATGCAATGTGGTTTTGTATCAAATTAAAAAAAAACCCAAATGTTTCATATTCCCACTTTGGTTGAATTGATTTTATGGACAAAAAATATAAAAATAAACCCAGAGTATCATCTTTATGAAGATGTGCTGTACTACTTCTGCTGTAATCCTAATTTGGATGACAAAATACACAAATACACCCATGGATTTGTGCTTGTTTTGGGGTTGTTCTATTATAAATAAAGGATATGACAGCATAAGTACTCAAGTATTAAATCTATAAATAAAGTTCATAATCTAGAAGAGTTCCTAAAAGCATCCCAAGATGATGTCAGGTTGACTCAGCCTCAGCTCTCTTCAAATGTGGCGTGCAATGGAAGAAAGGACATGGCACATCTAGAAACAAAGGAAAATAACTATGAATAGAAATTAAAAAATAAATTAAGCCATGCAGCAAAAAATAAATTTAAAAAAATGTTCAACTTAATCTTGATGGAGAAAATTATCTTCATGTGATAATTCAAAATAAAGCTTTTACTCTACCTGTGCAACTGGAGGAGGGTGACATGGACTCTCAAAACCATCTGAATTGAAGGGATTGTTTGCTCCAGCCAGCTGGTGATCCAGATGTTTCATATGTTGGATTCTGAGGGACTGAGGCAGCTGTGAGAAAGAACAGAGCAAAAGACTCAGTAAGCAGTAATGGACACTTCCTACAGACACAGTTCTCCAGTGGTGAGAGGGATGGGGAGAATGACATGAAATGGAATACATCATGTTCTGAGATGGGATAATCAACTGAATAAACAAAAGAAAAAACAAATCAACAAAAAAAGATTCAACTTACAAGAACCAAAATAACAGGAGGCAGGTCTGTATGGGATCAGGATCAATTCTGACATCATCTTGGGATTTACTGGGAACACTTGGTGGATGGTGAATATAAAGAATCCAAAACTTGGAGTGTGTAAAACAATGGCTTAATGAAGTCAAAGGATGCAAAATTCCACAAAATAAAATATGCAACAAGTACAAAGTGATGACAGATATGAGACTGGATTCAGAACAGTCTTGATGTATGTATATTTTTTCAATATCGTAGCTCTATAGTGTCATCTTTTATAGTGTCTTTCTGAGTATGATATGTAGTGAACATCAAAATAAAAACGTTAATGAAATCTGTCCATACTCTATACAAAAATGCAGAAAATTGAAGGCATCTATGTATTTTTGAACCTGTTAAAAACATTGATCTACGTTGACACACAGTTTCTAATGACGGACTGTCATAAAAATAGACGATTTAAAAGGAAACAAGTTATTCTGGAAAAATATTTCTGTATGACATACGTACAGTATATATTAGTTTCAGAGAGAACAAGTATACAACTTTTTCACAACTGTGAAATGAAAACTATAAGGTCACTTTAAAAACAGCACAGGTTTCATGCTTTAGAAAATATAAACTTGGTGATCAAAGCTTAAGAAATTAATATCTTATATATCTAGCAATGCTTGTTTCATCTCCATATATGAGGCACATGTTTAGACATCATTTAAACTTGGAAAAAAAATATGTAAGCTTTGTAATTCTGTGACCATTTTCAGGGTAGAATAAATAAATTATTTCAATAATGTAACTATTATTTTTCTGCTGTTTTATTGTTGTTGGGTCTAAGTTAGAGGTTGTTAGAAACAGATCTAGCTAACTAGAATCTGCGGCTGTAGCCAGTTGAAGAGGATGTGTAGGAGGATGATGAAAAACTCATGCTGAAGCCAGAGCCAGCATCAATGCTGCCTCTCCTGGAGCCTGTGCGGGATCCAGTCCTGGAGCCACTCCGGGAGCCATAGGCAGATCCAGGACCGCTTGCATTGTAAGGGCTGTAGAGGCCTTTGCTGGACGTTGAGGAGGCCTCCAGAAGCCTCAGGCCAGACCCTTCCTCAATCATGCTTTTGTCCATGGCATCTTTGAAGGAGATTTTTAGTTTGGTTTTGGGGCATGTTAGGTATTTGGAATAAGAAGTGACATCTCTTAGTTTCTGGGCAGTTCGGGCATCAATCATGCCCTTTCTTATGGATTCATCTATAGACACTCTGTTTTCAACATCAGGCTCAATGAGTCCACCAGTTAGATATTGGACCTCGAGGAAACGTTGTCCAGCCTCATAGTACAGCCAGCCTTTCTTGAGAGCCTGGGATGCAGACATCTTGACTTTTGTTTTGGGGTCTTCAAATCCATTAAATGCTTTCTGAGCCAGGTTGAGGCGATCAACCATGATTTTGTCCACAAGGCCTTTTTCTGTACCTTCAGCAACTGAGAATCTTTCTCCAGTTGAGGGGTCAATTATTCCTCCTGTGCAAGCTTGGGCTTCCAGCAGTCTTTGACCTGTGATGTTGTCTACTAGGTTTCTGTGTATGGCCTCAGTAATAGATACCTTCTCCAGTGTGTCTATATCTAAGATTCCAGCTATAGGGCAGGTCACCTCTGCTGGATCATTCCATATCACTGCAGGTGGTTTAGTGGAAGGTATGGGGCTCATTGGAGAGGAGTAGGTGGAACCAGTGGTAGATCCAAAGGAGGATGAGCGTGAGCGGACGCCTCCCACATTTCCAGAAAGCATGTCAGCAAATTCTGTAATGGCGAGATGTCCAGACCGGTATGTATCAAGAGCCTTTTGGTCGATGAGTCCACGAGCAAGAGCATCATCAACGTCATACTGTCTCCCTGACCGCCTGTCAATGATGATAGATTTGACAGTACCATCAGAGGAGGTCATTGTGATCTCCTCCCATTCACACTCTTGCTCTGCAAGCTCCAGGTAGGTCTGATGATCAATGAGTCCCTTCCTGTAGGCCTCATACACAGTCATTTCTTTGCCAGTCTCTGGGTCCACGATGACAACTCTGCGCTTACGAACTGAGGATTTGGAGGAGGTCTTTCTTTCCCGCTTCTTCTCCTTCAGTAGGAGGAGCATTAGGCCAGTGTCAGGGTCAGTGATACATCTATCCATAAGCTGGAGGTAGGTTAGATTCTCCTCTGTGTTGGGATCAAAGAAGCCTTTGGTGTCATCAGATGGATCTGTTAGGATTTCATTCATTTCCTCATCAAAGAAGCCACGTTTGTAGGCCACCTCAACTGGCAGACGGTGACTTTCCTCCGGGTCAATGATACCGCCTGTGGCAATCTGTGCCTCCAACAGTCGGATACCATGGTCTTTCAGGATGAGCCCCTTTTTCATGGCCTGGAACAGGGATATTGTTTTGCCTGAATAAGGATCTCTGTATCCTGTCACTGCACGCTCAGCAGAGAGCAGTTTGTCTTTGAATTCAGGTCCTACAATTCCCATTTTTACTGCTTCATTGACAGTCAGTTTGAGGTTTTTGATCGGATCAATGACATATGCTGTGGCTGCCTGGGCCTCAAGAAGCTCAAATGCTGTGCCTGGCCTGATCATGTTCTTTTTCATGGCCTGGTAAATAGACAGACGTTCCTTTGAGGATTCTAGGAATACACCAGCAATACAGCTTGTGCCCTCAAGGTATCTTGATAGTCTGTTACTAACCTCTTCCACTGAAATTAGACCTTGCATCAGTTGAGAGGCAGTTTCCTCGTCAATAATATTTGAGCGCAGCAGCTCCTCAATTGTGATCTGTTTCCTCAGACCCTTGAACATCAGCCTCTTGTCTCCCAGTGAGAGAAGGCGCAATCCACCTTCCAACTTGCATCTCTTGAGCAGCTCAGCATAGGATACTTCCTCAGCATTGACTGGGTCAACAAATCCCTTTACTTCATTAGCCAACTTCTCATTGGTTTCCTTGTTAATGTAGCCTCTCTGCATGGCAATGTCTGTTGGAAGGTGGAACTGAAATTCAGGATCAATAATTCCACCAGTTGATGTTTGTGCCTCCAACATTTTCAGAGCATAATCCTCTGGAACAAGATCCTTTTTCATTGCCTGGAAAAGAGATATGATTTTTCCACTGTAAGGGTCTTTGTATCCAGTGACTGCTCTCTCAGCTGACAGAAGCCTATCGTGGATCTCAGGGCCAACAACACCCTTTCGAACAGCTTCATCAACTGTGAGGGTTTCATTTTTAACAGGATCAACAATGAAACCTGTTGCAGCTTGTGCTTCAAGGAGGCTAAGGGCAATTTCTTGGTCAAGAAAATTTCTCTTCATTGCTTGGTATAAGCTGATCTTGGCACTTGAGTCAGTTGTGACCCCAGCAACACAGCCTGTGCCATAAAGGTATTGTTTCACACTGGTCATTTCCATGATGTCCTGGATATTTCTCTTGCCCTGTTTAAGGAGGTTGTATGTGTCCAAGTCTATGATGCGAGCATTGTAGAGCTCCTCAATTGTAATCCTTCTCCGTATGGTTTTACATGTCAGTGGACTATCACTTTTGATGATCTCTCTCTGCTCCATGATCTCAATAATGATGATTATCATCCGCTCTTTAGTGATGTTACCAGAACGATATTCTTCCATAAGTTTCCGCCTCTCCTGCTCTGGAAGCAAATTTGAGTTCATGATATCCCAGAGGCTCGTTGGTTGCTCTGCAAGACCCTCAATTGGTGGGATTTGAATTTGAGTGGTGGCTAGCTCACTCTGTGTTTGTTCCTCTGTGTAGAGATATGTCTTCTCAACAACAGTTGGAGACTGAGGCTTTGAGAGTGGAAGGATGTTCAGGCCTGTCTCTGGATCTTTTTGGCACTTGTCTTTAAGTTGTTTGTAAGTGACATTCTCATCAGTCTCTGGATCTGAGAAAGCCTTGTTTTCATCTGATGGTTCAGATAAGGTTTTGGCCACCTCTTTGGAGAAAATCTTCTTCTGATACGCCACATCAGTTGGGACACGGTGGCTGTTCACAGGATCAATGATTCCTCCACTAACCATCTGTGCTTCAAGAAGTGGCATGGCGTGCTCTTTCAAGATGAGGTCCTTTTGCATTGCTTCATAGAGGGAGACCTTGTTGCCCGTGAATGGGTCTTTATATCCAGTGACAGCCTTTTCGGCAGCGAGGAGTTTTTCATGCAGCTCTGGGCCAACAAGGCCTGACTTCACTGCCTCATCTACAGACACACACTGATTCTTCACAGGATCTACAAGAAATCCAGAGGCAGCCTGAGCCTCAAGAAGTGACAGCCCTGTGTTGGGTCTGAGGAGCTTCTTCTTCATGGCCTGATAGATGCTCACTGTCTCTTTTGTGGGTTCTACATAGATGCCAGCTATGGCGTCAGAGCCCTGCAGGTATTTATTGACATTGGGATTCTCACTGACCTTTTTAGGTGTTGTTTTGCCTTGTTGAAGGAGGTCAAAGGTTGGTTTGTCAATGATTTTGGAGTCATACAGAGAGGTAGCTGGGACAGGAGATCTGAGCCCCTTGAAGCTGGACTGTTCTTGTTTCTTAGCCTCTTTCTCATTCACAACTGTGATAACAATTTTGATTATTTTTTCAATTGTAATCTTTCCTGATCTGAACTGTCTTAGCAAGTCAAGCCTTTGCTCCTCAGTGAGATATTCAGAGTGGAGAATATCCCAGATGGTCATCTTTTTGCCTTTAAATGGTCCAGAGTCAAGCTCCACAGTTGCCTGAGTCATAGCCTCTTTAGTCTGGGCTTCAGTGTAGGT